ATCAAGAAACAAACAACCACCCCCACACTACCCCGATGACAACTAAAGATCAGTTCCCGAACATAACCTCCGACGGCTAATGTCCCCGCCTTGTCAATGAAAATATCCACCCCCGGACAAGAGACCACAATATCCGATGTCGGTGCGTAAATCGGCTCTTTCAGTCGTCTACCCGAGGACTGCAATTCAATGGACGACCGGAGACAGTAATTATAGATCAGATCCTGTATTGCAGAGTATTCTATCCGAATATTCAGAACCAATTAGTACAGTAGTTATGAGGCACAATTACACAGCCGTACCTTTTCAACGGGCGCTTATTTCCATCTATCCGCTGATTTGACCTCGGCTTATAGCCCTGGGGGTTAAGTATGAGGCTTATTTATAGTCTACAAATAGAATGTGCGTTACACAGTATACATTCCTGTCCATTGGTCCGACAACTGTAGTATTTGCTAGTCTAGAACAAGGCTGAACTCCGAATTTCGGCCTAATGGCTACTGCTTTGCACATGCCAAACATGTGGGGAGTAAACAGAGTAAGATCTAGATCTTGGGTAGGGTTTGGTTATGTAGTCAAAGAGGGCCACACTTTCCATCGAATAGGCAAGATGGCCGAGTTGGTCTAAGGCGTCAGGTTAAGGTCCACCTTAACTCCTACTGTTTCAGCAGTTTCCTGATCTACGTTTGTAGGCGTGGGTTCGAATCCCACTCTTGTCATTTCTTTTTTTATTTTTTGTTTTTTGTTTTTTTATATTTCTACATGCATTCATTCATTCTGTTTCCCCCCTTCTAGCTAACTAGACATATCTCACAATTTTTCATGTCTGGGATATTGAATGGTCCTTCCAACCTCGCCCGTCGAAATATAGATCAGGGAGTACTCGTTTTTACACATGGTTACTTGAACTGAAGTCTGTATTGCTCTGTTCTAGACCATCATAGTCTACTAGCCACACTCTCGCTGTCTAGTCTGAGGTCGACACTGTCCCACACCCCTCATTGCGGGTTGCATTGGTACCGGTCCAATAGAAGTAATCAACTGTACCGCGATAGGTCCGGCAGTAGGGACAACTTGTCTTGTTCCCGTAGCTTTCATAGCAGCTAATGGAATATTGAGATTAGCTTCTTGTTTTCGCTTCCAAGCTGTTTCATATAAGACTAATGTGTCTCTCCAGGCATGAAAGTCTGGTCTTGCAAGAAGAATGAATTGGATTAGACGGAAAAGATATAACCTACTTTCCACATAACCAGTGCACATTGCCCTGGTCAAAGAGATAGCTATCGATCGTGTCACCAGGTACACCCGAACAGTAAATGTACATGTCCCATTGGGCAGCATCTATCAAAATTTGTCCTTAGCTGAGGTTCATTGCGGGGGGCTGCTGTCCACGGACTACTTTGCAGTCATGGGATCATGGTTCGTGTTGATGAGAGACTTACATTGACATATATAACAGCCAGGTGCCATCTTGGTTTCTGGTCTGATGTAAATGTCGTTGATTGTGTAGGGGAAATAGTGTGGAGAGTTCTGAAATGTTGAAAGTGGGATACGCCGTGAGATATAGGGATGGAAGTTGGTATATTTACCTGACACTGCCCTATATGTCGCTGACTCTGGCTGGCCCATATTTACCCGGGTGCAGACTTGGGTGGGGTTGTGGCCAAGGTAGCTGAAGATATGCCACATGGTATAGGCAACTATTGATCATTCTGATGGTTTCTGTATTACATACGCCGTGCTCTGTTTTGTTGGTATATACCTCGGATATCCACTTTCAGTGCGTGCCCATATCTATGGGTGGACCTAAACTGGTTTCAATCCTGTTATGTCGCCTCAATCGAGGCATAGCAGCAAGGCAGAGCAGCAAGGCATAGTGGCGAGGCGCTGCAGCTAGGCGTGGTGGATAGGTAGTCGATTAGCGTAGCTCATGTGATTGTTTATCTCACCGTTGTGAGGCTGGTTGAAGGGTAAAATGCCAGCGTATCAGCAGTCGCAGAAGGGACGTCTATAGAGTACATCATTTTCTGCCAGTCTGACATGCGTCAAGGCAGATATCTGATCTGACGTTATCTATTCCACTACGAGTCCAGTTACGCATCAATAGGGGATGGTAGACTGATCTGAGTGGTATTGGATACGATCCAAAATAATCTGATCAAATTCTGTCCTTACATGTTGAAAGGTTGGTGACAGCTTTATAAGAGACTGATTCGAATGGTGTTATGTAGTTTCGTTAGGGGATATATCATTTGAAATGCCATTATGCATGTTCTATATCTCGATAGGACTGAACGAGAGAGAAAAAAAAAAGTATCACGAAGAGCAAGTAGCGTACAGTGTGTAGATAGCTAGTCAGGTACGAGAATCAAAAAAAGAAAATACAAAAAGATATGACAAGAGTGGGATTCGAACCCACGCCTCTTGCGAGACACGGAGATAGTTATGAAACCATCGGGATCAGGTTGACCTGAACCGTGCGCCTTAGACCAACTCGGCCATCTTGCCTGTTCGATGGAAGGTGTAGCCAGTCGTGACTACATAGCCCAAACCCATTATCCAGGACCTTTCATTTTGTTAGCCCTATGTTACCGTTCATGCGATTTCCTCGGTGATTACTGTTTCGTATGTCGATGAGTTGATTGCAGTGAACCCTTTTGGTTTCTATATTTTCTGATCTGCTTAAGTTGGCGCATTCTAGATATATCGCTGGCCAGCAGCATTCGCTAACGTAGTTACTCCTGATACTGGTACTATCACACGATATATATATCCGGATCGCAGTAGATTGCCAGGTCAATTTCAACATTGCACTAAATGCCGTACCAGCTGCAATTCAATACACGTATATAAACACGTCTAACACCCGGTCGCAAAGTATTATCACGTAGATACGTAAGTAGCCCCAGTCCACAAGGACTGTGACATAGATTACTGATCCTGCCTCTAATAAACGGGACCATGATTAAACCCAACCCCCAACCGAGAGAAGACAGAAGAGAGGTCTAAGAATCCCATGTCAGCTTGACATAATTTACAATAAAGTTAGGTCAATAACCAAGGTAATGTAACGTTAGATTACCTAAATAGGGGCTTCCTGCCAATCAATAATAACCATGCGATCCAACAATTATCTCACCACAGCCTAGCTTTCAGATCCGCGGACGAAGAGTTCAGAAGAATCTCGCGTAAGGCGCCTTCATTCCATTGCATTTTTCCGGAACTATTCGTCTGAACCAAGCTGCCCAGGGAAGTGGTCCCTGAATTTGACGACGTTTTCGCGTGCCGGGTGACAATGGCTCATCGACGCCTTGGTCTAGCAGCTGTTTCTGATGTTCTGCCTCGGCAGACGAAAGAAAGGCACAGAGCTCCATCGACGAGATAGGAATATCTTGATCGAGATTGGGGTATTCTCGTGAGATGCTCTCGGGGGCAAAGTCCCTAAGTGAAAGCTGGAGCGCCGGTTATTTAGGTTCATCGACTGGAAGTCCAGACTCCGTTCGAAAAGGCTGCAAATCGTCGGTCAGTGCCAAAATTTCCTAGGACCGCGGCTGAAAAAGAACGTACCATCATATCGATCACAGCCTTTGCTTCGAGTTCCCTCACCCCATTCACGGTTATTTTATGCGGTCGCCAAACAGATACAGTCGCCTTCTTAGACCCTCTATATTCAATATTGAGGGCAACCACAGCATTCACGCTGGCATTAGTGTCGAGGATATAATCATCCGCCAAGTCCGCAGCAGCTCGGACTTTTTGTGAATAGCACACTTCTATAATAACACCGGGATATCTGGCATGTTCGTGTATAAATGAAGCATCTGGGGACCGTTCGGAACAAGTCTGCTCTCCATTGTTTGTATCATTCGGTAGCCGTATTCTAGATGTCGATAAATGTTTGGTTTTTCTCGCCAAATCACCGAAGGCTTCATCACTCTTTGCAACTCTGTCAATTGATTCAAAATTCCAGAGACCACCTCGGCACAGAAGTAACCATGTAGAGGACTTGGCACTCGGATAGTGAGACGGGATCGTCTAGGGTCGTAGTCGAGCCTATAACATGAATTAACAAACATGCATTCAATGTACCTGAATACTGGTAGTACTTACCTTATCTTGTCCTCCACGTAGCCTCGAAGAGACTCGTCACCATCCAATGCACGTAAAACCTCCGTATATTGGACAGGAGTGAGCCGGTGTTGCTACCAAGATTGTAGGCTTCGACCTTTTTGGTGGACTTTGAAACAGTTCAGCACGCTTTGAGCACTGGTCGACAACTTCTTCTCCTCCGAGGCCGGGGGTGTGGGGGAGTATTCGCGAAACTACCAGTTGGTGTGGTTTTCTTCTCCATGGAGTCTGATTCAGGGGACATCATTGGGGTATGGTTTGTTAAGATGCTTGCTCTTCCAGAGCCCAAATAGCGATGTCAAGCAAAAAGGTGGCCCCGTAGTGCCTTTGCTCCTAGCGGAGATCAAAAGAGTTATTCGTCGGTCAGCTGAGATACATAGAAACCATGTCTAAATAGCACATATCAGGGTCCAATAATCCGAAGAAGCCACGTCAAGTCTGCACAATAGCAAACAAAAAGTAGATTTAAGCTTAAATCAACTCCATTGCCCCCTGATGTGCACAGAGAAGAGCCCCATCCGAGAATGCGCTAGTCTACATTTGGATATAGCCCCCAAATGCTAATCTGCAAGACGTGTCACATGATAGCGTTAACTTAGAGACGTTTGTTAACAACCTTGCAATTGCCTATATTTCATTGGTATTTGATGACTACCAGCGGGATATATCGCTGACTCTGTCCGACCGCCAAATCCTCACAATCCACAGACAATGCGATAATACTCCGTGAGCTGAAGGATCAGCTTACAGAACTTCGCCACGCCCCTAAATAACCACAGGCCATCAAAAGCAAACCCTGCTACATCCACATGGGTGCATATTCACCGATACCTCGAAGAAAATAAAGCTTTAAGATCTTGAATCTGTTCAAGATGTCCGTTAGTTCCTCAGTCCGCCCGAGGGGTGGCTCAACCCGGGCTTCAACCTCAAGATCAAAATTGGGCTGCAAAACTTGCAAGTTCGTAAACCCTCCCCTTGACCACACAAAGAAAATAATACTAATTCCACCTCAGAATCAGGAGAGTCAAATGCGGAGAAGAAAAGCCCCATTGTCTACGATGCACCAGTACAGGCCGCAAGTGTGACTATGAAAGTGCAAATTCCCGCTCAACTATATCATTCGTTTTCGAAAACCCACTTTCACTATCACCAAACACAGTGTGGCGAGAGCGTCGTGCCTTCGCCTATTATTTTCAACACACCGCAACTTCCATCGGTGGGGGATTAGATATTGATTTCTGGCGCACAATTGTTCCCCAGGTCTGCCGAAGTGAACCTGCAGTATGGGATGCCATGATATCTATAAGTTCACTCTTTGAAAGTCCTGACCCATATCCGGATCTTGTCCCCCTCCGACGGGATCATCCTCACAAACTGAATCAAAACCAACGAGATGCCTTGAGTTGGTATTCACGCTCAGTATCCGCCGTTCGTCAAGGTCTCGAGCGTGGTGGTGTTGGGGTTTTCACTGGTCTGATCACATGTGTCTTGTTCATCTGCGTCGAGGCCCTCCTAGGAGACATGGACGAATCATTGCATTTGTATAATCAAGGTGTACACCTCATTCATGCACTACGGGATCGAAAAGATTGCGGGGCCATGACAGCAACCGAATCTTCATTATTAGAAGACACGATTGTTCCAATTTTCATTCGACTAGGAGCAGTCACTCTCCACAGCCTAGCGGATCCGATGAGCACCTTGTTACGAGAAACGGAATGTGATTTTACGCAGGAGGTCATATTCGTGTCTCTCAAATCAGCGCGGGAAGCGATTGTCCTTCTTTCCGCAGAGATCCATCGATTCGAACAAGTCTGCGAACAAGAATTGGAGAAATCACATGCTCCTCATATATCCCCAAGATTGATGGTTCGCCAAAGAACCCTCTCAGTCAAACTACAACGCTGGCATGCTGCATTCACAAGATTAACAGCTTCTCCATTCAAAAATGAGCAATTCAGCACATGTGCCCTTCTTCTTGCCTATCATGAAATGCTGTTCGTCATGCTCGGGGTCTGCCACTCACCATCACGAATCACAACCGACGTTTATACACCGAATTTCCAGAATATGATCGAAAATTCCATTATAGCTCTGAATGGATCAGCTCGACCGGATGGAAGCCAGCCTCCTTTTACCTTTGAGATCAGCGTGGGCCTCCCACTATTCTTCACGTGCGTCAGGTGTCGTGACCCTAAACTCCGACGCACGGCTATAGCAATGCTTCGCAAGGCGCATCGGGTACTGGGACTTCACAACCGCGACCAAGGAATCATCTTGATTGAAGCAGTTGTCATGATAGAGGAAAACAATGGCAGAGCAATCGATCAAGCCCAGACCCCAAGCAGCTTCGAAACCGCAATAGCAAATGATACACCCGGCACTCCTATCAACAACAGAGAAATATCCGATGCGACTACCCCGATTACCTCTCTGGTCGCAGGTCCCTATCCCACACCTCCAGATACGGAGAGCAAGGCAGCAGAAGTGCTCGTTCCACAAGAGGCACGCATTAAACCACTCGGTGTATTCCGGCCACGAGATGGTTATCCACATAGCATGAGAAAGGAGGATTTAGAGATGTGCAGCCAAAGATTTGACGACTTGTTCTTCCGATTTTCGTGGAACGAATACAATCAGATCGACGATACATGGAGGACTGTGTATGGATGTCTCCCAGTGGAGCTTTGAGGGCTGCCAACCCTCTTCTCGTATAATATCATCATCTGAGTATATCGTCCATCTATTTTCTCTCTGTCGCTAGACCTGGTTTGTAAGATAGCTTAACAAGGAATCTAGACGACTAGATGATAAACGGAAATATAATGTAAGGGGATTCACATTAACTTATCAATTAATAGCAAGCCTAATATTACTACCGCATGTAAATTCAAAGCATGTAATGGAGCACTTGTGCTCATGGGTGTAAATGATTTGACATTCTTCATCAAACAGGCAAGATGGCCGAGTTGGTCTAAGGCGCACGGTTCAGGTCAACCTGATCCCGATGGTTTCATAACTATCTCCGTGTCTCGCAAGAGGCGTGGGTTCGAATCCCACTCTTGTCATATCTTTTTGTCATTTTCTTTGACCTCCCCACCATATGGATTCTTTTTGTTATAACATCAATCAAGTATTGAAAGTTGAAAGAGTTTGTTTATGTTCTACAGAAGTTCTTTTCTGTTTTATCTCTTTTACTTATCAGACTTTATTTCTACGGGGCATAGAGGATGCATGCACATACAACATAGCCTTGGTATATCAGACATATTTGACCACATCTCCAAACTTAATTGTTTCATTTCAGCCATAATTGACAGACATATTTAATCAAATATCAGATGTCTAAGCATTGTGTATGAGTTAAGATTTACTCTGGGAGGTGGACGCTGGTGATTCATAAGATATACGTAGGTACCAGCCTGATATTCGACATCAAGTATACTTCTATACTATATTCCAACCACAAGCCAGAACGAGACAAACAGTAGTTCATGTCTAGGTAGGTAAAGCAGGCAAAAGATAAGGTACAATTGTATTACAGTCAACTACACCATCAAAGAACAAAAGAGATATCGGCAATGAATCTAGGCACAAGTGGTCACATCAATCCAGAATGAAGGGAACGGGCTTTTCCCTCTCTACGGTATATTGTATACAGGGATTTTAAACAGTCAGACCGAGGTCCTCGGCATAGGGAAGCTGGAAGACATCACCAACGCTGACGAGGGTAGCCTTGCCAGATAGGAAAGTCTTGGCGACCTGCAAATAATTGTTAGCGAGAGTTTGGAAAATGCAAGAAATAGAAAAATAACATACCTCCTTGACCTGCTGCTCAGAGACATTCTCGAGAGCCTGGGCAACTTCGTTGATCTGGTAGGGCTTGTAGCCGTGGACGAGGCCGGAGCCGGTGGCCTCAAGACCGGTCTCGAGGGTCTGAACGGACTCCAGAGCGCGGAACTTGGCAAGGGCAACGGCCTTCTTGATGTCCTCGCTGGCGACCTCACCGGCGGCGGCCTTCTTGAGGGCGTCGACGACGTTCTTGCTGGCGGCGCCAACCTGGTCGGCCTGGCCGGACAGGGTAACGGTGAACAGACCGGCATCGGAGTAGGCGTTGTTCTGGGTGTTGACACGGAGCTGGGAGAAGCCCTTGGTGGCCTGGGACAGGAGAGAGAAGCCAGGGGTCCACTTGATGGTGGACTCACCACCCAGGAGGGCAGCAAGGACGGCAGCCTCGGGCTTGTAGCCGGCGGTACCGAAGGCGCTGGAGCCGGGGAAGGCAATTACGACAGCGTTGCCGGTCTTGGAGGCAATGCGCTGCTCACCACCGAAGTACTTGGTGGCGACGGTGGGCAGAACATTGTACTGGCTGGAAGCGTTGCCAGTGGGGAGGTCCTTGAAGAACTGGCCAACCCACTTGGAGAGCTCAGCGGAGTTGGGGCCGCTGGCGACGAGAGCGACGTTGGACTTGGCGTAGGCATTCTGGGCGAACTCGGCCAGAGCATCGCCGGAGAGGTACTTCTCGTAAGGAGAAGTCTGGGAGGGGGTGATGGGGGCACCCAGACCGCGGTGGAAGGCAACGCCGTGAGCGGCATCAACGGCAACAGTCTCAGGGTTGGAGTGGACGATCTGCTGCTTGTACTTGAGGAGCTTGCTGACAACCTCGTTCAATTCGTGGTCTGATATCATCGAAAGATTCGGGTCAGAAAAAGATGCTCCTATAATTACGCAATCTACCACCAATCATCAAAAGGGACCGACTCACCAGCGAACTTGGTCTGACCGGCAACCTCAGCCAGCAGCTCTGTGAAGTAGGGGAGGTCCTTGGCGAGGAACTTGGTGCGGAGGACGACGTTTTCGCGCGAGTGTGTCGATGAGATTTCACCGCCCAGCAGTTCACTCTCCCGGGTGATCCGCAGTGCGGAACGCTTGAGGGTAGTCTGTCGAGTAAAGGCATGGTTAGTATCATTAAAGGCAGCTGAGATGATCCAATTGATGATATCAGACGGACCTTGAAGGCGAAACGCTCGAGAGCATCGGAGAAGCCAGGGAAGGGCTGGTAACGGGAGCCAGCCTTCGCGACCAGGGCGAGGGTACCGGTAGGGCCCTCAACCTCACGGTTGGCGACCTTCACACCGGAGGCCTCAGTGACTTCGTACTGGAAGGCAGGGTTGGCAGCCGAGGCCATGGACCGACGACCAGCGGCGAGCGCACGCGGCGCATTTCGGCAGAGGGAAGACCCCGACAACATCGTCGCTTGTGCCGAAAAGATATGCAAAGAGAAGAAGAAGAGATATAAACCCGAATTGGGTTTGTAAAGGGGGGCAATTGAGGCGGGGAGGGAGGCGGGATGCGGAGAGAGCAGGAGAGAAGAGGCAGTTTGGAGGTCACGAAAAGCTTCAAGATCCCGGCCTGTTGATTACTCGGGCTCTGATTGGCTGGAGTGACGAGTCGGACGGAACCGGAGTTACTTTTGTTCGGCAGTATATCAAAGTGATCAATGAATATATCTCGAGAATTATTATAGTCTAAAGCATGTCCGGAGAGTCAAGAAGCAGCTGGGGTGGCCTCCAGAGCCCCAGAGTTGTTCTCTCGACTCTCGTTGAAATCCAGTAGCCGGATCACCTGATCTACACGTCACGTGAGCCGCAATCGAGCGATAAGCAAAAAAAGAACGTGGAGAGAGGACCTGCATCTCATTACAACCGGGTTTAGGACCTGCAGATCTCGGAGCTGCTCCATGAAACTTGCGTGGTGACCCTCTCGAGCATTCGAGGCTGGCGCATTTTTTTCAATATATCTTTAGTTCGTCATGACGACTCAGGTATGCGACATATGCGACTGTCCCACCTTATCCGGAGCTATGACTGACTTTGATCGCACAGTGCTCTTCCGAGCTGTGTATGCTCTTGATCGAGGATAACTTTGGAGAACTCTTCGCAGTGAGTGCTTGATACAGACCCTTGGACTGTATGATTCATCGTGCCGGTGGGGTAGAAAATTAATTGGTTTATTCGCAGCGCATCTTCACCGTTCTCCAACGCTATGAACGACTCACGCTCCCTCGGTTAAAGTTCTATTCGCGATTGACTGATCGCCAACTGAACAATGGAATCTCTGCTATGATCCAGCACCACCTCGTGTACCACTTTACCTCCCTCGATGAAAATAACACCTACTATGAAGCCAACCCGCAAGCCGCATACTCCCTTGTGCGCTCGGGAAAAGTTCTCCAACTTGTGGAAAGTCGATTGGGAGAGTATGCTGCCAAGGTATTGGAAGCGATCATGTTCCTCGGTCACACTTCGATCACCCACCTCGAAACCCTCCCCCAACTTCAACCGAAGCAACCCCTCACCAATGGAGTCAACCATGACGCGGAACAGGCAGAGACAAACGGGGACCATGAAGAAGAGGCCGTTGAAACCAATGGCAACCACTCTTCGAGCCAAAAGCCCGCCCGCCTTCACCCCACACTCAAAAGCCTTGCATCCCACGGATACATTCATCGAGTGCGGGAAGCACACTTCCAGAGCCCCAATGATAATTGGCTTGATGCGCAACGGATTGTTTCTGGCCGGCCAGACGTTAAAGCAATGAAAGGCAAGCAACAGCAGGCCGAGATTGAGGAGAAGGCAAAGAACATGGTTAAGGAACGAACGGAAGGAGATCTTTCCCGTGGTCTCATGTTTAATGGCCTCCCTCAAGGTGTGAAAAGGAAGTTTGAAGGTACTTCGGCCTCAAAAGCGGAGAATGGGACCAATGGTGTCAACGGGGACCATGCAGAGGACGAGCAAGACGAGGAAAACGATTGGTCAGAGGATGAAGATGGCATTGACTCCGCCCCAATGGATGTAAGTTTTTGCATTTTTCTCCCGGGTGTACAGCAACTCACATTTTACAGTCCAACCTCATCGTTCGAGTGAATTACGAGAAACTTGACGTGGCTCTTCGGAACGCGCAAATCCTCGAACTTGCTAGACAATATGCACCTCCTACGTCACTTGAAATTTATGATTGTCTCCTTCGGCGCATTGAATACCAAACACCCCGCTGCAGAGACACTTATGAAATTCCTCGCGAAGGCGAGGAAGGAGAACAGTATTCCGCTCCAATTCAGCTTAGTGCCATTGTCGACGATGTTGATCCGAATCTCGACCTTACAGGATGTATTGGGCCCATGAATCCCACATCTACTGCGTCGAATCGACGGAAAAGACCATTAGATGACGAGGCAAATGGTGTTAATGGCGACGACCACGGAGACGAGTCAACAGAGGTGAATCGTGCTTATCAGATTGATCAACACCTGAGTTATCTCTCACAAGCCCCTTTCAATCTCACCACAAAACACAACATTGGTGGACTCGACACCTGGAGAATCGCCTTCCGTGGCATTGCTCGAAAGTTACGCCATCTCGAATTGGAGCGTATGATTGAGTCGCGTTACGGCGATGTCGCACTACGGGTGATCCGCGTTCTCCACGCAAAGGGTCGGTTAGACGAGAAGCGACTCCAGGAGATCAGTCTGCTTCCCTTCAAGGACCTGCGCCAAACCCTTGCCAGCATGCAAAAAGGCGGGTTTGTGGACTTGCAAGAAGTGCCGCGTGACGCGCAGCGCCAGCCCTCCAAGACCATCTATCTGTGGTACTATGACCCAGACCGAGTGTGCAGCAGCATCTTGGAAGACACGTACAAGGCTATGTCACGATGCTTGCAGCGCATCAAGTTTGAGCGCGAACGTGAGAGAGATTTCCTTGAAAAAACGGAGCGAACTGATGTCAAGGGCCACGAGGAGGAGTTCCTGTCAGAAGCTGAACTGGAGCATCTCCGCAATTGGAAGGCCAAAGAAGCCCTCCTCCTGGCGGAAGTATCTCGTTTGGATGACATGGTTGCTGTCTTCCGCGATTATTGATCTGTATTGTCTAGTAGGGAAAGCTGAATCCTGGACGTGGAGTTGCATACATCTTGTACAGGCGCATGAGCGACGATTTTACACAATCTTTTTTTTTGTCTTGCCGGAATGGATATCAGTCTTGCTCGAAGCGTTCCTCGTAGACCAACTGGCGCATTTTTAGCTTACGAGGGATGAACCCTTGCCTGAACAAGGGTCCCAATTGTAACGGCCGTGCGGTTGGAAACACAACCGCGTTGTCTGGCATAACCTGACTGGCCCATTCCTGGCCGAAATTTCCGTAGAAAGGTTTCACGATGATCGGCAGGGTGTCGTCATATCTTCACGTGAATGGCAGCCAAGGATATACGAGACTAGCGTCTGGACAGGGCTTGTACGAAAAGCAGGCAGCCGAGATATACAGCCAAGTATATTAATAGCGAAGCACGATAGTGCTACCTAATACTGGAATTTACAGCATTCAGTGGCGCATGGTAGTTAATATAAAACCAACCACTCCCTTGCACTAAACAACCTGTATAACAAGAAATAACCAGTTCCAGAAGTTGAATGCAAGAAGTGTCATCAGATCAAGGTATGCAACCACGTCAGCCCTATTGATTGGTGTCAAGCCACAAACCACCATGACGCTGGCGCGACGCCGGTGGCTGCCCAATCCCTGCAGGTTTCCTACTGTATACCTTACCTTGATTCCCCATTAAAAGGGAATAGACCCCGTCTGACGCGACTATTGAGCAGCTTCTCGATCTTCCACACTCACGATCACATTCATACAAGCCATGGCTATCCCGTGGATATTTCCCGTTCGGATCGCCCAAGCTCTCTTCGGCATCGTTGTGATTGGACTAACTGGATATGGTATACCAACCCCAAACAACCCAGTCAGGGCGAGCTCTAACCATTCCGTAGTGGTCTCCACGTACTATTATTATTCAAGTTCCGACACAGTCAACTTCCTCCTCTTTCTCGGCTGCTGGACTGCCTTCGTCGCAGTGCCGTACCTCACCTTTGCGCCGCTCCATTTCCCCCGCCTGGCGCATCATTATGTGATTCCCGGTGTGGAGGTTGTTACCATGATCTTCTGGTTTGCTGGGTTCATTGCGATGGGATCTCAGCTGCCTGCGCCGCGGTGGTGTCATTCCAGTACTTGCAGTTCGCTGCAGGCAGCAACAATATTCGGTGCTTTTGAATGGTGCGTTCTGTCTTTCATGGCGCTGATACAGTAGTGTTTTGCTGACCGCTTTTCTAGGGTGCTCTTCGCAGTGACTTCATACTTTGCGATCGTGGATGTTATGAATCACCGTCGAAGTGGAGAGAGTGCCAAGGCCACCCATTCAAACGCGCATCTTGGTGTTTGATGTGTTTAGCGTGTTTGATCTGTTTGTTTCTCGTCCGAGCTCGGAAGGTCGAAATGCTGGTTTAACTGGTGTTGGGATGCGATACCCTTTGCGTTTATTATGTTGTGTACAATTGGATTTAGTGTGAATATTTCATGAGATCATGCCATCCTTACTTCTTATCTATAGAAGTAGTTCAATATACCTCTACCCACGTAGTCCAATACTGTTATGTCACCAAAGTGATAAGTTGAAGACACTATCGGGTTCCACCGCAACCGGCGCAAGCCGAGCCCACCCTATTTCAGCCCACACTAAACTAGGCAGGTGCCCGTATGTTAGAATCACTTGGTTGTTCATTGGTAGCTCGCTGGGAATTAGACTATATCGTCTCGTTATAGAGAGAATATCCCCCCGGGGAGCTCTATAGAAGATAAGAAAGACAAGCTCTGAAACCTTATTTATAGATCATCGACTTCATCGACTCTCGACTTCATTGACTTCCCCGCTGTAGCGTAACATCGTGCGGTTGATCCTCGATAACATTACACGACAGCATGACTGATAATCTTAAAGTTCTGTCCAGAATGTGTCGCCACCGAGAGAAAACTCTTCCCGGCGGATGGCCCACATGGGCAAATGAACCCGGCATACGGGACAAAATGGAATGGCAAAAAAAATAAAAAAGACTATAGTTCCCCCCTCTTTAAAAGACTAAAATCAAAAGAAAAAGCATTTTTCTCAATTGCCAATCCTCTGTTCATTTCCTGTTACATAAATTCCCCCAGATCTGGCAGAGGTATAGGGCTTGACACCGCGTGCTTCTCCACACCGGAAAAGAAAAAGCCTGTTCATCGGCAGCCCGTTGGCCGATAGATCTCGCAGAGTGGAGAACGCTGCACGCGCTTCGCAGCTCTCCTCAAATTCTTCCTCTGTCACACCCGTTCACGTCTTCCAGCAATGGCCCACGACAGTGCTCCGTGGACAGAGAAGGGAAAGATGGACTCTGAAGTCCCTATTCAAGTGGCGCAGAACCCCATTGACTCATACGATGTCGACTATGAGAAGCATGGCGCCCAGCGCGAGGCAAACCCGCTGCCACAACTGAAGCGGAAGTTGAAGAGCAGGCACTTGCAGATGATTGCCATTGGTGAGTGAGCCCGTTGTGCGCCAGGGGATGTTGGCGGAGAGAAGGATGCCCCATACTGACATTTTGCGAAGGCGGCACGATAGGAACTGGTCTTTTCATCGGTAGCGGTACCGCCATTGCCCACGCAGGCCCCGTGGGTGCTCTCATCGCGTACATCTTCGTCGGAACCATCGTCTACTCCGTCATGACTGCCCTCGGAGAGATTGCGACTTATATCCCGATTCCGGGAGCGTTCACTTCATATGCTGCTCGTTTGATTGACCCCAGTTTGGGATTCGCCATGGGCTGGATCTATTGGTTTTCTTGGGCGTCGACTTTTGCGTTGGAGTTGACTGCCACTGGGTTGATCATTCAGTTTTGGGACAGTAACATTCAAATCGCCATCTTCATTGCTGTCTTTTGGGTGGTGATTATCATTTTCAACATGATGCCTGTCGGCTTCTATGGTGAGATGGAGTTTTGGTTTGCCAGTATCAAGGTGATCACTGTGATCGGCTTTATGATTTTTGCCATCTGCGTGGACGCTGGTGTTGGTGAGAATGGATATCTCGGTTTCCGGTACTGGGTTCACCCTGGTCCATTCGTTGCCTACACGATCAAGAACAATGACAGTCTGGCCAAGTTTGTTGGATTCTGGTCGGTCCTGATTCAGGCTGGATTCTCCTACCAGGGAACTGAACTCGTTGGAATTGCCGCTGGTGAGACCGAGAACCCTCGCAAGACCGTTCCCTCCGCCATCCGCAAGACCTTCTTCCGAATTGTCTTCTTCTTCATCTTGACTATCTTCTTTATCGGACTTGTTGTGCCCTCCGACGATCCGGCTCTGTTGACGGCCAGTGAAGGCAGTGGCGCTAGTGCCCAGAACGGCAACGCCTCGCCCTTTGTCATTGCCGCCAACCGTGCTGGTGTGAAGGCTCTCCCGGGTATCATCAACGCCGTGCTTCTGACCGTGGTGCTGTCCGCTGCCAACTCCAACGTCTACAGTGGCAGTCGTATTCTGGTTGGTCTGGCTCAGGAGGGCTTCGCCCCTCGTTTCTTCAAGAAGACCTCCAAGGGCGGTGTTCCTTACTGGAGTGTGCTTTTCACCGCCGCCTTTGGTCTGCTCGGTTTCCTCAATGTCTCTGACTCGGGTGCTACCGTGTTCAACTGGCTGCTTCAAATCTCAGGTGTTGCTGGTTTCATCACCTGGTGTTCCCTGAATGCCTGCCACATTGCCTTCCAACGAGCACTCGCTGCGCGCAACATCTCCCGTGATGTCCTGCCCTACAAGGCCATCTGGCAGCCTTGGTTCTCCTGGTATGGACTGTTCTTCAACTGTCTGATCATTATCACTCAGGGATTCATGTCCTTCATCCCCGAGTTCTCGGTTCAAACCTTCTTCATCAACTACCTGAGTTTGATCCTGTTTGTGGTGTTGTACCTCGGACACAAGATCATCTTTCGTCCTGCCTTTGTCAAGCCCATTGAGGCTGACCTGGATACCGGTCGCACCACTGCTGACAATGAGACATGGGAGACTGTTGAACCGACGACGTGGTACGGAAAGGCCTGGCTGTGGATTGCTGGGTAATGTTTTAGAGGTGTCTATTTGCATATTGAAGGCGTTGGCATGTACAGCACATACACATATTATTTATCACAAAATTATTTATACATAGTTATCTAGTCACATATTCATATTCATATTCAACATATTCATATACATATACCTATACTTATCTCTATCATTTGACTTCGCTATTTCGGTTCACGTGAAAGACATGTGCGCAACTCTTGGGCAATGACGTGCATGTGTCAGCAGGCACCCTGTTTTCAGTTCACTAGCGTGGTACCTGACTCACTATGGGGATCACCACCTGTTGACATGTACCTCCAGGGAGCCGAGGTCTCTTTTTTTTGCCAGCTCGGCTCATGATGGCTTCAATGGAGTTTTATCCAAAAAGGTCGGCCGCTCCGGGCTGTTGAGACTCTCCAGTTAATTTTCCCCACACTCTTTCCTCCACCCCCTTGATTCAACGGATATCTCGGAGGCCTTGTCCTTTTTCTTTCTCGATATTCTGGTATCCTGGTTTGTCCTCCTGTTTACTTTTTGACTCTGCTTTTTTCTTTTCTGTGACTTATATTGACAGCTCCCCAGGTCGACACCATGTTCTTCACACAACCTCCTCACCTGGCAAAGGCCGAAGAGCTCAAGCAGGAGCCTCCCAATGGGACAGCGTACTCGATCGCGATTCCCGGCACTGAGCAGCCTGGCCGCAGTCGTGTATACCGAGCATGGAATGCGCAGAAGGAATTGTTGACCACGCTGGATCCACAGGTATGAGGAATAGCCGATGAGGCCGAGGTATCCATTGCTGATGAGTTTCAGGTCACCACTGCCCATGACATGTTTGAATCGAGCGCCGTCCGCCAGCCCAAGAACCACTGCCTTGGATGGCGTCCATACAACCGCGTAACCAAGACCTATGACGAATATTCATGGCTCACATATGAGACGGTGCAGAAGAGACGTGCCGCATTTGGTGCGGGTCTGGTGGAGCTCCACCACAAGCACAACTGCCATCGCCCCGGGCAGTATGGTATCGGTCTCTGGTCTCAGAACCGACCGGAGTGGCAGATCACTGGTGAGTGGCAGTAGCTAGGAAAATGCGTATACGAAACTAACTCGGGATAATTAGATCTTGCTTGCGTTTCTCAATCTCTTTACTCCGTCTCCATCTACGATGTCCTGGCACCAGACGCTACTGAATATATCATCAACCATGCTGAGCTGCACTGTGTTGTTACTTCTTTGCCGCACATTCCCACCCTGCTGAAGCTCAAGGCTTCTCTACCCAACTTGAAGATGATTGTCAGTCTGGACCCGCTGGATGGCGGTGAGGAGAATGGACATTCCAAGCGTGCGCTGCTTGAGTCCATGGCTGCTGGTATGGACGTGACTATTTACTCCATGGATCAGGTGGAGGAGATTGGCGTCGCCTCTAAGCGCGGATACAATGCTCCCTCTGCAGATGATATTGTCACGATCAACTATACCTCCGGTACAACTGGTCCCCCCAAAGGTGTGATTTTAACCCACCGCAGTGCGGTGGCTGCTACATCCTGTGGTCTGGCCTTCATTCCTCAAGCTAGAGGTGACACAATGTGCTCTTACCTCCCATTGGCCCATATTTATGCCCGTCTTTCCGAGCACACTGCTTTGTGGGGTGGTGCTCGAATCGGCTACTTCCACGGAAACATTTTGGAGTTGGTGGATGACCTAAAACTGCTTAAGCCCACCGGCTTCATATCTGTCCCTCGTCTATACAGCCGATTCGGTACTGCTATCCGTGCCGCAACAGTCGAGCAGCCTGGTTTCAAGGGTGCTCTGTCGCGACACATTGTGGCAGCCAAAACCGCCAATCTGAAAAACCCTGACCCCTCCAAGGCGACCGGCAAGCACGCCTTGTACGACCGCATCTGGGCCAAGAAGGTGGCTGCCGCTCTCGGTCTGGAGCGAACTAAATACATGATTTCCGGCTCCGCGCCTCTGGACCCAACCCTGCACAACTTCCTCCGCATTGCCACCGGTTCCGATGTCATCCAGGGCTATGGCCTGACCGAGTCCTATGCCATGGCCACCGCCCAGTCCTCGAGTGACTTGTCATCCGGCAACTGTGGTCGCATCGCACCTAGTATGGAGGCATGCCTGGCCTCCCTTCCCGATATGGAATACTCCGTGGACGACAAGCCCTTCCCTCGCGGCGAGCTCCTACTCCGCGGTCACAACAACTTCCGCGAATACTACAAGAACGAGGAAGAAACGTCCAAGGCCGTAACCGAAGACGGCTGGTTCCGCACCGGTGACGTCTGCACCGTCGACGAGAGAGGTCGCTTCATCATCATCGACCGCCGCAAGAACGTCCTCAAGCTCGCCCAGGGCGAGTACATCTCTCCCGAGCGCATAGAAGGAGTTGTCCTCTCCGAGCTCGGCTACATCGGCCAGGCCTACGTCCACGGCGACAGCCTGCAGACCTTCTTGGTTGGAATTTTCGGCGTCTCCCCCGACATGTTTGCTCCATTCGTGAGCAAGGTTCTAGGCAAGGACATTGCCCCGACAGACCTCGAAGCAATCAGGGAAACCCTCAACGACGACAAGGTCCGTCGTGCCGTCCTCCGTGACCTTGAGCGCATGGCCAAGAAGCACAAGTTCGCCGGATATGAGCGCATCCGCAACATCTCCCTCAAGCTTGAACCGTTCACCATTGAGAACAACCTCCTCACCCCAACGTATGTTCCACACATCCCATCTCCCTCTGACCTACATTTCACTAACACACTTTCCCACAGTCTCAAGCTCAAGCGTCCCCCCGCTGTCAAGCTCTACCGCACCCTCCTGGACCAGCTGTATACCCAGGCTCTCGAGGAAGAATCTGCTCCCCGGGCTAAGCTGTAGTGGACAAGATCCACCTCTATCCACTTATGTTTATGTCCCTGTCAGTGTCAAACTATTCTGACATTGTTTTGTTTCCGGCTCGTTCGGGGATTGTACATAGAAGCCGTCTATAAATTGTAGTATATCAACTTTTTTCCATAACTTAATCGCTTTCTTTGTAGACCTAACATCCAGTCTTGATCTTGAACACCATCATCCCTTCGATCCTTAATTTCTTCCTCCGCGACATCTAACTTATACCCAATGGTCAATCTACATCGAAGGAAACAACCAGTCCATGAATTGATAAAAATCTATAACCTAACCCTTCTAGCAGCGAGCATGACAACCCCATTCACAATTGCAGAGCCAATAACCAGCCACGCGGTCTCCATGTCCAATAATACTGAGCAGCGACTCGATGTCACACCAGGGCAATATCATATTGGAATCATAACCGACAGGCTCGTAGTCACTATCTGTTAGACCACGAGACTACCCTCGTTTCACTGCATCTAATGCTCTATATGAAGAAATAGAAATCCAATAAAAGCGACAAGGGTATTAGTATAGTATAGAACAGTACCGCAATCAACCCTTGGCCGAATGACATTGTTCTTGCCATAGCTAGAAGTATACTATGCACAAACAAACCTACTAGGTTCACCTAGGTTTGCCCTAACTTCTATCTAACTGACACCATACTCAACATTCAACCAGGGGTTGGGTTAGTCCTGTAGCCACCGCCATTAAGAGGAACAACCCAAAAATCAACCCCAACCAACACCTTGATAGCGGTAGATAGGTAAGAGAATCAAAAAGATTCTACAAAAAGATATGACAAGAGTGGGATTCGAACCCACGCCTCTTGCGAGACACGGAGATAGTTATGAAACCATCGGGATCAGGTTGACCTGAACCGTGCGCCTTAGACCAACTCGGCCATCTTGCCTGTTTGATGAAGTAAGCGATCTGTGTTGGTTCTATGAATGAGCTGCTACTGTGAAACGAGGTATGCTAACGTTTGTTTAACTTGTCTTTTTTCCTGTTTGTTGTGTTGCTTGGTGTTTTCCATATGAATTACTATATCTTATGATTAACTCGTGATTTCCTATTTCTATTTCTATTCACATGTTCATACTATCATTTTCTAATCGTTACCCTTTTTTTGGGCATTGGGCGCTGTGTATATCCTGTGACTTATATATCTTTGGGTATGTTATGGTGTTTAATTCCAACAGACTACCAAAAATCAAGAATACGAAGTAGTAAAGAGCACTGTAAATATCACATTTATGATTTTCATGCACAACCGCCGTGTGACTATGATATGCGACCCAAACCATCAAGAATATAGTCGCAGAGCGCCGAAGATAAGTAGACGGCAACCGGGGAATCGAATATAGAAGAGAGACGATCAAAAGGAAAATCAAAACCTCCTAGCAAAACCAGACCGCGAGAAAGAAGAACAAAAGAAGAAAAAAAAAAAAGGAAATCATTGCATCACTCATTCTTCATTATCATACCCAAAACAACCTGAAACTCACGTCCGGTCCATCGTGCCACACCAATAATCCAGACGCAAGTCAGTCAGATTGCGCGGCGGGAGACCCCAAGTGCGCGCAAACCAGAGCGCCAACCCACCAACAACACCCACACTACCCGCAATCTGCACAAGCACCCAGCTCCGGCGACCAAGATCATCAATCCAGCCCACCACGCCGAGAGGGTCATGCGGGCTGAGACTGGCAACATGGTAAACGGGCGAGGCAGAATGTGCTCGCATGACATGCAGCCCGTTTGAGTGTGCATGTTTCTCACCAACTGGGATATGCAAGCCACAAAAGCCAGGGGTTTGCGACAAAGGTACGAGCGAGCCGTCGACAACGCACTCGCTCAAGCGCTCGGTCAGCCAGACCGCGCGCTCGCCCCGCGCTAGTGAGGAATAGCGATCACGTTCGTTCTGTAGGCTTCGCTGTAGGTCAGTTGCCCACTGCGCCAGTCGAACCTGAGCGATCCGCTCTTCGTTTCGAGTGTGGTCTGCTAGGCGGGCCATGGCATAGCTGGGAGAGGACGAAGTCAGGGTTGGGCCCGGGGCCTGGTCGGCCCCACTTGGGGTTGGACTTGGGTGCGCTTTGGGCATTGCGGGAACCGAACAAACGCCGGCGCGTTGGATGAGTTTCTTTGCAGCGGAATGGCGCATCCATGCCAGGTTATCTCGGTCGAACATCTTTTGCACTAGTGCATCTAATTCTGAAGGTACGAGGGGTTGGACGTAGTCCGGGCTCATGAGGGTGCTGGCGTCCATTGTTTCCGTGTCGACGGTTTTCTCCGATGACACTGCATAGGGCGGTTGGGATGATTCTAGCCCGTCTAGTTCCCCCGGCGGGTCTCCGAACAAAAAGGGCTTAATCCCTGCCTCGCAGGCTTGTTCATGGAACCGCAATTTCAGGGTGGAAATTTGATCGGCGGAAAGTGTGTCCGATTTGGACACTACTGGAATCACATTACTCAGTTCGCAGAGCTTGCGAATGCAGTCCACATCGGTCGATAAAGTGTCTGGAGATGTACATCAGCATGGGGGGAGTATGAGACCGGGGATTCAGGAGACCTACCATTAGAAATCAAATAAAGGATGGCGTCCACCTGGGATCCACCATTGCCGGCAAGTAAATTTTGGAAATCCACACCGGTGTCATTGAGAGCAGAGGTAGCACGAAGCAACTGCTGTCGCAAATATTGAACGACGGCGTCGGTTTGTCCCGCGCGACTCAATGATGTAGCCGGTGTATCGACAAAACATATGTTTCTCTCCAGCACGATTTCCCCGATACTTTTTCGGCGTCGAAGCACGCGCGAATCTTCCAAATCCGACCACCAGGAGGGATAAGGTTTGGTACTCGCATAAATTTCGGAGGTGCTGATCAGCGTACCACGCGACCGAGGCCGAGAAGGTCTACATCGTTCTACTGAGGTCACCGATGGAATTGTGTCGACATGTACGATATCGTCACAAGTCTGAACAATCGACTTGATCAAAGAAGTTTTTCCCGAACCTATTTCAAGACGATCAGTGGCATGTCCCTACCAAGATAAGGCGTGGAACTCACCTGGGGAACCAGCCAGAAGAACTTTGAACCGACCCATGGTTTTTCCTCGCTCGGTGAACGGTCGTCGACTCGGCATTTTGATACTTGGCATTATAAGCTGGGACGCCCCACCCGGGGGTGGATGTGATGATCCATAGTCCTCCTCATCTCCAGACCCGATAGCCTGACTATTGATTTCATCGGTAATCGAGATCTCATCAAGAGGTCGTAATGACTGGTTGGAAATTGATTTTGGGCTGCTAGGCAGCGACGACGGATCATCAGGGTTGCCCAGGTCGAGCGGAGTCAACGGCCGAGAGACTATCTGAGACAGAGACGATGTCTGTTCTGGAGAATCCAAGACTCCTGCATCCAGCGGCTTGAGAGTGGACCGACGTCGTGCAAGGTGCGATTCTAAATCGTCGGTGGTATCGGTGGCATCGGCGGCATGGTTTAGGCTGTCTGCGGGGAGATCGCGGGGCGATCTGGCGAACTCGGCCGGACATAGGGTCTCATCTAGGCTTTGCACTCCGTACATATGTTCTTTGGCATCTTGACTCCCATGACTCTCTGTCGAGATGCTGGATTCCAGATCCGAGCCATGCGGACTGCGAGATAAGAAGAAGGTCGCGGGGGTCGCGGTGCGGGGATCGAGGGAAGGAGAGGTGTCAAAGGAGCGCTTGCGTGGGAAAGGGTCTGGAACAGGTCTCATCATGAAGGCATTTCTCTAGAGAACCAGATCCAAATAGATTCAAGGGATGAAGCTCAGATAGCGGAGTGTATACGAATGATCATGTCATTGTATAGGTAAGCATCACGGGGTGATAAGACCCCGCTCTGCCTCAGGCAACGATGAGTGCCTGAATCAGCCAGTCAGGTGTTTCCAATAGTCTGCCCCGTCTGCCCCGTCTGCCCCGTTCAGGCTTCTCAGTTCCATAAGAATGTCTGGTGAGAGCCCTGGGAGTGTGTAGAATGTCTTGGTTTCGCTGTGATTCCAGCTCTCTTCCCCCCATTTCCGGGCATATCTCCACTGGGAATCCCTGCTAGTACCACTCAAAAAGTCACGGTTAAATTACAGCGTACATATACGGAAGTACTGTAGTGTACTTTTTCCCTTCTGCATCGGCTACAAAGCCAGGCGCAACTAGCGCCATAATAATAAAAAAAGAGGGAAAACTAAGCACACAGTGGCAAGCCGGTGGTTGGAACCGAAGGTCGCAGAGTACCGTGTCCGCCCGATTTCACGGAAAAGGTTGAACTCCACCAGGCACTTTCTGGTTCAACTCCTGGGATCTCGAGATCCCCGGTGCCTCTTCTCTGTCTTTGTCTTTGTCTTGTGCCTACGGTCTTTGGTCTTCTATCTACAAGGCCATCTCTTCAATCCTTCTTTATTTTACACATCTCGTCTCTCCGATTGGCCCCCCCCCTCCTCTCTATTGAATTGCCTACCCTCTTTCTTCTGTCCTACCCACATGGACCAGCCAGCCATGTCGTGGCCGGAGCAACTCCATGAGAATACGCTCATGGCCGCGCCCGAGGATGAGTTTTCCAACTTCCTCGAGTTCAATATGCCGTTTCCCGACATCGAAGGGCACGGACCAGTCAATCTGCAACATTCCCAGCAACATTCCCTACCAACGACGTCGGCTCCTTCTGAGATGGCCTACTCGCAGTCGCATGCCGTGCAGTACCCCGGCAAAATGGAGGGCATGGCCATGGATTTCAGCCATGATCCCCAGGCGCATTCGCACGTCAACCAGATGGCGTACTCGGCCCCTGGGATGACACCGGGCTTCTGCGCGCAAGAACCCTCACCCATGTCGCAACCCACGCATCAACATTACATGCAGGGCCAGACGATGATTCCTCCAACCCCGAACAGCATTGAAATGCATGGAAATGCTGCCCGCTATTCGCAGCGCGTGGACGGGACCCCCGAGATCTATGATAGATATGGGCGCATTAATGAAGAGCAGGTAAGTCTCAAGATGCCCCACTGGCATGAATGAATGTGCTAACAGATTAGGCTCTTTACACCCCGCTCGTATCTCCAGCCATGACTCCGCTGGAAAACCAATTTCGACTTCCCGAATACACGATTCCCGGCGAATACTTTACACCGCTCACATCTCCTGCTCTGGAGGCTCAAAATGCCGAATCCAACAGCTACCAATTCCATGCCAGACAAGTGTCGGATGTGGGCTTCGTTCCTACGACCGCAGAAGTGAACCAGCTCCCTGAGACATCAGCTCCTGGCTCTCCCAGCATCATTCGCAAGCCCAATAACCGCCGACGCCCATCAACGACCACTACCCGGCTGAACAATGCACGGAAGGTCAAGCAGTCGCCCAACATCCTGGCGCAACGCAAACGCAGCACATTAGCGACAAATTCAGAGGAGTTTTACAACAGCCTAACCCAGGAATTAAATTCCACGAAGCCGCAGAACCAGGATATCCGTTCTCTACAGATTAGCAGCAATGAAGGCTCTGGTCAAGATTCGGTTTCCCCCGAACCATTATCAGAACCATTGATGCCACCCCCTGCTCTCCCTCCTCCTCGGATGTCTCCCGCCATTGCTCCCCATGTTCCTTCGCCTGGCCTCGCTGCGACCCCTTCGCTTCTGATGCGCCTCCAGAGGAACTCGCATGCGCAGAGCACGTCGGGCTCTTTCGGTCAAGCCCAGCTTGCCGAGTCCGATGTTCCAGATGAGATGATGGAAGATATTTCTCTGCCAGAGGCGGCCACATCTACTCAGCTGCGTCCGAAGATCAACCGGATTGAGACTGCCATACGAACTCCCTCTTTATCCACCAATGGAACGCCAGCCTTGGAACCTCTGTCTGCTTCGCTTGCTCCCAGTCCCTGTACGACTGCAATGCAATCTCCCAGTGGACCGGTCCCGCGGAAAGAGTCCTCGAAAGCCTCTTCTCGGAAACGTCCAAGTTTGAGCTCCACACATGCCAGCCCGCAGCTGCGCCCCAAGATCAGCCCCAGCATCCAGCCCCTCGTAAAAGGCGGCGAGGGTAAGCTTATCCCACGTGAGATTTGACGAACCTTATACTAACTATATCTAGGTATGTCCCATGATGCTCTTTACTTGGCATCAAAGTCAAACTACCAGCACATTCTTGATGGCACTCTTCCGTCTGGAGTTTCCTACCCGGAGGCTCTGGCCGAGAACCTCAGTTCCAAGCGCACAAATCACAAGCTTGCCGAGCAGGGCCGCCGGAATCGGATCAACAGTGCATTGAAAGAGATCGAGCTCCTCATCCCGAAAGACTTCATCGACGCACGAAACGCCAAGGAGACTGCAGAATCCGGGAACAAGCCCGTCGACAAGGAGAAAGAAAAAGAAAAGGCCAATCAAACCATCAGCAAGGCCACCGCCGTAGAGATGGCCATTGACTACATCAAAGCCCTGAAGATGACCTTGGACGCAACCAGCGCCAAACTGGCAGTGGCGGAGGCCAAATTATCAGACGACTCGAAGGTCGCGGTCACAGGCGGGGCATCAACTGCCCAAAAGGAGGATGCAAGTGAATCCAAGTGATCTGTGATTTGCGCAAACACGCGGTCCTAATATGACCGAAGTCTTTTGCTCGTCTCCAAAAACAATATCGGGTTAGGTTTAGGGTTGGGAAAAAGGGTAACCCTATCTATGCCTTTAAGTTAATTTGTTCTATGATCTACGATCTATGTTGTGTTATTTGCTTTGATAGCGTTGGAGTTGAACTACGGTGGCACTTTGCTTTAGTTTTTTGTATACCAATAGACAGTGAACGTTGATAAGTTATTTCTTGTGTATTTGTCAGATCTTGTATTGTTTCGTGCTATCCTAAGACTACTGGATCTGGATTGAGTGCACTCATCTAGCATAGAAGCCTCTTTCAACCTCCCATCTCTTCTTATGTGACTTTTCTAGCCTCGACAATGAGACCTTTACGTCTACACATGTATATAAACAGCCCCTTGGTATCTTTCCTCGCCCTTTTCTGCGCGATTTCATATTCATATCTATCTACTGGATAACTAGTCACGTCAATATCGTACGTTTAACACTGTGTTTCTTCATTCTCATGTTCAGTGGCAATCCAAACTCGGTGGAAATACCCCTTCGTCAGGGTTCGAACTGTCGAGATCACAGCATCACAACTGGGCGCGTAACTCAGTGGTAGAGTGTTCGCTTTGCATGCGAAAAGTCCGGTGTTCGATCCACCGCCCGTCCAATTCTTTTTTGCTTTTACGTATTTATTTATGTATATGATCTTTTTGATATTTTAAAGAATATTGGCATGTACTTTGTTTATTTCCTTGCATGTGCAAATTGGTTTTTGTTGGCTTTGGGAAATAATAAAAATGCTTTGGTTGTTGTTAGGGCAGGGGGAGTATGATACACGTTATGAGTTAACGTTATGGCTTCATGTCAGTAAATACTGCTGTCAATAGAAAGAATTAGGTCCAGTCTGTTTTCGCTGCTACTGTCTACTATCCTGCTGGAAAGTAGAAATTAGGGACAGGGAATTTATAATATACACAAAGATTACTGAACTGGGTTGGGGATGATTTCCTAGTTGGGAAGCATTTCATCGAGGGCGAATACTGTATGCTGGCTTGGAGTTACGGTCCATGTTTAACTGGATGATGTGGCCAGTTATCAACTTCAGGTAGGAGCTCGGGAACAATAGATTATATGCTGACGATTACTAAAGGGAGAGGTTTACAGATCTACGATGAGCTGGAAAAGTGAGAAATATTATAAAATCTCATTGTAGAACACATAGGTAATAAAAAGAGTAAAAAACATCACAGAGGGTCATATCCCGTTTCCCATTTCCCGTAAGACTTTAAAAAAAATTAGCAAGAGCAAAGAAGACCAAGATCCAAACTAAAGTTTAAAAATCTAGTCAACCTCCTCCATGGCGCTCTCGCCGGTAGCCTCAGCGGGAGCGGCAGCCTCGGTGGTAGCCTCGGCGGGAGTGGACTCGTCCTCCTCGATGTTCAGGCCCAGGGAGACGAGCTTGTGGATGCGCTCGGAGAAGCTGGCGGGCTCCTCGATGGTGAATCCAGAGACGAGCAGGGAGGTCTCGAAGAGGAGCTGGGTGATGGACTTGACGGTGCGGTCGTTCTCGCCGTCGGTCTCGACCTTCTTCTTGAGCTCCTTGATGATGGGGGACTTGGGGGAGATCTCGAAGGTCTTCTTGGAGGACATGTAGGAGGACATGGAGGTGTCACGGAGGGCCTGGGCCTTCATGATACGCTCCATGTTGGCGGACCAACCGAACTGGCCGGTACGGATGGCGCAGGGGGAGCCGACGAGCTTGTGGGAGACAACGACCTTCTCGACCTTGTCGCCGAGAACGTTCTTGAGGGCCTTGGCGAGGTCCTCGTACTCCTTCTCCTCGGCCTCACGCTCGGCCTTCTCCTCATCGGTCTCCTCGAGCTCGAAGTCCTTGGTGATGTCGACGAGCTTCTTGCCGTCGTACTCCTTCAGCTGGGTGAAGGCGTACTCATCAATGGGGTCAACGAGGAACAGAACCTCGAAGTTCTTCTGCTTGAGGGTGTCCAGGAAGGGAGAGTTGGCAACAGCCTTGATGGACTCGCCAGTGATGTAGTACATGTTCTTCTGGTGCTCGGGCATGCGAGTGATGTAGTCGGCGAGGGAGGTGGACTCATCACCGGACTTGGTGGACTGGTAGCGGAGGAGCTTGGCCAGAGTGGGGCGGTTCTGGGCGTCCTCGTGGATACCGAGCTTGATGTTCTTGCTGAAGGCCTGGTAGAACTTGTCGAACTGCTCACGGTCCTCGGCGATCTCGGTGAAGAGCTCAAGAGTCTTCTTGACGATGTTCTTCTTGATGACCTTCATGATCTTGTTCTGCTGGAGGGTCTCACGAGACAGGTTGAGGGGAAGGTCCTCGGAGTCGACGACACCCTTGACGAAGGAGAGCCACTCGGGGATGAGGTCGGTAGCATCGTCGGTGATGAAGACACGGCGAACGTAGAGCTTGATGTTGTTCTTGGTCTTCTTGGTCTCGAAGAGGTCGAAAGGAGCGCGCTTGGGGACGAAGAGGATAGCGCGGAACTCGAGCTGACCCTCAACGGAGAAGTGCTTGACACCGAGGTGGTCCTCCCAGTCGTTGGAGAGCGACTTGTAGAAGGAGGCGTACTCCTCAGTGGTGATGTCGGTGGGGTTGCGAGTCCAGATGGGCTTGGTCTTGTTAAGCTCCTCCTCCTCGATCTTGGACTCCTTGACGGTCTTGGTCTTCTTCTCCTTCTTCTCCTCATCCTCATCGACCTCCTCGACCTTGGGCTTCTTCTCATCATCCTCCTCCTTGGACTCCTCAGCCTCCTCATCGGGGACCTCAGTCTCGGTCTCCTTCAGGACGTGAAGGTAGATGGGGTAGGAGATGAACTCGGAGTGCTTGCGGACAACCTCCTTGATGCGGGCCTCGTTGAGGTAGTCCATCTGCTCATCCTTCAGGTGAAGGATGATCTTGGAACCGCGGCCGAGCTGCTCGCCCTCGGTGTCCTGGTTAAGGGTGAAAGTACCACCGGCGGCGGACTCCCAGATGTACTGCTCGTCATCGTTGTGCTTGGACACAAAGGTGACACGGTCAGCGACGAGGTAGGCAGAGTAGAAACCAACACCGAACTGGCCGATCATGGAGATATCAGCACCAGCGGAGAGGGCCTCCATGAACTGCTTGGTACCGGAGCGGGCAATTGTTCCAAGGTTGTTGATGAGGTCCTAAGAAAACGAAAATGAGTCAATGAGATTAAGAGTCATCTCCAGTGGCAAAGTTACTTACAGCCTTGGTCATACCAATACCGGTATCACGGATGGTGAGGGTCTTGTTCTCCAAGTCGGGGATAATGTCGATGCGCAGATCCTTGCACGAATCGAGCTTGGAGGGGTCGGAGAGAGCCTCATAGCGGATCTTGTCGAGAGCATCGGAGGCGTTGGAGATCAACTCACGAAGGAAGATTTCCTTGTTGGAGTAGACAGTGTTAATGATCAGCGAGAGCAGCTGAGAGATCTCAGCCTGGAACTCGAAGGTCTCGGGCATGATGGCGGTGTGACTGCAGAGTGAGTGGGTTAGAAAGATAGGAGAGATGAGAGATGAGAGAAGACAGAGAGAGGAATTGAAAGGAAGGTAAGTAGAAGGGTCAAGCTTACAAGGAAAAAAAGGGAGTGATAACAAAAGAAGCTCTGGGGGGAGAAACCAAAGCAGAGAGATGAAGAAAGCAGAAGAGGCGGGACGGTTCGTTTTGTGTTTCCGAAATTTCTCTGGGTGGGTTTCTACGATGATCCAGCAACTTCCACCGGTCGGTCAGGCAACGTGATGCCCCTGCAGGTTGATATGTTCTATAAAGCAGTTCTAGACGTTTCTGGGGGCAATTGTGCTTGATTTTCCTATTCTTGAATTCTTTCAGACTTTGGTTGCTCTGAGTTCAAGCTGAACGTTGCGGCCTGAGGCACCCCGCTCTAGAATCTTCCCCATATCAAGGTCCTCTTTCAAGTCAATTCCTGTCGTATTTGATACTCCATGGTCCCAGAATTCCTCAATTTACATATACATAAAACATAGAAACAGTGTCAAAAAAAAAGGAGATACAAGAAAGACCGGAAAGGCGCACCACCGTTGAAACCTGAAGTTTGCTATGCTAGTGAAACAGAAATGCGATATAACGGGGAAGTAATCATAAGAAATATGTTGATCGTCATGTCGAAGATAAGACCGACCCAGGAATAAAAAAAGAAAGCAAAAAAAAAGGTCGAGTTAAAACAAAAGTGCCCAGAGGAGGAAGGGAAAGAAACACAACTTTTCCAGCCTACCCGGACCAACCGCTAATATGCACTGTGACAGGAAGAAAAAGGAGGGGGGGAGGCAATAGTCACATAACATGTCATTAGAAGAGACGGGGCAAAAAGAAAATAAAAGGACCAAAATGGGAGTAATACAGATCCTAGAAGATCGACCGAAGAGAAGCCATTGAGATGACTGCACCGACGTGTGAAGGAGAACGGGGAGGATCGTCGGGATCGTATAATTATTTAAGCAGCCTGAGCCTGGCTGCGGCCCTTGGCGGCAACGTTGCCACTGCCGCCGCGGCCACGGGGAGCGAAACCTCCACGGCCATCGCGCTGGAAGCCACCACGGCCCTGGCTACCGGCACGGTCACCACGGCCACGACCGGAGCCACGACCAGCAGGGAAGCCGTTGCCTCCAAAGGCATTGCCACGGGGACGACGTTCCTCAACGAGGATCTGCTCGCTGCCAATCTGGTGGGGGTTGGCAGCAACGGCAGCAGCGTAGCCAGAGGCCTGCTCGAACTCAACGAAGGCACAGTTCTTGGGGCGGCTGACGTCGAAGTACTTCAGCTTGCCGAAACGAGCCAGGGTCTGCTTAAGCAGACTGGCGTCAACCTTCTCGTTGACGTTCTTGATGTAAGCGAGGGTGGTCTGCTCCTCGCCAGCACGAGGCTGAGACTTCTTGTGATCATGGCCAGCGGTTTGCCATCCGGCATCAGTGGAGCCAGTCTCCTGAGGACGGGCAGCCTCGGGGACGGGGGAGGCGGTAGCGGACTGAGCAGCAGGAGCTTGAGCAGCGGGAGCCTGAGCAGCGGGGGTCTGAGCAGCGGGGGCGGTGGCCTTGGGGGCTGCAGGGGCGGCAGCCGCCGCAGCAGCAGCAGCCGCAGCCGCAGCCTTAGCGGGGCCCTTACCAGCAAGTGCGATGCTGGCCCAAGTCTTGGGAACAGCAGGGGTGGGGGCGGTGTCCTTCTCGGGAACCTCCTCCTTCTCCTCGGCAACAGGAGAAGGCTCAGGAGTCTCAGGCTTCTCATCGTTGACGACCTCAGCCTCGACGGCGGGAAGAGCGGTGGCCTCCTCAACAGCGGGGGTACCGTTGGTCTGGGAGACGGCCTCCTCAGGCTGCTCAACCTCCTCATTGGCCTCAACTTCCTCAAGCTTCTCATCGACCTTGGTGGCAGCGACTTCCTCGGTCACCTGGGTCTCCTCAACGGGAGCCTCGACGGCCTTGGGGGTTTCGGTAGCAGTCGGAGCAGGGGTGGAGGGCTCGGCAGCGATCTCCTCCTCCTCGTCGACCATGTAGCGGAAGATGTCGTTGAGAACGTAGTAGCCATTGGGCTGCTCAGCGAGAACAAAGGTCTGCACGAACTTGCGGGAAGGCTCGGACTTGTTGGAGATCTCACCAATAACGGAGACCAGGATGTTTTCGAAAGAGGCCTGAGAGTCGACGTTCAGGACGCGCACCTTGCACTCCTGGAAGTCAAGCTGCTTAATTTTATCGTTGATAGCCTAGGTGGGGGTATAAGTTAGAGACCTTCTCCTCGATGGATAGATTTAACGTACCTTGGTGCCGACGGTGACGGGCACGGACTCGGCCTCAGTGCCGAAGACCAACTGAGACCGCCGAGAGTAGAACAGGTGCAGCTTGTCGGGGTTGCGGCTCATGGTGGTGTAGTACTGCTCGACGAAGTACCAGCCCACCTCGTCCTTGGAGATGTCATTCTTCTGGTCGGTAGGAGTAACAGTGGTAGGAGTGGAGGACTGGGCAGGCTGGAAGCTGGCCGCAGTGTTCATGGTTGCGTGGTTGAAGGAGTCGGGATAGGCGTGGGCAGGGTAGTTGCCATTGATGGGAACTTGGGTCATGTCGGCCATAGCGTCGGATTGAGGGGTCTTGTCTTTGGGGAATGAAATTAAATTTGACTGAGCACGATGGAAATAGTGGACACCGCAAGAGCCAAAAGCTTTCTAGGACAGGCGGAAGCGAGAACAAAGCGATCAAGTTCTAGATATGAAGCAGTTTTGATTTCCTCGCTTCACTGAATGCGCATTAGTCTTCGCATCCCAGACGGAATTGGACATGTGGATCAAACTCACAATGCGAAATGAACCTGGCACCAATGCAAGCAATTGAAGAGATTCAAAGGAAAAGGAGAAAAGAGCCGAGGCAAGGAAACCCGGAGTGATCTTAAGAATGCGGCAAGTGAAGTATAGCTGCAATGAGAATCCGGGAAGACTCTTATGTGTGGCGGAAAGATGGGGGGGATCTGAAGCCGATTGGAGATGGAAACGGAAAAGGATCAAGATAAATGTCTCGGAGATAGGACGGAGATGAAGAAGTTGGAGGGAGAATGGAAGTAAAAGAGATGGAATGAAGCTGTGGAAATTCGCCTTCGAAGAAAAAGCGACTTCCTTCGTGACTCCGTGCGGGTTTCGCGTGGGCTTGGCGAGACACCGCCCGGCAGAACTGTGTCCAGATCAGGCCTAGTATATCAGAAGCTTGCGATGAGCAGTTGACCGTTTGCTTTATTGGAGGTTAAATATAAAAATAAGACTTATAGTGCAGATAGGGCAGATAGGGGGGTTCCACAGAGTCCACTGCTCGTGCGTTGTATACCTGTGGAGTATATGTCCGATTAATCTCGAGATTTAGTACAAAAGAACGAATATTGGTTATATCTATGGAAAATACAACAGTGGACTGTATAAGCACTGGCCAGTATCAAGTATCCAGCAGAGAAACGCTGCAGAAAGAAGAAACATATGATTTTGTAAAAAGTCAAGGCAAGACAAGCCATCTAACAAGACTGACCATATCCACAATTGACACTCAAAGAAAGAAACAATGCGAATCTCAAGTCAAAACGCCGCAAACTGATCCTCAAAAAAGAAAGGGGGTATGATAAGACGTTAAAGGGTGCTCGACTGCAAAATCGACAACGATCATGAGAGCCGTGTCGACAGAGGCTTGAAAAAAAGTTGTAGACCTCCAACCCAGGGGGAAAAAAAGAAATGGGACAGGAATTTAAAAGAGACAAAGAATGATTGGGGACAAAATCACGCAGTATAGTGGAATGAAAGAGTTGCGAGCGCACCTCCGGATTGGCAGACAGGATTGAAATCAGGAATCATCTGCCGCGGCATCCTTCTCGGAGAGAGGCTTGCGCATGACAGCATCTTGACCAGTCATTCTCCGGCCGAGAGCACGCTCGACCTTAGCGCCGAGAGCGAGCTTGTTCAAGTTGTCTGATTTCTCCTCAGTAGGCACGAAGCGCTGCTTGGTGAGGGGTTTGTTCTCGAGGCGCTCGAAGCCGTCATGGAGGTGGGTGATGTCGGCGATTCTGGGGTCACCGCTGGGAAGGCTACCAGTTGTGCGATCGGAAGCAGCCAGCGAAGGGTTTCCACTGATGGTGGAGAATCGCTTTGAGTTTCGGTTCTGCGGGTGTGTTAGACGGGGAATCTTGAATGTCCTGCACCGGGTGGGACAGGAGGGGCATAGGGGGCACAGGGTGGCAGTTTGGTCACCTACCGACTGGGACATGATGGGGCGCTCCGAATCGAGAGACTGTTGGCGAGCCATTTTGAATAGTGTGAAGGTCGTGAAAAGGGATGCGCCGGGAGATGAACACGGGTTGGGGTAGAGACTAAATGGGGGGAGATGCCTGTGCAGAAAAGACCTGTTAGCGTCTTCTAAGCGGAGACAATTCTTCAGCAAGGGGCAAGGGGCACATACGAGACTGCAGGGGTTGACAGGTTTCGGGGAGCCAGAAGCTTAAAGCTGAAAGTTGGGAAAGTTCAAGCGCAAGTTAGGAGAAGCCAAACGGGGTGGGTCGTGATTCAAAAGTGGTGGGGAATTGTAAAGGGGGTTGGATGGGAGGTGGCTTAAAAGGATCGACGTGATGAAACTCAGACATTCTCTGATATCATGAGCTTCTTTTGCCACTTTGCCACGTGCGGTCCACGCGAAAGCTCGGCTTTTAAAGTTGGCCTGAAGTTCTGGAGAGACTGTCGGGAGTGCGGGTAATCTTCATTTTGCAAGACCTGGAGCCTGACTTGAGGACACCCATTTTCTGTCTACTGTATACGTAACTGAAATGATCAAGGGAATCATTGCCATCTGATATGTATCCAAATGCCCAGTTGACCTGTACAATACTGTATGTAGGCCAACACGGCATGCTGCACCCCTTTCACACCAGATCGAAAGTACAGGATTGAAATCATACGAGTGCTACCCCGTCTCAAATCATAGTGGATACTGTTAAAAACTAATTCTAATCAGAGGTTGAAAGAGCACTATATGTGGTCTATCTCATATGATATGAGTATCTATCCCGTCCAAACTGTATTCAAGTTGGAGTACAATATGGTTGGTCGTCAAGGACAATGTCTGTACATAGGTGGTACATGCTATATTGATTACATATAGGTTGACTAGTTGCCTAGGTAATCGAACAATTAGTTGTATCTTTATACAAACTCCCCCTCCCTTTGACATTCAAAGAAAAAAAGAGACAAAGAAGTAAAAGAGTACAAGTTGTTCCCGATAAGGTGGGCGGTGTAAAAGCTATGTAATAGAACACGCACCCCGCCTCACTCCGCGTAGATTCTGCCGGGCTCAATTACACAATTGTGCAAAGCTCACCTCGCACAATCTTCTTCCCAATACCAGTCAAATTCCCAGAAGACAGAAACAGACCACAGCTATGCCCAAGCATAAGTCCTTCCTCAAGGAAACCAAGTCAAAGAAGAAGTCTGCTTCAAAGCAGGTATGTTATATTGACAAGCACACAACACAGTCCAATCATGATCTCATACCTCGAACTAGGCGCCAGTGACAGCCGATGATTACCTTGCTGGTGAGTCCAAGACAAGCCATAACAAAAAACACCCTACAAAGGGTATCCATGTTACATGCAGACAAAGCTAACGAATCCCAGCGGGCGTCGAGCTAGAAGAAGCAGGCGAGAAATGGCGAGCCGGCGATGCGGCCAAATCCATGCGATTCTTCATGCGAGCTATCACAAACTACGACGAAGGATTGCAGAAACATCCCGGGACTTTCGACCTAGCCTATAACAAGTATGTGAAAAGAGAAAATGTTGGCCTGAATTTCTACTCAAGCTATCTCTGACACTCCGTCTAGAGCCCGAGTCCAATACGAAATCACCCAACATCCCAAGCTGGCGGCACAACTCCCAGCGCCACAGGGGGAGATTCTGCAGGTGGCACTGCAGTCACACCGGGAAGCGCTGGTTCTAGAACAGGACAATGCTGACGTGTTGTTCAATTCGGGCCAGGTGCTGACGAGTCTGGCGGAGTCCATGTCGAACTCCAAGCACCCTGGCGAAGAGCAGTTGGTGCAGGCTGGCACTTATTTGCAAGAGGCCATTGAGTTGTTTCAGCGGTGTTTGATGGTGCAGGAGATGAAGTATACTGAGAGACAGGAGGAGATTGAGGCAATGGAATCTGGGGCTATGCCGCCCCAGGAGCCGGAGCCAGAGCCTGTGGAGCAGATGCAGACGCAAGCTGAGGGCTCGGGTGAGGAACCGGAGCAGGAACAGGAGCAGTGGGCCATGATTGTTGAACCTGTTACGAAGAACACCCTGGTTGATACAGCCGTGGCGCAGTTGGAGACTCTGACGACATTGTGCAACTTGTTGACATTCAACCCCGGTGCTGGTGGTGTTGGCTGGGTGCAGGAGTATTCGTCAGAGCTGGTGGAGTCGCGGCTCCCTGCTTATGCCGAGGGCTCAGACAGACAGTATGAGGGGGCTTGGCACGAGCCAAGTTCATCTGTGCCTTGAATGAGCTCCTGTACCGTGGCGGACACACCGATATCCAAACATACCAGCAGGAGGTTGGGCAGGTGTTTGGGCCGGATCTGGATGTTTCCGCGGACCCTGAAGGACTATGCGCCAAAGCAGATGCACTCACATCACTCAATGCATCGCTTAACGATATTCCCCCATCCGAGGATGATGAGGCATTCGAGAACGCCGTGGCAGTCCGTTGGAAAACACTTTCGACCGCCTTGGAAGCTCTGACAGCTGCATCCAAACACCCAGATGCTGACAACCTGCCAAAGATCCACGTTGGACGGGGAGACGTGGAGATGCACCGCTGGCGACTGGGCCGCGCACCTTGGAACCATGCCATGGCGAAACAGAATGGCGCCATGCTCCTGCGCAATGCGCAGACATACTACCGTGGCGCCGCTGCATTAGCCCGTCGCGATGGGGCAGCCGAGGAAGAACGGGACGGATCATGCAAGGAAGCAATTGCCGCAGCACTGGAGGGCCAAAACACTAAGCTTGAACAGCTCAAAATCACTGCCCTGCAGCAGCTGGTCGCCGTAGCACAGGATATGGTGGAAGACGGACTGGTCGATGGAAGGGAACTGAGTGCGCTGATCTCATGAAACAAATGAAATCATCTCGAATACACACAGGCCTCACAGACCCGAACGAGCATTCACCTCTTCATCCATCTGGACCGCATCCTGGCGAAGATGATGTTCCTTGCTGAACTGCGTGGCAGCCGAGGCAGCACCCTCAATATCAGAGACCACAGATCCCAGATGCGCCAGCAGTTGTTCGATTTCCTGTCTCTGCGACTGTACAGTCTGCGCCAGCTGCGCATTGTCCGCATGTGTCACTTGAAGCCTGTCATTCAAGGTTGACTGCGCTTCCAGCAGATACGGCGTGAGGTGTGCCTTGTACAGATCTTCCGCACCGAGGGTATGTGGGCTGTCAAATAAGAAAAGTCAGAAAAAGCCCCGAAATCAAAAGTCCAAAAAAATCACATCATCCATATCCAATGAATGCTGTAGAGCGTAATGTTCAACGTACACAGTTCTCTCAGAATCCTCATTCTCCTCTTCCTGCTCCCTCCGTTCCCTAGCCTCCCCGACCAGCCGATCCAGTTCATTCAGATGCGGCACAACGTCCCTCTCATCAACAATCTCCTCAAACTCTGCCTTTGCGCTTTCCTCCAGCTTCGCGTTCAATTGTCGCCAGACACTCTCTAAGCTGGCAGGGACATGGCGCGCTGGGGTAGGGAAGCAGCTTGCGAAATTCACATATGAATTTGCGCGGAGTGTGCGCGCTAGGGCCTGATCGAATACTTGGTGTAAACGTGAAGCACGTGGGCCGGGGGCTTGTGGGATTGAGGCTGGTGGGGGAGGGGACGTTGATGCCGGTGGTGGTTGGTGAGTGTCTGTTCCGGGTTCGGCCATTGTGCGTGGTTGCAAGAGGTGGATTATGCTGAGAAGTGAGATGCTGTAAGAGAGCCTTGCCTTTGGGTATGTTGAAGGAGTGTAGAGGGTGTGTTGATGCTCAGGAATTTGGTGATTGTTCCATTGCCGGGATTCAACGCGACGCGACGGTCACGTGTTTCATAGAGTGATTTGGTTATTTTTACGCAATCGTTGGTTATACTTCTGTTGAAATACTATTGAAATATTGAATAGCTGGAAAAGTATATAGAGAGAATCAAGCCATAACAAGTATGGTAATGTTGCCAAAGAAGCGAAATAACAAACTAGATTTCAGCCCTAAGTACTTGCATGCAGACCCAAGCAGCAATTTTGCATATCAAGGGTCTATTCTACCTTCCTCCAGCGCGACAGGGATTTTCAAACTCACTGATCCTCTTCGTGTATGAGAAGGCTCCAGCTTTGCCTTAAAGCAAGAAATATGACATAAAGCTGCTTGGGCACGGATATCCTGCCAAAGCAATTTGAAAGCAGGCCATGAGATCGAGACGTAAATAAGACTATTCCAAAAGCCTTGAAGTGGAAGAACGAAGGCACCGACAAATTTGAGACCGAAAGAGACTCTGTCTGGGTGAGCGAGTGAGTAGGCTCTGTTTATCGTAGATGGGACCTAGATGTGAGTAGTTAGCACAGCACGAAGTAAACCCTGCATTCATGAGCAAAAGTCTGATAAAAAAACAGAGCTTACCCAAGTCACAAGCAAAGCAATAAAAAACAACATGGCATACTTAGTATACGCCCAAGCAGCCGAATTAGCCTCAGTAGCAAGAGACCTCCGCTGGGACGCAGAATCCATATCCACCCGTCCAGCCTTAAATTGACCATCCTTCTGCGGCGGAAAAGAAGTAAGCCGTGAATTATGTTCCGAGCTGAGTGGCACATCTCCAGAGCTCCCACCCTGAATGGTAACAGAGTATGGCTTGAACGAAGGAGACGGAAGACCGTGTGGACCACTGGTGGATGGATACCGCTGCTCAGGCGAGTAGCATGCAATTTCCCTAGTAACCTGAATACCAGCCAGGGTAGCAAAGGGTGACACAGACGGTACGAAATAAGGGTCGAGAGAGTCGATACCGCCGAGGTTTCGGAGTTGGCGTCGTTTTTGATAAATGACTGATCCTGCGCGGAGGTAGATGGCGAATGTTAGTGAGATGACGAACCAGACTGGTCCGTAGAAGATGGCTATACGGAGGAAGTCCCACGGGATAGCGATCCAGCACCAGAGCTGTGAAGTGAGCTGGGTTAGTCTATGCTGGGTACCAAATGGTTAGCTCGATATCTCACGATTGCAGAGCCATAGATCCGACCTCGAGCCTGGGTTGTGACGAAGAAGTATGCGAAAGCTGGGACGAACGGTGTGCCGTAGCAGAACAGGACATACTTCCATTCTAGCTGACGGAGTTGCTCGGAGTTGTATTTGTGGAAGAAGGTTAGGTAGACGTTGCATGCCATGGCAAAGGTCCATAGGGCGTCGGCGGGCATGAACCTTTACGGGTCATATTAGCAGTGAAATGGGGGTGAGATATAGAGAACAGAGAGAAACAAACACTTACCATTGAATTAGAAAGCCCTGAAACTGACAGAGCGCACTATCAATCCCTATATGAATCCCATCCTGGGCTATAATGGCGGCTACGTTGGCCATGATATTACCCCATGACGCATAAAACACCAGACGATTGATAGGTTTACGAAAGGATGTAGACCAGATGAATGTGGAGACGATCACGAAAGTGCCAATGAGGGAAATAGTCGAGCAGACCCGTTCTGTGGCTGAAATTGCCCACATTTGCTGTTCTGATAGCACCATAGTGTACCATGGCATATAGAGCACGTAGCCGAGAAGAGAGACTCCTTGACTTGAAGATAGATGATCTTATCAGGATGCAGACTGAAGGAGAGAGAAAGAATAGATCAGAAGCTCGTGATCAATGGGCTACACTTGGGCTTACGGGCCGAGTCGAGGACATAGCCTGTTTATCATCCGCATATGGATTAGGAATGAAAGCTAATTACCAAGAGAGATCCGATTGGTATGTTTGATTTGGCTTCCAGGGACGTCTTTTAAATGGGTTCACCGTCTCAAACACACCGCAGGGAGTCAGGTTACGGCCGAGTAATGGGAAGACGCGAGCCTGGGATGTACGGGCAGTACAGGAATTGCTGTTAGATGTGAGGATGAAGGACCGGGAGACTGCAGAGACATGGAAGGGGTGACCTGTATCACTATATGCGCAGTTAGGTACTATCAAGACATGTAACGTTGGGCAGCGTTGAATGAATAGACCTCAACGGGATAGGTGACCTGACACAAATGGCATAAGCCAAGCAACTAACCTGGGAAGTCGAAAAAAGCAGCCTATTACCTGCGGAGGTCTGAACGAAAAAAGACTCGGGATATTATCCGAGGTTCAAGAAAATGGCCAAACGCTTTTCTCTCTGCCTGGGGATGGAATTAAACAGGCCCTAAGAGTCTTTTAACTACTTGAAACAAGCATAAGCAGGAAAACTCCCCAACTGATTGCAAACTAAACGGGCAAGGCCCAAGCGCTGTTCCTTAAATAGTGTCCGGGTTGAATAACATTCGATTTTGGAATAGAGCAGAAAATAAATTATCTGCCTCGGATCGCAATGTGACATCTCCAAGCAGACTCGTCTTCAACGAAAATGCCCTCCGCCCTTTGAAAGATAGAAAGAAAAAAAAAGAGGAAAAAAGCAAAACCACGATCATCGGGTATAACGCCGAATTCTCCCATGTCCATTGTTCTAATCGAGCTCGTCATCTCGTCATGCGTGGCCTAGGCCATTAATACGCAGGCTGGGGAGGGACAATGCCTCCATACCCAGCCATCTGCTGCTGCTGTTGCTGTTGCTGCAATTTAGCCTGGATCTGGGGCAGATCGTGGAACCACGGATGCTGCAGAGCCTCAGTGGCGCTGATACGCATCTCCGGACGAAGTTGGAGCATGCGGTTCAACAGATCCATGCCAATATGGTCCATTTGAGGGACGATCAAGGACAGGTCCTGCGTTGCGTAGATGTGGAAGTTGGGCTTGTATTCCGGGAGTTGCGAGATGTTAGGCCATGTGCGCTCAGATGGTGTACCCATCAGACGGAAGATCTTGGTCAGTTGATCCTCGTTGGTTGTGCCGGGGAAGAGGGGCCGACCCGTGTACATTTCGGCCATGATACATCCGGCGGACCAGATATCGATGCTGGTGTTGTAGGTGCGACTACCGAGGAGGACATCCGGTGCCCGATACCACAGAGTAACGACCTCGTTGGAGAAGGTGTTGACTGGGATACCGAAAGCGCGGGCTAGACCAAAGTCACCCAGCTTGAGTTGTCCCTTCTTATTGATGAGGAGGTTCTGTGGCTTGAGATCGCGGTGAAGCACCCGGTTGTCGTGGCAGAAGGCGATACCCTTGAGAAGCTGGTGCATAAAGGACTTGACGGTGGCAGGGTCCAGTTGGCCGCGGTCACCGCGAGTGTCCATATACTTTTTCAGGTCTCGATCCATGAACTCGAAGACGAGCATGAGTTTGTTCTCGGTGTGGATGACATCGTATAGCGAAACAATACTCTCGTGCTTCAATTCCTTCATCAAGGAAATCTCACGAATAGCGGTGGAAGGAGTCCCTTCCTCCGAATCGAGATGGATTTCCTTCAGCGCCACCATCTCTCCAGTCTGGCGGTTGCGACCTTTGAAGACCTATTCTGTATCAGCGGTGAACGACGGGGCAACCACGGAAACCGAGAGGAGGATCGAGACGTACGGTAGCATAGGTTCCTTCACCGAGCTAAGTAGAGGAATCATAGATTAGCGGGAGTTAGGAGTTGGGGGGATAGGTATAGACCAGGGCGTACCTTCTCCAGCTGCTGGAAGGAACTGGGCTGCTGGGACTTATCCATGACTTGTGGAATGGGAGCCGACGGCCCTGGTTTGGGTTTAGAATGGAAAAGAAAAGAGCCTGGGGAGACAAGACTGGAGGCGATCTTAAAAGGATGTGCAGGATCCCTAAGCCGATCCATGCTGAGACGTGAGGGAGGAGCCCCGCGTCTCAGAACGGCCCGGGAGTCATCGACTTTGGCTGAGTGAGCAACTTCATGGATTTTCGAAATTTGGCAGAACATGAGAAACCTGACATTTTCACGGTCTATTTCGATAATTTGGTCCTCTAATGTTTGTTTTTATTTGAGTTACTCTATAGTTCATTCATAGGGAGTTGTGATACAACGGTCGGTAGGATATCCTGCGACGGATGGCTGCAACGCACATGGGAACTGGGCTCATCCTCAATGTCTCCAAAGAGCATGGCTTCGTTCCTCACTCCGCCAACATTGATGATACCAATTGGCATGCCTCGTTTGTGGGCTCGTTCCACCAAGCGCCAGGCTGAATAGGTTGCCAGGCTGCTACCGAGGATGAGTAGCCGCCCAGCATCGTCGATTGCTTCTTCAGCCGCCGACTTGACCAATGTGTCGATGTTTTCTCCAAACATGGTCACTGCAGGTTTCAAAATCCCAGCAGTGGAATTCGGTAACCATGCGCCGTCGCTCTCCACCTCTACATGTCCCTTGGTACCATCTTTCTGCACGGGAGGGCTCTCCAAGCAGGTGGGACACGAGGGGTACCGGAATGTAGAATATGGTGCTTCTGCAAGATCAACGTCACCATCTGGGTTGAGCTTCAGGCCTTTCTGCCGCTGCTCCTCCGGATTGTTGGTGTCCAGTGCGCCCATCTCAACCATGCGTGCCAGGAACTCTGCCCACGCTGGGTTCAAAGTCTCCAACGACGCCTGAAAATCAGCCCGGGGAAACTGATTCCGACAGCTTGTGCAGACCACTGATCGTAGATATCCGTGTAGTTCGAGGGTATCCAGTTCTGGGTGCGCGAGGGAATGGAATGAGTCCACATTCTGCGTCACGACAGAACTGATGTAGCCTTTGTCACTGAGAGCTTTGATAGCCCAGTGAGTGGAGTTTGGCTTTGCTGTCACCAAACCCGGCCATCCGACGAAGCTGCGAGCCCAATACCGCTTGCGCGACTCATGACGTGAGATGAACTCGTGGAAGTAGATCGGTCGATAGGATTTGTTTCGTCGGTAGGTGCCCTGGTCACCTCGGTAGTCTGACAGACCAGATGCGACAGAGATGCCTGCCCCAGTCAGTAGCACGGTTTGAGAATGTCTCCCCACATCGACGCCACGGAGATTGAAGGATGGTGGCGCCGTGAAGAAACGACTGACAGCATCGATGGCGCCTGTCACGGTACGTGCAGACTGGGGGACTATAATGGCTGGCGGTAGCGGGCCCGTAAAAGGGATTCGAATCGCAGGCGTCGTCATTGAGGACGCATCCTCCGTCGCAGATGTCTTGGCGGAGGAAAGCAGAGCGGAGGTTTCTCCAACGGATCAGTTCTTGGCTGCGGGTCGCGGCTTATGCTCGGGAAACCTTGGAGAGGCTTGCAAAGGGTGGGATTCGTCAAGGCTGACAAAGAAATTAAAGGAATGCGATGATTGCCCCGTTGAGACTCTTCGCAAGTTGTGTTTGAGCATGATTTGCAGCTATTTCCCTAATTCCGAGACCCAAGTGCCGGCAGTAGATCACTAATGCAAGCATGCAGATTGGAGAACGAACCTTGGAAGTCAAGAATCTCCAGGTAGAAGCGGATTACATGATCGGGGCCATTCCCCCATTCGTCCTGACTTGAGGTTTCTTTGTAGACACCCTGTCCATTTACCCTTGTTGGCCGTGCTCGCGTGTCTACTAGAGAGATGCCGCTGACGCAGCCCCTGCGGTGCAGGCTTCGTCCTTCCCTCCACTCTATCCGCATTTCCAGTCTCGGATCCGCGCAGCGTCGCATACTTACCTCCGCTCCCTTCTTAAAAGACGCTTCTTCCTTTCTGTTTCACTCCAGACCACGAGCTCTCCGTACCCCCCTTGCCATGACACAAACTCGCGGACATGGTGGTCACGGCCACCACCATCATCACCACCATCATGACAACACCTACCTGACCTCTTCGAACAAACGCGATGCTGGCGTTCGCATTACCCGAATCGGCCTAGTTGCCAACCTCTGCATGGCCATTGGAAAGTTCATTGGCGGCTACGTCTTTCACTCTCAATCCCTGATTGCCGATGCGTACCACGCGCTCACCGATCTCGTGTCCGACTTCTTGACCCTTGGAACTGTCGCCTGGTCCCTTAAGCCCCCGAGCGAGCGATTCCCCAATGGCTACGGAAAGGTCGAGAGTATTGGTGCTTTGGGTGTGAGTGGACTTTTGCTCTGCGGTGGAGTGTTTATGGGTCTCAATGCGGGACAGGTCCTGCTGGCACAATTCTACCCAGAGGTGGCTGAAACAGTAGCTCACTCTGGGATGCTGGGACATGGTCACTCGCATAGTCATGGACCCATCGGTCCTAGTATCCACGCGGCGTGGATTGCTGCTGGATCCATTGTTGTGAAGGAGTGGCTTTACCGTGCGAGTAAGTACAGGAAACTTGACGAAGATGTGTTTATCCTCCAAAATGACTGACATTTCTATAGCTATGAAGGTTGCCGAAGAGCGCAAATCCTCGGTGCTTGCTTCCAATGCTATTCACCACCGGATCGATTCCCTCACGAGTATTGTCGCCATGTTCACAATTGGAGGAAGCTATGTCTTCCAGGACGCCACCTGGCTGGATCCGGTTGGTGGACTCCTGATCTCTTTGATGGTGATTAAAGCTGGTTGGGGCAACACCTGTACCTCCCTTTTGGAATTGGCGGATACCACTGTTGACGAGGATGTACGAACCTCGGTAGAGGATGCCACCATGAAAGCATTGTCGGAGCTCGAGGACGGCAGTGATATCAAGATCCGCGACGTGCAAGGCATGAAGTCTGGACAGAACTACCTGATGGATATTGAGCTAGCTGTTCCCGGCGCCTGGCCTATCAGCCGGTCTCAAACGATCGAACAAAGTGTTCGTCACACTGTTGGAACCGGCGTTCGTGGTGTGAAGCGGATCAAGGTCCGTTTCATTCCGGCGGAACAGCAAGAGCTCACCTTCTCTGATGAGTTCGTTGCTCAAGATTCCAGTGCCGACCCTGAGCCTGAGAGTCACCACAAGCACCAATAGTTGATGATACCCGTGAAGCAGTCTGTACTGTGTATAGATATATAAAACATACTCGACTTGGACTACTGTGCTCCGTATAAGCCTTGCGATCTTAGATATAGTGGAGACCTCTATTCAACCGAGAATTTAGCAGAACCCTATTTACCCGGCTGTCTCGGGGTGAACTTGCTCTAATATGCCTGGGAACTCATAACAGCCCTACTTGGCGCTCGGTATATCTTTCCCAGTCTGAAAGATGTATGAAAGTGTAGATATCAACCGGGGTTGGCAAGTCTTAACCGGCTATAGTTATCCCTTGACATCATTGCGGGTTCACCCCCAGGATCTGGCCGCTTTCACTCACTCACTCTCTCTCTCTCTGATAAATTGACCTTCTCCCTGCGTATTTGCCTAAATAAAACCGAGTCCTTTTTTCTTCTTCTCTGATCTCAATTGTTAAACTGCTATCCCATTTCTGCGAACCATTGCTGTCGCAGAGTAATTGTGTTCTGTTATCAACGTTACTCCCCCACCATGGCGTCTGACAGCCCACTCTACATTGGCTTCGACCTTTCAACGCAGCAGTTGAAGGGTTTGGTTGTCAACTCGGATCTGAAGGTCGTTTACATTGCCAAATTCGACTTTGATGCCGACTCGCATGGCTTCCCAATCAAAAAAGGTGTTATGAACAATGAAGCAGAGCACGAGGTGTTTGCTCCGGTCGCTCTGTGGTTGCAGGCACTAGATGGCGTCTTGGAGAGTCTGCGCAAGCAAGGACTTGACTTCCGCCGAGTGAAGGGAATCAGTGGCGCAGGACAGCAACATGGAAGTGTATACTGGAGCCAGAACGCGGAGAAGCTCCTCTGCAATCTGGATTCGAAGAAGTCCCTTGAGGCGCAGTTGGAGGGCGCTTTCTCCCACCCATACAGCCCCAATTGGCAGGATTCGAGCACGCAGAAGGAATGCGATGAGTTCGACGCGGTTCTTGGTGATCCTGAACATTTGGCACAAGCCACAGGAAGCAAAGCACACCACGTAAGATCTCCAGAGCCCATCCAGATTGACAAGCATGCTAACATTTCGTTAGAGATTCACAGGTCCTCAGATCCTTCGCTTCACGAGGAAGCACCCCAAAGTATACCAGAATACATCGAGAATCTCCCTGGTTTCGTCCTTCCTGGCCTCCCTCTTCCTGGGCCATGTAGCCCCATTCGACATCTCCGACGTATGCGGCATGAACCTGTGGAACATCAAGAAGGGGGTTTACGACGATCGCCTGCTCCAGCTCTGCTCGGGTGTCTTTGGGGTTGAGGAACTCAAGCGCAAGCTCGGGGAGGTACCGGAAGATGGAGGCCTACACCTGGGCCACGTCCATTCATACTTCGTGGAGCGCTTCGGCTTCAGCCCCGATTGTACAGTCATCCCAGCAACCGGAGACAACCCAGCGACCATTCTGTCGCTTCCCCTGCGGCCATCAGATGCCATGGTGTCTCTTGGTACCTCTACCACCTTCCTTATGTCCACCCCCAGCTACGTCCCCGATCCCGCAACACACTTCTTCAACCACCCAACCACCCCCGGACTGTACATGTTCATGCTGTGCTATAAAAATGGCGGTTTAGCCCGTGAACATGTCAGAGATGCACTCAATGAGAGCCTAAAGGACACTCCTGCCCAGCCTTGGGCCAACTTTGACAAGGTTGCACTGCAGACTCCCCCGTTGGGCCAGCGGGATTCAACAGACCCGATGAAGATGGGCTTGTTCTTCCCCCGACATGAGATTGTGCCTAACATCCGCAAGGGACAGTGGCGCTTTACATATGATCCTAACACAGAGAGTCTGACAGAGACGACTGATGGATGGACCACCCAGGACGAAGCTCGGGCCATTGTTGAGAGCCAGATGATCTCGCTCCGTCTGCGCTCCAAGGAGCTAACACAGAGCCCTGGTAATGGACTTCCTGCTCAGCCACGACGGGTGTACCTCGTTGGTGGAGGATCCAAGAACAAGGCCATCGCTAAGATTGCCGGTGAAATTCTTGGTGGTGTTGAGGGTGTGTATCAGCTCGATGTTAGCGACAATGCCTGTGCTCTTGGTGCTGCATACAAGGCTGTCTGGGGTATCGAGAGACAGCCTGGTCAGACCTTCGAAAACCTGGTCGGTCAGCGGTGGAACGAAGACCAATTTGTTGAGAGAATTGCGGATGGCTACCAGAAGGGCATCTTCGAGAAATACGGCCAGGCTGTCGAAGGCTTTGCGAAGATGGAGCAGCAGGTCCTGCAGCAGGAGGCAGAGAAGGGCAACTAAAAGTAATTAGTCTAGACTGGATATATCCTTCACCTATACAATATAACATGAGGCATGAGGTCTAAGTTGAAGTGTATCGAGGCAAAACTATGACGAAAGATGGGGACACGGGGTTTTGTGCAGCCCCTTGCCCTAGAGACATTCACAAAGAAACAACTTCAACTCTTTACTTACTACTTTCACTTGGATTTCTAATTTCCTTTGTCTATCTTGATCTTCAATTCGACTAGCGAAGGCGGAACCAGGCACGGAAACTCGATTACGATACCATGGACGATATCGTCCTCCACTGAAAAAACAATTTTAACAACACACACACCCCTCCTCTCTCCGCTCCCCTTCCACGCTACAGGGAGACAGGGAAGATGGAAGAACAGGTGAGTTTCTCATTCCTTGCTCAATTTAAATGCACAAAATTTCCCCTACACCCATCCCCATACCGCCCCTCCCCCGCCCTACAGCCCCTCCCCTCAGCACGAGATGATTGACACCGCACAGGTAGCAAATGCCATTGAGATCGCCTGGAATCCGACCTCCGACCAAGCTCTCAAATCGCAAGCCTACGACTACCTCAACCAACTCCGCTCCGACCCCTCCGGATGGCAGGTCTGCCTCGCCCTCTTCACCAAGTCTCCACAGCAGCCCGAGGTCGTACGGCATGTCAGCTTGGAAATTGTCAATAGTGCCGCTCAGGTCGGTCTGATCGATCCGGCCTCACTGCTGGTCGTTCGTGATGGTTTGCTTGGTTACCTCCGCCAAGTGTACGGACCCGAAGCCTCTGTCGCCCCCGATGCACCCTACATCCAAAACAAAATTGCACAGACGGTCACCTACCTCTTCTCTTCGCTCTACGCTAACGGCTGGGAGACATGCATCGACGATCTTCTCGCTCTGACTTGTAAGTCCGCAGCTAGCTCGGGCCGGGACAATCAGCTAGGAATTGTTTTCTACCTGCGCGTGCTCAACTCGATTCATGAGGAGATCGGTGATGTGCTGGTTTCGAGGTCCCGCGGTGAGCAGGACAAGGCAAACACACTGAAGGACTTGATCCGTGAGAGGGACATGCAGAAAATTGCCAACTCGTGGCAGGAGATTATGGCGGTCTGGCGGGACGGCGATGATTTGATCATCGAGATGTGTCTGAAGGCCGTTGGCACGTGGGTCAGCTGGATTGACATCGGCCTGGTCGTGAACCAGACCATGTTGGATCTATTGTTCCAGCAGCTTGGACGGGCCGAGAAGCAGGAGCTCCGGGAAGGCGAGCAGCGGGTGCGCGATGCTGCTATCGATGTTTTCACGGAGATCATTGGTAAGAAGATGAAGCCTTCCGACAAAATCGAGATGATCGTCTTTTTGAACCTCGACTCGATCATCACGCAGCTGTCAAACAGCCCTCCCCTACGAGAGAACCGCTTCACATTCAAGTATGATACAGATCTGGCCGAGACCGTCGCCAAGCTTGTCAACAACACAGTTGTCGATATTGTGCGAGTTTTGGAGAACGACAGCGGGCCTATCAAGGAGAAGGCAGACAACCTTTTGCAGGTCTTCCTGCCGCACATTCTGCGATTCTTCTCCGACGAGTACGACGAAGTGTGTTCGACTGTTATTCCCTGCGTCAACGATACCCTCACCTACATCCGCAAGCTCTCCAAGGCGAACCCATCCTTCGAAGCGCGCAACAAAACTATTCTGCTTCCGATTCTCAAGGCCATTGTAGCGAAGATGCGGTACGATGAGACCTCTAACTGGGGCGACGAAGATGAACAGACCGATGAGGCGGAGTTCCAAGATTTGCGCAAGAGACTGGGTGTCTTGCAGCAGATTATCTCCTCTGCTGATGAGCAGCTTTACATTGATGCCATCTCTGAGGTCGTTGGAACTACCTTTGAAAATCTGCGAGCCTCTGGAGGTCAGCTTGACTGGCGTGACCTTGATCTTGCTTTGCACGAGATGTTCTTGTTCGGAGATATGGCCGTCAAGGGCGGTAGTCTCTACCTGAAGGGTGCTCCTACCGGTGTGGCTGCGAGCCGTCTCATCGAGATGATGCTCCGCATGGTTGAGTCTGACATTCGATCCTTCACCCACCCGGCCACCCAGCTTCAGTACATGGAAATCTGTGTTCGTTACAGCTCGTTCTTCACTCACCATACTCACCTCATCCCCGGTGTTTTGGAGAGCTTCCTTCAGCTCGTTCACCACCCTGTTCGTAAGGTTAAGACTCGTTCGTGGTACCTCTTCCAGCGTCTCGCGAGACAGCTACGCAGCCAGATTGGCAACGTTGCACAGACCGTTGTGGAAGCACTGGGTGACTTGTTGGTTATCCAGGCTGAGCTGCCCTCCGAGGGTGACGATGGTGATGAGATGTCTTCTGAGGACCACGAGGGCTCCGCAGATGCTGTCTTCAACAGTCAATTGTATCTATTCGAGTCTGTTGGAATCATCTGTTCTACTCCCGGTGTTGCTGCCGACAAGCAGGTTCTCTATGCCCAGTCTGTGTTGAACCCTGTCTTCGGAGACATGGAGCGTAACCTCGAAGCCGCGAAGGCCAACGACGAGCGCGCGCTGCTCCAGATCCACCACGATATCATGGCTCTTGGAACACTCGCCCGAGGCTTTTCCGACTGGCAACCAGGCACCAGCTCGCCATCTGCTCTTCCTGCTCCAGAGGTGTCGGCAGCTTTCTCCCAGGTTGCTGAAGCTACCCTTGTTGCCCTTGAGTCCCTCAAGTCCTCATTCAACATTCGAACTGCTGCTCGCTTTGCATTCTCCCGTCTCATCGGTGTTCTGGGCGCACAAATTCTCCCTCAGCTGCCCCGCTGGATCGATGGACTCTTGACACAGACATCCTCGCGCGATGAAATGGCCCTTTTCCTTCGCCTTTTGGACCAGGTTATCTTCGGATTCAAGGGTGAAATATACAGCATCCTCGACACTCTCTTGACCCCTTTCCTGCAGCGAGTCTTCTCTGGCATTGCTGACCCCACTACCGGCACTGATGACGAGATCCAGCTTGCCGAGTTGAAGCGGGAGTACCTGAACTTCTTGCTCGCGGTGCTGAACAATGATCTTGGGGCCGTGATTATCAGCGAGAGTAAGTTTCATATCTATCCCGGTTACATCCAACAATACTGATCTTCTACAGGAAACCAATCCATCTTTGAGACTGTCATCACCACCCTAGAGCACTTTGCCAAAGACATCGACGACTTTACCACCGCCAAGATGGCATTCTCCGTGTTGGTCCGTATGGCGGGCTCCTGGGGTGGGCCAGACATTGCCCCCGCCCCTACCAACGGCGCAGCAACAACTGCAGTCGCACTCCCTGGCTTCGGTGGTTTCATGATTACTCGTTTCTCTCCTCTCTGCTGGGCGCTCCCAACCACGCCGTCCTTCAACTCAAAGGATGCACAGGCCAAGCAGGTCCTTGCTGAGGCCGGTGGTCTCCAACGCACCATCTACAGCAAGACAGGCATGGAGTATGCAGAATACTTACGAGGCCAAGAACTGCCCGGAATGGGCATGGGTGCTCCTCTCATTGAGGAGTTTTTGACTGCATTGAGCCAGTCGGACGTGAAAGGGTTCCGGCAATTCTTCCCAGTATGGTTTCAACTCCCTTTCCTCTCCAGCAATAATGCTAACCCACCAAACAGTCATTCATCCAACGATTGAGCGCATGAAGTTTCCTTTTCTCCTTCTCTCTGTCTGCTTTCTAGATTCCCCCATGCCATATTTATGTTTTGACGCGACGAGGTGACGTCTATCCTCATACCGCATCCCAATCACATCCCAATCCCAATCCTCAAACATCCCCTCCCACTGCCTTCTTTCACCATCCGCCATCTTCTATACCATCTACCAACCAAGATAGCCGATTTACACACGGGCACATGAATCCCGCAAGAAATATCAATAAGGCTAGATCCAAGACGCGCGGGAGCAACCCAAACCTTTCAAACCCCAAAATCAAAAAAATATTCACCTGTCGTCAAAAAGTTCCTAGTATATAGCGCACTTTGCCACCATCCATTGTCGAATCCGGATCATTATTGCTATTGTCTGCTTTCCGGGCTCGTTTCAGCATTCTCTTTGTCTCAGGCTGAGGTTCTGTTCTGTTTTGTTCATGGTGCATTCGCATTGTGGAGTTTCGTTCTCTGATACTTTTCATATTTTACTTCCATATTCATATCCATATCCATGTTTCTTGTTGATATCGGTATCGATATCAATGTCCATTCTCATTATCACGTTTCTCAACATAGTGGTTAATATCATTGTCGTTTGATGTTGCGATATCTTGTCTTCTAAGCTCGTGAGGATAGGTACAAGGGGTTCTTTCTTCTTATTTTTCTTCTTGGTGAAAGCTTGTTGCGTGGATTATTCAATTGGGAGGCTGTCCATCTTTGTGGACCGGACTGGCCTGAGTGGAATGAACGGAATGAGTGGCCTCAATATCAGTTTTCATATTTATAAAATGCCGCAGAATTAAACACTGAAGCTGAAACGGGTCTAACTTGTTTCTCTTTAAGTTATAAATACATACTTACCCCCCATCTAGAGGCTCACGAACACAATCCAATCCAATCCAATCCAATCCAATCCAATCCAATTAGTCTAGCACTCATCCATCTCCCTATACATTACCCAGTCCACAACTTTCCATCCTAAATAACAGACCTGACCTTAACACTCGACCGCTCACTGACACTGAGCAAATCAACGAATCAGAACCAGTTTACTGTATTGAAACGAGAAGCAAAAAGCAAGGCAGAATAAAATAAAAAAGAAGATCACATTATATATGTTCCATTAAAGGGAAGGAAAAAAAAGGTGAAACACACTATGCAAAGAGATACTTAGCAGCATGCTCAACATGATCGTCGGCAAAGGAAGCCATGGTAAAGTACGAGTGATCATAATCCGGCTGATAGCGCACATTCAGACCCTTGAGTCCGGCGTCGCGGGCAGCAGCTTCAAAGTTTTCGGGGAGGAGCTGGCCTTGCTTGTAGAAGTTGTCACCGGTGCCCTGGGATATACTGGTTAGATATGGATATTGGGTGGAATGCATAGAATGGGAGTGAGAATGGGAATGGGGAGGGGGGTTGCAGGTCAGAGGTTATACATACAACATCAATAAGAATATCCAATGGACCACCAGTCCACTTCTTAATTAATTCAGTGGCATCGTGCTCTTTCCACTTATCCTGCTGATCATCGCCGAAATAGCCATTGAAGGCCTTCTGGCCCCAAGGACAATTGATTGGGTTTGTAATTGGTGCAAAGGCAGAGACGGACTTGTATTTGCCCGGATTGCGGAGGAACTGGAAACAATTTTCTGGTAAGAATTTGCCAAAGAAAAAAAAAAAAAAAAAACCTATAGCGGAAAACCCTATTCGATAGAACAGGGGAGAGATGGGAATCACATACGAGAGTAAGAGCACCGTGGCCACCCATACTGTGTCCAGTGATACTGACACGGCTCGAGTCGAGCTGGGGGAAAGCAGCAAAGACAGTCTGGGGCAGTTCCTCAGTGACGTAGCTGTACATGTTATAGCCGGCATTGTAGGGGGCCTTTGTGGCGTCGACGTAGAAGCCTGCGCCGGAGCCGAAGTCATATGCGTCGTCTTCGCCTTGGATGTTCAAACCGCCTAATTAATGTCAGTATATTGCGCAAATCAAATCCATCAAGTGCTGATTATAGAGAGATCGACAGGTGCAATTGAGGAAATGACGCAATGGAAAAGAAAAAGAAGAGGAAAAAAAGTACGTACGCGGACTGGTATCAGGGTACAGCACGGCAATGCCCTTCTTGCTTGCACCGTGCTGGAAGAAGCCCTTCTCGGAACAATTATCCGCAGTGCAGGTCAGACCAGAGAGGTAGATGAGGACGGGGACCTTCTGGGACTGAGCCTGCGGGGGCAAGTAGAGGTTGAATTTCATCTCGCATTTTGTGGTTGTGGCAGCATGGCTCAGCTTGAGCAGCTTGCCACCAAAGGAGGCGATGGTTGCGTTCGTAGTGACAGACATGGTGAGCAGAGGACGTGTACGGAAGAAGAGAAGAGAAGATGCGGGAGTTGACGGTTTTATGGTGGGGGGAAACGGTGCCTCATGAGGGGAAGGTCCACATCGGATCTATGAAAAGGGACAATTTTTCCCTTGGGAGTGAAAGAGTATTATGTGAAGTCGAATGTCATTGCTGCCCACAGTGGGGAAATGCTCGGTTTATATATACAAATGCTAGCCTCATTCATTCCAAGAACACCGGAACTCCATACACAACAGGTGCTGCGCCGTTCAAATACTTCAGCACACACGCGCTCCGAGACCGCGCAATGGCCGTGTCAAGCCCGACATGCTCCGTTTCCTCGCGGTTCTTCTTGTCTTTCTTGTCTACAAGACCCCACGCGTCAAGCGCGGTGGTGGTAAATCGGTCAATGTCCCGGTCAGTGACATCCCAGAGGGTAGCAACGAGCGCCGGGCTGCCTGCATGAAGATAGTTCATGGGTGTGCCGTAGGGTTCATACTCGCCGGCCTCGGTCAGGCTGCCACTGCTACAGCCCATGAGGAAAGTAACAGCGCATTGAGTCAATCGCTTGACAGTGCGGCCGCGGATGTACTGAGCACCGCTTCCGTGACCGAAGTACAAGAACAGGTCCTTCTTCTCCAGCGAGTCTCGGAATTCGTCTTCGGTGGGTTCGCGCTGCACAATCGCATTCCAAGACTTGAATTTTGAAAAGTCTTGCTCGAAGGTGGTTTGGGTTGAGCGCAGATCTCCGGTCGGGTTGAGGACATACGCGCCCGACTTGCGGTTCATGATAGCCCCAGACGATGAACCGCGGAATTGAAGAATTCGGTCGCGGAGACATTCCAGAGATGGTACTCGACATACCGGATATCCCTGAAGACAGGGTAGGGATTCCCAAGGGAACAAGTGCAGGGCTTTATCGAGAACGAGAATTGTGTGTTTCGGGGGTCGTGATGCAAGCTCATCACGGGCAGCTTCGTGGTAACAACGCAAGGCGTCGAGAGTATCCACAACCATCATGTCGAAGTCGATCTCATCGTAAGCATTGCGCTCGCCTTGGAACTGTAGGATATCCACCACAAAGTAAAGAAGATCCATCAGCGTGTCCTCGGGTTCTTCTTGCTGTTCAAGGTCGCGAATCCCAATGAACAAGTCAACCACGTTTTGATGAAGTGTAAGTCGAGGGCCGGCGGCTTTGCCACCCTTCTGTCGAGAAGGTAGATGCTTGTCGAGGATTCCTTGGAAGGTACCTGCGAACCGAGCCAGCGCAGTGGTCTCCCGCGAGAGAGGCGAGAATACACCCCTGAAGCCTCCAAACCAAATGTTCTCAATGTTCTGGAGAACACTTTCCATACGACTATCAAGAGCCTCGCGGGTCTTCCACCACTCCTTCTTCGATGCTTTGTCGGTTTGGGCCTTGGCGGCATGTGCACTTTCGTTCGCCAGCTTGATGAGCTCTTGCATTTCTTGTTTACCATCCTCAAAAGTAAATTGCTCTTCTTCATCGTCCTCTGAGTTTCCTCGGTAGAGAGGAAGGCGCAGAAGGAACGGAGAGCGATCTTTCTGAAGTCGTGAAACCACAAACTCGGTTTGGTCTGCACTCAAAGACAAAGAGAGAACGTTCCAGCTTTCAGGTAGGATGTCGACATAGTCTTTGGTGAAGTTGGTACACAAATCAGTGTCCAATTCAACAGCTGAGGGGAAAGAAGCAGGCCAGAGGAGAGGATCGGCAAAGTCGGCGAGTTGTCGGTCAATATCAATCGCCATGCGCTCCCGGGCAAATGCGCCAACGCGTCCGATTTCTATTCCAAAGTTAGATTTGAAAGGCAATGCAACTTGCAAAACTTACCGTTCATATTAGCCGGTGACTGAGCTAATGTAGCCGGTACACCAGGAGAAGTAGCATGCGAGAGCATAGAGATCCGACTCATCAAGCGAGAGGCAGCATGACTATCAAGCGTGGACCCGATTATGGTAGCATCAGAGAAGACACTGGCAAGGCAATCAGTTGCTTTCGAAAGCATGACCGAAAAATCCTCGCTAGCCTTCTGAGCCTTAGTGCGAGAGGTTTTAGCTGGAGGCTTGGCTCTTCGCGTAGAAGGCTTCGCTGCAGGCGCACTGGGCTCATCGGCCGTCTTGCTTGGTGACATTAGCGACGGAAGAGAGATTGTGGATTCTGGCAAAACGCAGTACACAGCATGGCTGGCAAAACGGCGAATTGCATCAGCCAGAAGATGCTCACTTTCGCCGATCTCCAGGGCAATCTTGCTTTCGGGAGAAACGGCATATTGCCGGGCATCAGCGAGGGTTTGTGCGGATCGTTCGAAATCGCGCAATTCTCGCAGACAATCGGCTTGTTGTCTTAATACGTCGCCCTTGAGTCGTAATAAAGTTTTAGATTGGGCTTCGGAGAGGGTAGATGTTGGAGCTGATGTTTTTCTGGTTGTTCTGGGCACAGTAGCCTTCGATGAAGCGGGTTTGGATGCAGCAGAGCTGGTTGCACGGGTGCGTCTGGTGGTCGTTGTGGTAGTAGGTGTTGGTGTTCGGGGTGTTGGGGTACGGCGACTGTTCGCCCTAACGCGCAGCTTGTCCATCTTGTCCTCAAGTTCTGCAACATCCGATGCCTCTACACTGGCAGGCGTGTCTGAGGAAATGATAATCGTGATGATTTTATCAGCTTCGAGAAGAACACGAAGTGCCTTTTCGTGCTCGCCTCGTGTTTGGTACAAAGATGCAAGTGCAATTTGGAAAGAAACCGTTTCAACGCTTTTCGATGTCTGCTTCGAGGACTCAGATGCAGCAGCAAGATGTTCTTGCCCCTCGCTCAGGTGGCCGCCGAGAATTGAATGGCAACCAAGCTGTGTCTGTGCCGCTAGGAGTCGAGCATTGGCATCGAGTGTCCTATCAATCTTCAAGGCTTGTTCTCCATAATAAATGGCATCCTGGAATAAGCCATGGTGCGCAGACAAGGTTGCGAGGTTCAACAAACAGGTGTGATGAGAGCCTAGGTGCGGCCAGAATGGTGCACCTTGAATATAGCTGGCAGACACATCTGGGCTAGATCCGTTCTGGGATAGATCAAGCTTTGCAACTCCATCAGCAACAGCATCGACATCAGAGGGGCCTGTGGAAGGCAAAGATTTGTCTTGCTTTCTTTGAGCAATTCTTTCAACCTTGGCCCAGATTCGGCAATTCAGCCTCACGGACAGTTTCGCAAAGTAGAGAGCTTGAGTGGCTGAGCCCTGAGCAGAGAATAATCGGGATTGAACAAACGCGGCATCTGCTACCAATCTCTCCCAAGAAATCTTGGACAAAACACTCAAGTTATTCAGTTCCGACTTTTGGCTCTTCTCATATAACGAGCGAGCGGCAGAGAACACCAACGCAGCTTTATCAACTTCGCCGGTTTCCAGGAGATATTCCACCCGAGCAACTTTGTACGAGATGGTTGCCAGAGCAGAAATTTTGGCTTGGGTAAGATACTGCTCGCCACGCGAGAGCAAGTCGCCTGCCCTTTGGCAATATCCCAGACGGCAGTTTTGCAGTACTAAACGAGAGAGAATGATGATTGCATCGGAGATGTCTCCTGATTGCTGGAGCTCTGTGGCGCGCAGGATGAGCTCCAAAGTGGAGAGTTGAGCCCTCCAAAGACCGTGGATTTCAGTGTAATCGACTAGAGCCTTCAGCTGCAAGATCCAGTAGTCTGTGTCGTTGACACAGAGACTCAGAGTCTTCCAATCGGGGCACTTTCGAGTCAAAGAAGTCCATGAGTCAAGCGTGGCGTCCAGTTCACTTGCGTTAATCTTGCCTTGGTGAAACCCGATGAGAACGCGCAATGAGTTGCTGATATGAATAGCAAAAGAAGCGATGTCGGTGTCATTTCCGACTTGCAGCCCACTTTCCAAAGCTTCAGTTCCCTCTTCAAGCAAATTTTCGATTAATGATGGATCTAGCGCGGTAGGGTGCTCAAGGAGAAGGCGTAATGATGAAAAGATTACACGAATATGGCGGATTGGATGGAGTTGGGAGTCGTAGAGGTCCAGGAGGGAGGAAACAACGGAGCCGAGCATGGAGCGGAACTCTTCTTCGCTGGAGGAGTAGCTGTGCATATCGACGAGCAAGTCCATTTGCCACTCAAGAAGCATACCTCTTGATTCAAATTCAAGTTGAATGTCATCATAGACAGCAAAAGATTGTGCACCCTTTCTGCGCAGCTTCATCTTCAGAAGAGCGGAAAGCACGCGTCCAAGCATAAAGCCAGGACTTTTGGGATCCTGATTTAATGGACTTGGGTTAATTCCTTCGCTGCTCTTGGCAATCTGTTCTAATGTACCAGATAAAATGTATTCCTCGATCGATTGTCGGAACATCTTCTCTGAATCATTATACATATTGCCTTCAATGTAAAGATGGGCCATTCGCTCGAATTTCAGTGCTGCAAAAGCCGTGTTGCGTTGTGACGGTGAGCAGCCAGTAAGCAGCTGGGTAGACTGTTTGAGCAGAGGCAGCAGATCTCGGTAGCCTTGTCCAGCTTCCTTTTCTTTGATATAGCGCGACCAAAACAGATTTGAAAGCTTCACGAGTGCCATGCCCTGATTTTCTGTGGTCTCTGTATCCTGCTCATCTGGGGAGTCGATAGTTGCAAGCAGGCGATGACAGTCACCAAGGATTGGGAGCATGTCTTCCCATGGCGGCCTTTGGGACATGATGGACAGTTTCCCAACTGCAACGGCTGAGTCGACAGCTGCAAGAATAATGCTTTTGGAAATGACAATGCGGTTGTTGAAGATTTCCTTTTCCTTTTCGTCGCTGTCTTCGGTTGGCGGACGACCGACATAGCGCCTGAGGAACCTTAGGAATGCTTGGACGTACTCTCTAATCTGACAGGCAGCTTCATTCTTCTCTTTTTCGCTGCTGAGACTCTTGGAAATGGCTTCTCCAAACCAGGCAAGAGCTAACTTTTTCAATCTTGCGGATTCAACGAGAAGCTCATCCAAGTCATTCGCGCTACCTCTTAATTGCAGCCCCAGTGATTCAGTGGCCTCAGAGATAGACTCTAAAGCTCCAGCTAGAAGCTTTTTTGATGTCTTCAATGCCTGGAATTGGACAGATGCGATCTTACATCTTACCGTGGCCAGCGAAAGGCTTTGCGTTTTGGAGAGTGGATTGATGGCTTGTGTAAACAGTTTCATGGACTCGTCGAAGCAGCCAGCGTCGAAAGCCAGCTGCCCTAAAAGAGTCATAAGCTTCGCGGCTTGGGTAGCATATTGAGATTCTGATGATTTCTTCTTGGTTTCGGCAATGGAACTCTGTAGGCGTGTGACTGTCTTATAGACAACGGCAAATTCGGTCTTGTCTATTCCCTTGCTGCGGTGGGAAAAGCTGCCAAAGTAGCGAAGCAGAGGATCGAAAACTTCCTTGCTCTCATCACAAGTGTGACCAGACAGCTTCCAGCTCAAACATTTTATCTCGAGAGAAAGCAGTTGCAATGTTAATGAAGTGGTAGGCTTAAGGCTGTTCGATGTCTCGTCTTTGGAAAGCGATGCCCCAGAGCAGAGGGAGAGAACAGTGTTGGCTAATAGCTGGAGCTGAAGTGCAGCTTTGTCGTTCGATAGCTGCCCTGCCTTCAAAGCAGCCAAAATTACCTGAGCAGGACTGCTAGAGTCGGACAATTGCAAAGCAGGGCAAAGTTTCTGAATAGTCGAGGCACGTCGATCCGAAGCAAACAATCGCATCACATTCGAGTGAAACGGAACAATCAAGCTGTACAATGGCTTCGCATTGGCGAGATGAGCGAAAGTCAACAAATCAGACATTCGTTCTTTTCCTTCCTCATCTGTCGAGTCCTTAGCTTCCGTGGCTTTCTTCCCGGCCTTTCCACCGTCCAGATATTGCTGAATCCTCCTCTTAAGAAACCGGAGCTCTTTATATGCCATGTCGTTCAATCCTAGAGAAATAAGCTTCCCAGCAAGAACACACAGTCCCTGCTCGAGTTGCATATTCGGGAATTCGCCAGTTCCAGCATCAGACTTCAAAGCGCGCAATGTAGACAGAGCAAGCCTCGCGCACTCCGCAGCCGAAGTGACACCCGCAGCGACGCCATCATTCAATTCACTCTGTCGTTTCACCGTCGAGCCCTTCGCTGCCTCCGTCAAAGACTTCAAAGTCGCATTGAACACCTCCGTAGCGAGAACCAGCTTCTCCTGACAAGACAAGCCAGCATCATGATCAACAAGCGATTGCAACGCAGCCTCACTCCCAGCCTTAGATTTCGTTACACGGGCAGTCCGAGTTCGAGCTGTGGTGGACGCCGGTTCGCGGGTGGATTTCGTTCGTCTCGTGGGGTTTTCGGCTGCTTTGGGTGACCCGCGGAGGAGGGTTGTGAGGGACATAACAGTAGCATCGGAGCAGGTAGTCGTAGAACGGAGAGCCTGCTTAACAGACTCCGTCGAGGAGCTGGCCGGTAGGACGGTAACCGCCATTAGGAGAGTCTTAGCTGCAAGACTGAGGTCATCGCGTCTGGAGGCCTTTGATGTGCAATCGCTATCGGGCCAAACGGGCGCGTTGTCGCAGCAACAACAGCGCTAGACTATTTCCAGCGCATTAATGCCTTGCTGCCTTACAGCCTGAGGCACGCTTCCACTTCTCGGACCTTGATCTTTTCCCGCCTTCAACGCGCAGTAGACGACGAGTGTTACTGCCGACGATCATGGCTTCGATTTTCGGACTCAGGGCCCTCCGGGCTGGACGACAGATCCTCTCTTCACCCTCTACGCTGATTGCAGCCCGACAATCCCGCGCTCCCACCGTGCGGTCATACTCGACCTCCGACCACCTTCCCAAGATCGCAGACACGTCAGTATGGACGGCGATGATTCCTAGATTCCTACGCACTCGCCCGCGCAAGGATCCCTCGAAACAAAAGTCCAAGGAGTGGAATCCGGCCACATTCTACATTATCATTTTCACACTGATCGGCTCGCAGGCCATTCGCATGATCACATTGAAGAACAGCTATGCAGCATATACACGGTCGACAGATGCGAAGATCGAGCTGCTGCGCGAGGTAATCACGCGCACGAAGAACGGAGAAAAGGTCGATGTGGAGAAATTACTCGGGACGGGCGATGAAGCCAAGGAGAGAGAGTGGGATGAGGGTATGTTGATTACGAGATAGCGTTTGGCTGGTTGAAGTGATATTTTCTAACTTATTCCACTGCTAGTTCTGCGCGAGATCGAAGCCGAAGACTCGTTATGGCATCAGAAAGCTACCGAGTCCAAGTTCGAGGAACCCAAGACCGAGACAGTCTCCCAGAAGCCCGCGCAGCCTGCACCTACGCCAGATGCGGAGCCGGAGGTTCCCACGACGGAGTCGGCGCGGAAGAACAGATTCTACTGAGAGGTTTCGTTGGTCGTGTTCTTGATAGAGCAGCTTCCTCTTAGTGAGCTCGGCACATCGTGTCAACCCATATCCGACTGGTCTTTCGACTCCGACGGGACCACGTCCGCATCCTCCCTTGGGTTGGACTCGAAATCTGCTTGTATGAGCGGGAAACGTCCTTGGATATGAATGTAACACCACCTGTACAGGGAAATCGCACTCCTGGTGAATTCCGATACCCATTTGTTCACTTGTATATCCCATTTCATGTATATAGATAATCTCCTGTCGGGATATACAACGCAGAATATTACAGCCTCAGTCAATTGTCAATTGGATGATTCTCTAGTTACAGTTGGCTAAGAATTGGTCGACTGTACATTTAGGGATTATCCATACTCTGTATCGCCCTAATGATAGAAATATATCTACAACTTTAAGAATAACCCTTTCCTACTCAAATTAGGAGTATGTTTGAAACAAACACCGGAACCAATCCAGATATATATGATTCTGTATGATGTAAAAAACCCGTCACCACAGTCAGGGTCCTCTAACGCAACCCACACCATCTTTCCAAATCTATCCACTGTTGATACAATGCACACACAACACAACACACACAAGACAGTCACAGATCTCGAAGGAACCAGTCAGATGAGGGAGAAACAACAATGCAAGACCCAACCTCAACCGCCCAAGTCAACCGCACGCCCCCAAAACAAGAATTAGGGCGTGGGTAACGAGGAGAGCAAGGTCCGAGACAAAAGTGAGAAAGATCTCATGCTAAACCAAGGGAAAGGTAACAAAGAAAAGGGCGAAAAGAAAGGTAAGTATCGCTATCAAAGATAAAAACAACTTGAACTCAAGTACAGAGATTGCCGCGTAAGGCTTTAGATGACATCGATATCCTTACGCCTTAGATCCCTTCATGAACTGAGGCCACTGTTCAGGCCGGGGAGCCTGCACCCGGCCAATGTTTTGGTCCAAGTCTAGAATGAGCTTGAGAGCGTTCCGTGACCGGAGGTAGGGTAGAGGGGCCTTGGCACCCTGGCCACCGACGCCGGGCTCGACGTGGCCGGTTGGGGTGATGTCTTCGGCGGTGCCGGGCATAGGGAAAGTCTTTTGGAGGACTTCGTAGGCGGCGAGGGTGAAACCGAACTGCGGGGAGGAGCGCATGATACGGGCGGGACCGCCCTTGAAGAAGGCAGCCAGACCTTCCTCCTTCCAGACGGTTTGGGCGCAGTGGCGGAGGCCGTTGTACTTGGTATCACCCTTGCGGGCTTCGACTTGCAGACGGGTCTTGATCACGTCGCAGGGTGTTGTCAGGTAGGCGGCGGGCATACCGGCGATGGCACCGGCTGTCAGGAGCTGGACGACTCCGAGCTTGTTGGTCGGGGTTTCGCCGAAGAAGTCGGACTTCAGGTGGGCGTATGTGGGGAAATAAATGGCCGAGAAGGGGACTGGGGTCGCAGGTTAGAATGATCGTTCGCAGAGAGTGCATTGGGGTATTAGCTTACCATCACGGAGGAGACAGGCACTGGCACCCTTGTACAGACCCATCAGACCCAGGTTCTTGACGATCCACAGGGCGGAGCGGCGAGGAGCACCCTCGACGTTCTTTGCGATTTCACCCTGGACCTGCAGACGAATCTTGACAATCTCAAGAGGGTTGGTGAAGACCTGAAGTGGATTAGCATTATTCGCTCCCAGTACAGGTAGGTTTACTTACGACTTGACAGGCACCGGCAGTACCACCGGCCAAAACCTCATGCATGTACTTGATGCGGTGGGTATCTTTGTCGGTGAAATATCCACGAACAAGATCATTGACAGTCAGCTTGATAGCCTTCTCAGGAGCCACACCAATCAATTGAGGAATGACACCAGAGTACAGGCCGAGGAAACCCTCATTGCGGATAACCTTCCTGGCGCAATCGATAGAGTTGTTGTACAGTCTCTCACCGGGACGAGAAGAGCGCTGGTTCTGCAGACGGGTCTTGACCAAATCAATAGGGTAGACCATGAAGGCACCGAAAGCACCCGCAACACTTCCCAAAGCGAAATGGTGCGCAGACTCCAAAACGCCGTGCAGGACACTCTTGGTCTTCTCCACGGCTTCCTGTCCGGTGGAGATAACCTGACCGGCCACAGCAACAGGGATACGCCATGAAGCATCAATGACCTTGGCGAAATCCTTTTGTGACAGACGGCCGGAGGGGGCATCGAGACCGGCGAAGTGGAACAGAATATCGGCCTCCATGGGGGTAAACAGGGAGAAGCGGGTGATGCGAGCAGCCTCGTTCAGGAAATCGGAGCGAGTAATCTTGCCGTCGGTGCTCTTCTTTGTGGCCTCGCGGACGACCATGTCGATAATGTCCATCTCCAGCATGACGTTCTGGAAGGCCCGCACGTTGGCGTAGGAGATGCGGTTGCTGGTCGAGATGTTGCACAGGGTCGGCAGGTTCTCCAGCACATGATCAGACAGCTTGTGTTTTGAGGTCTCGAGAATAATGCGCTGGAAATCCTCGGGCTTGATGAATCCATCACCGTCCTTGTCGAAGGTGTGGAAGGCTTGCCGGATGCGCTCACCCTGGAGCCCGCGCAGCATCTGGGCGAATTGGGGGTAAGTCATGTCATGGCGGGTCTTGGAGCGGCCGCCGTACAGCGACGCCCATTCGGAGTTCCAGTCAAAGGGGATGCTGTCGGCGCTCTTGTTCAGGTTGTACAGGGCCTGCACGGTCTCGAACTTGACGGCACCGGAGCCATCGAGGTCGAAGAGGCGGAAGGCGATCTCGTACTCGGCATCGGGCTTCGCGAGGAGGTTTTCGAAGGTGGCCCAGTCGTTGACGTTCAGCTTGCCGGCTCTCCGTCGGTCTGCCACGTTAAAGAGGATCCCGTATTGTTCGCGCTTGATCTTGTGCTATTTTTCGGGAGACCATCCATCAGCCAATGCTCCCCGTTAGTTTGATCGGATTTCCCAGGACTCACATAATCTTCCTGCTTGGGGGCGACAGCATTGATGAAGTTGTCCTCATCCATGAACAGCTCGCCATTCTCGTCCTTCTGCGCATGGCGAATGAAGTTGGTACGCGCCTGGTGGGACAGCTGAGGCCCCTCGTGGCTACCCAGTAATTGTTCCTTGACGGCTTCCTTGACGCTGGCCATTTTGTGTGACAATCCTGAAAGAGTCTCAAAAGTTGCAAAACCCACGAAACACACAAAACTGGGGGAAGGGAGAGAGAGTGGAGCAGGGGAGGGTTGAGTCAAAAGGAATGGATAACTTAATCCAGTACAATAATTACACTGTCCAGGACTCTCTCTCCACCGAAAGCTCCTTTTCTTATTTTTAGTTTCAGTTTCACTCTTTTACAGTCATGTTTATTCTCATGTTCTACAGTAGTTTTAATCACCGATCGAATTTTCACCAGGAGCTATTTACCCGGAAGATCGGGCTTGGGGCCGAATCACAGTGACCGACATCTCCTTCTGGAGCACAGATCTCCGCATGACTGGCCCTACCAGATATCTTTAAGGCACCAGAAAGAACGGGATTGCCACGTCTGTTAAATGGAACACATTCTGATTGTTCGAGAATACTGGTTACCCTGGATCTGACGTTTGCCACCACCTAGGAACGGGGGGTAAAAAACAAATAGTGACAAGAGAATGGATTCGCAGGGGAAAACCGGGTGGCACGTCACATGGCCCGAATGCGGAGAGTTGGAGAGAAAAAGGCTTCACGCTCGGCTTAACTCCGCCATGGTCTTCTCCGCATCTGCCTCTGCAGCATTAAGTTATATGTGGTCATTTCCAATGGCATGGCAAGAATGCAGAATGTCTAGGAATACCCTTCCCAAGACTTGCACTTGGAATAATTGGCAATGCTCCATGGCGCATCAACTTACCTATTCGAGTAACCATTCATCCCCGTATCCCCCCCACGTTCCACTGCAATTTGGAAACTCAATTGCTGTTGGAGAGAGCTTCCCTGGTATAGTCAGTACAAAAGCTAACATGCGGAGTCAATGGTCGTGATTTGAGTGATGCCTGTGGGCAAAAGAGGAGGATGTACGTTTCCCCCCTCACGCGTACATGGATGATACTCCCTGTTTCGAATGCGAAGATCTCCTCACCGAAACCCCATGACGGGCCTGAGGCAAGCAGTCTAACCGAGAGTGTGAATGCCTTATTCCAAGTCGCGCTAGTTGGAATTGGCCGAGATCCCTGTCGTAGACAAGCAGATAACCGAAGGTTAAATAGGACGAGTTATCTGATCAAATCTGATCTCCATGATCGGTTGAAAGTCAAAATAGGGGAGAGGTGAGCCCTTCGTCAGAGCCTAAATTGAATAGCAGGGTAACCCCGTATTTACCACGGTCTCTCCATGGATCTTCCTGATAATAATAATAATCACAATATGGTTGTCAAAAGCTACAATGTATACGGGAAACAACAATGACAGTTGAGCTATAGAAGCAAAGCATATTGGAGAAGAAATCGAATTAGGGCCAAATGGCAATCTACATGCTGCACACGAGTATCGGGGCCCGCGGGCACATTGGCGAGCTAGCATTCGCCGGCCTCGTTTGCTTGTTTGTGAGATCAGCCGCGCCTTGATATTCTTCCTCGACAGCCATCCATATCACCATCACATTCTCCCATCGCTTTACGGGGAGTAACTTTGTAATGAACACTATAAAGCCATCCCTTTCTCGTTTCCCTACATTCGTTCGCAAGAAGCCAGTGTATCCACCTATGAGGGAGCTATTGTCGATGTATCAGCAGCGTTTTGCCCACCGAAATATGCCACTGCCTCTCTTTAAAACATACATTCGTGCTCTTCTTACAGGGCATGATTATCTACACAAAGAATGCAGAATAGTTCATACGATTAAGTTCAATTTCGTCTTTGTTTTCTCGTCGATGATACTCATTTAACAGGCTGCCTAGATTTAAAGCTTGAAAACATCATGGTCTCATTCGAGGATCCAGCAGTGCTTGCTAATTTCATGAATTCCCAACTTGAAACCCCGATGGCTTTCAAGATGGATTCTGCGGGATGACCAGTATATCAGTCAGTCCTACGAGAACCTGGTTCCCGACCGGAACCTACGCGACAGTTTCCGTCTTTTCGTCCTTGAGGGAGAGGAGAGAGATGCATTCCGTGATCTCGTCAACGGAATGCTTGTCTGGCATCTAGATGCGAGAAAAACGGCGGGAGAATTGGCTGGACATCCTTTCCTTCAACAAAAGCAGGCAAGCGCCTAATATCTTTCACTACTAGCGAAACTATTCTCATGGTTGATGCCATTTCAAATGAACGATTGAAGCGTCAACGTAGGATGTGTCTGAATGTGGTCGTTACAGTACGAACTATTAGGGGCATGGCCAATTGAGTACTTGAGAGTGTGATTTTGAAATACCATGGAAGATACAGAATAGATAAGGGGATGGAGCTTAATCGTCAGGCAGATGGGGGTGCTGAATACTAGTTCGCGCTAGTAACATGTATGGAGGACCCTAGTGCCGAGTAGACTCATTGGATTCTTGCAGACTAGTCAAAAAGCTCGCCCATCGCTAGCATACTCAGAACATTAGGATCGTCGCTCGTTTAACTCGATTAAGCTCATCAACACAGGAACTCATCGTATCCACATCGTATCCCCCCTATCGTATTCCTATCGTATAATCACAAACTTCGTTGACCGAGGTCATCCTCAACTTCTTCAATTCCTCTCCACGTGAAAGGATAGGAAGTATAGAGGTGTCTGTTCGAGTATTTAGATCAGGGCAGATACCGTTCTTGAGGCCATCGACGCGACTGTTTACCCCTTTTACGGGTTCCTCACTATTTGAAATGTCCTCCATGCTATCCTTCGCCATTGCCATAGCTGGTGTTTTTGGACCAATTGGTTCATACGCGACTACCGCAGGTCCAGCAGCTTGTTCCAACATTACCTCACATTTGGGATCATCAAAGGTCGTCAGCAGTGAGATCAATCAGAAGTATATCAACAGCATTGAGTACTACAATACTGTCCAGGATGCCTACAAACCATCTTGCATTGTCTACCCCAAGTCTTCTCAAGACGTATCTGTGGCTCTTCAGGCCATTCGATCCGCGGACAGTCGCTTTGCAATTAAGGCCGGCGGCCACAACCCAAACACCTTCTATTCATCCGTTGACGATGGCGTCCTCATCGATTTGAGCAGCCTTAATGCAAAGTCATATGACCCAGAGACCACACTAGCTACATACGAGCCAGGTGGTACGTTTGGTGACATATATGACTACTACCTACAGTATGGCCGCACGGTAGTCGGCGCTAGACTTGCCGGCGTTGGAACCGGCTTAGCTCTGGGTGGTGGCATGAGTTATCTCTCGCCGCAGTACGGAATGGCCTGCGACTCATTTCGAGAACTGGAAATTGTTCTACCGAGCGGTGAAATTGTGACGGCATCCAACACTTCCAACCCGGATCTCTTCTTCGCATCCCGAGGAGGCGGCGGCAATGCATATGGCGTTGTGACAAAGTATACAGTGCAGAGTCGCCCAGCTGGAACCTTTTACGCTGGAAATGTCATCTATGCCTTTGAGCAGAAAGACACTGTTCTCGAGGCGATCCACGATTTCATCAAATACAATACCGATCCCAAAGCAAGCATCATCGGCACATACGAGAAGATCCTCACCCCAGACCTAGGCTTGAACCTCGACGAAATCCTCATCATGTTCCTCGTCTATGATGGGGAGGACTCCGGAAGTGCATTCTCAAACTTCACCAGCATCCCCCACATACTCAACACCCTCAGCCCCAAGACTTACCCCGAAGTAGTCAACATGCCAATCCCATATTCCACCGAAATTTCCCGCGGCCCCAACACCTTCCGCGTCGGAGTGCACCGCGCCGACACGGACGAATACAAGATAGCCATGGACAAATGGCGCGACTGGGCCGAGTCGAACAAGGGCAAATACACCCTCCTTTCACTGGACTTCCAGCCTGTCCCCAAGAGCTTGACCGATGCCAGCAAGGCTCAAGGTGGAAATGCCATGCAAATGCCTGACGGCCCGTGGTTTTGGTTGAATTACCTGATTCAGACGCCAGTATTGATGAGTGGGCCTGATTATGATGCGGTTCAGTCTAGCTTCCGGGATTTGGTTGCTTCGACTTCTAATGCTGAGGGCTTGCCGCTGTTCATTAATGATGCTAGCCACGATCAGAATCCGCTCTCGACTTTCTCGACTTATGCTCAGTTGCAGGATATTAAGAAGAAGTATGATCCCGATAATTTCTTTGCTGATCGGACTGGTGGTTGGTCTTTTGCTTAGTGGTGATATGTCTATATGAGAATAGTAGTAATTTAATAAAAATCTTTGGCATCTACTCTTTATTTGATTCTGTGCTATGAAAGTCTTTGCAGTATCCCAAACGAGATTTAGGGCAGACTGTCTAGTGCAGCCATCGCTCCTTCCAAATAAGACCACCTCACGTTCATCTGGACAATTGAATCGACACCTAAACTCGGCTTTTGACTTCATTTGAAATGCCTCGCATACTATACTGGTATTCCAATCATTGTCAGTTGCTGAGGATCATATATCAGCGCCATGGCCTTAAACCCTACAGAACACAGCGTCATACAGAGCAACCCACTGGCAGGTACCGGGGGACCTGTACTTTGTCCAGACTGGATCTACTCAACCATCTCCGACTGTCAGTGAGTATACACACATCTCTAGGGCCGTGACAGATCACCATCCCTGAAGGACACGAGACTAACTCATTTCGAGCGAGGTAGCGTTGCCAGAGATCGCGAGTGGTTCAGTGACGACTACACACCGTTCCCAACCGAGTTCAAATCCGGATTTGGGGAGAAAGTCCAAGTCCTCGGAATTGGAACCGTTTTACTCCCCACATACGCCGTCCCTCCGCTGATGGGCCCTCCAAGCCTCGGAATCATCCGCCTGGAAAACGTCCTCCACGCCCCAACTGTTCGGTGCAACATCATCGGGTCCCCTATCATAGAACGTTACAACCTGGAATGTCATGTGAGCTCCCCAACAGCATCTGGTATCATCAGCGAGCGTCACGGCCAGCTTGTGGCATACTTCAAGCCTGTAGCTCATGTATTCTGCCACTTGGAACTGCAGCTGAGCGACCCGCCCTTTGGGCCGGTTCTTGGGCCGTCGAGTCTCAATTCCTCGACTGAGTATTCGATTCATGCTTTTTGGTCTATGTCTGAGCGGCTTCGGTATGAGATATCTTGTTTTCTGACGCCGGACGAGGAAGCATGGGTGGAGAAATACTACAAGACTCAGGCTGATTTCCTTGAAAGTCTCGGATTGAGTAATTTGAACCCCGAGGATCGAACACAAGGTCGACTGATCCTGAGAGCTTTGATGAGCCAGGACGATCATGAGATTGGGGAGCTGAAGCCTTGAGTGAGCTACTGACAGGCAGATCAATCAATGAGAACTCGGGCTAGTAGGTTGGTTTTGGAAAAGTGCAGAATGCATAAGACGGGCATCCACTCGAGGTTCTGATTCTCTCAACTACTGTTATCCCACTGACAATCACGCAATGAGCAGCACAAGCGAAATCAGAATGCCATTGATATCGTTATAGGCACTGAGACTTACCTCCACTAATGACAGAATTACAGTACACGGCATCTTCAGCTGTTCTTCCAGTACAATTCAGTCGTTGCTGCAGCTTAGGGTTGTGGCATCATACTGTACAGTACCTTTTTATGCTCATGCACTTGGTCAGTACTGTAGTCGGTCAAGGCGCATATCTACTTTTGTACCTGACCAAGGCCAACCTGTTTTACAAACTAGCTAAAATCAATAGCGTGCGCCACCCAGTTTGATTTAAAGGCTTACAGTAAACAATACCGTCAGCAACAGCAGGCCTTCACTCTCCGCCGTATCAGGTCTTTGATAAATTAGATGGGCATTACGGCATAGCATCATTTTAAGCATTGAGGATCCTAAGATCAGCTCAGGGGTTATCATGATCTTGACTACGGTAGACATCATGATCTCGACTAGATATTAGGATGCTGTTTGGATATCAGTCTACAGTAGACATTGTGACCTTGACTGGTACGTACGTTAAGAGATAAGTTAGGCTAAACGTGATATTCATGCATGGGCTGCATATGTTGCGAACAATTTGAGAAGATATAATACGCTAGGTGTGATGCCAAAACTTCTTACTGTGCAGTATGTGCTAGCATCACCTCCTGGCATGATGCTATTTACAGTAGACCCAATCTCGAGTACAGTACTCGAGTACTGTAATGCAGAATGTACTGTACAATATCACAATGATCAGCCCTGCGAAGAAGACTCAATCCATGTACCGTACTCTTTTGCACTCGCGGTCATTCGATCCCAGCTATTACGAATTCTTTTTGCTTTGCATACCACACAGTCTATTACCAACTTCGACACGCAAAACATAAGACTGAACAAAAAAGACGCGGCCCTTCTCCTTTTCGTACCTTGAACCTCAATTCTCTCGCATTTATGCGTTCATGACCTCGTCTCACGAACTGCGAAAACTCTCATACGAACGCATTATCGAGGCCCTTGGCCTCCCTGGCTCCCCTAGTACGCTCCACTGCTACCTCCAATCAAGAGGATTTCGCCGATTAAAGTGGGTGTGTATTAAGATTCGAGCCTTTCGTCTTAGTGTGGAATTACCTTGCTTTCGGCTTTCATGTTAAGCATTGGGGTGGGGGTCACTATTTTAGACAGACTACTGTACTATATTGCAGGTTCAGTAAAAGTCGCCACTTGAAAGTGCGCTACTGAAACTGTCGTAATTCTGTCACCGAAGGCCCTGTTGTTACGGATATCCGCCAGAAAGCTCCAATCGAATTGTCTTTTCCAGTGGTCTTTGGCTTGTGTCCTGTACTGTAGATTGCTCATAGTCCAATCCTTGTCCTGCACTACTGTATACGGTATTCTCAAAATAGCCTTATCTTCGGCTGCAACCTGTGCACCGATTCACACAATAAACCTTGCGACTGGTCCAATAATTTGCCAGTAATTTTCGTCACTGTGATGATGCGGGGACATCACCTGGGATATCTGCAAAGTTCACTTGAACTCTTCACATTCAAGTCCCAATTAGACTCACTAGAGGAACAGAATGTGTCCCTAGTGCAGAGGGCTGCAGTGGGCTGCAGGGCACACCGACCACATTGGCCTGTCCTCGAGACCCGAACGCCCATCACATCACACTAGAGCCCGATCCATCCTGCAGACCAGCTGATTGGCGGATACAACGAAGCTTTCCAAGTATAGAAACCAACGTGTGATGAAGTGGTGATTCGTGCGTCGTGCATCAAGTGGGCGCTTACGGCCCCCCCCCCCTCTCGACCCCAGGGCTATATAGGCGCCGAATCCATCAGGGGCCATATTCAAACACGTTTGAGATTTTCTTTTCTATTTTCGCTTCTTCTATTTTCGTCTGTTCGTCTTGGCTGGCCCAAGCGAGTTCTGCTCATTTACCTCCTTGCACGTCTTGCACGTCAATAATCTGTTTCCTCTCCTTGCCTTCCAATTTCAACTTGGGATCTCTTTGTTGATCAAAGTCGCCCAGTTAACACAAGAAAACATAACGTCATCGGTCCTATACTTCCTTCAAATACCACTTCTCCCGTCATCTTTCGTGCACCCTACCGCCACAATGCTTGCCGGTGGTGTCCGTTCCATGAAGCCAAAGCTTTCCCTGAGTATCTCTGCTGCGCAGAATAGCACACGGCCAACCCTGTCCCTCAAATCGCCCAGTGCTATTCCTCGCACACCAGTCTCGCCAATTTCCGCCGCGAGCCCGACAGCCATGAGGTTCTCCACTCTACAAGTGCCCAGCTATTCATACACAAACTCTTGTTCCACGAAGAGTATTCTCAAGAAAAAGTCAGACTCTCGCTCAGGAGCTGTTGACAAGCGCATTCAATTCAAAGTCGCACCCACTGTCCACTGCGTAACGCCAATTGAGAATCCGGATGAGTACTATGGCAAACACACGAAGATGTCTCGTGAAGAACGACGATGGACGGTCCGACAGTGAACTGATCTTGAGATTTTGTATCATTAATGGCCGTCTACGATTGGATTGTTGGTGATCAATTGGGTAGCTGTGGCGATCTGTTGCTGCACTGACGCTGCGTTACGGATCTCTGGTTTATCACGACCCTTCGCATGCTTGAGAACCCTGGAATGCAACAGTGATGGCAAATACACAGAGAGACTTGCTTCAGTATATCCTCTGTGCATCTGGCCCTGGACCTCGAGCCGGTTGTTCATATAGACAGCAGTGTCCTTCGCGTCGTTTTGCGCCCCCAGAGTCTTGTCAATACTTTCTGGGCCAGCTCGACTTTGAGCCTTTTATCACTACATGTGCTGTCGCTGGGAAAATACCAATGTATCAGTGTTTTGGAAGGGATTATGTTTTATGATGTTATGATGGGAATTGGATCGCAGATTATGACCTGAGTACTGCTGTTTTTTTTTTTTCTTTCTTTTTTTTATTTTAGTCACTCGTTACTGTGAATATATCAGCGTCTGTCGGATACCATTACACCGACAGATCGAAAGAAAGTGCAGAAACTTGCTAGTACAATCAGTAATCGTAATCCGTAGATCAATAAACTACCGCATTGGTGACAATCTTAGGGCTTCAATCGAGGGCTTCTCCGGTCCGTGCGGGTCCGATCTTTTTCGCCCCTGGCGTCGCTCATCAAGTCAAGCACTGCAGCAATGCTGTTCCCAACCCATGTCGCTCTGCGCAGATCAGCAATAAGCGTCACAAGAAGATGTCAGAGCTGCCGCCGTGGCTTGCTCACATTAGCGATCGAAACGTCATGGTAAGCCGAAATGATCACCGACTCCAAAAAAAGACCAGAAAGCTAAGAGCGCGCCAACGACAGTGACGACACTTCGGTAGCCATCGTCGAGAAAACAAAAAAAGCAGCCGGAGATGCAGCTAAGATTCATTTCTTGGAGAACATCACTGCTGACACCCGCGCACACCGAGGCATCCATCCTATCATTGCTCTCGAATCGCATCAGGAACATCTCGCAAATCTCGTCCAGAAAGCGATCAAATATCTACCGGAGTCGAAGACTGGCGATGGTATCAAGCTAGCGGATGGGTCATGTCGCCGCATACCCGATTTTATATCCACTACAAGAGGCCCTGGCATGCGGTCTAACCTGTCTGTCGGTCTTGATACTGGAAAGGCATTGTCCGTCGCATGGCAGATTCCCATGATTGGCGTGCACCACATGCAAGCACATTTATTAACGCCCCGGTTTGTTTCATGCATGGAGAATGGGAATGGGAATGAGAATGAACCTAGCGCAGAGGCAACAGCAAAACCGACACCAACACCAGCCATAGCGCCCGAATTTCCCTTTCTATCCATCCTTGTCTCTGGGGGCCATACGATCCTGGTTCACTCCACCGGACTCACAGAGCATAAAATCATCGCAGTAAGCGAGGACATAGCCATTGGAGAGGCATTGGACAAATCGGCACGCGACATCCTCCCCGCGGAGCTATTACAACAATCAAAAAGCACAATGTATGGTAAAACGCTCGAGAAATTCGTTTTCCCAGGCGGACAAGCCGATTTCAGCGATTACAGAGCGCCCGAAACCCGCGGCCAAGAACTAGCAACCCGGCAAAACAAATGGGGGTGGTATATCACCACGCCGTTCGCCAATACGCGCACTCTCCAGTTCAGCTTTTCTTCTGTGTCGAGCATGGTTGGCAAAATCCTCCAGAAGAAGAAAGATGGTGAGATGTCCACCGAAGAGCGGATTGATCTTGGTCGGGAGACCATGCGCGTTGCTTTTGAGCATCTTGCTTCGCGGACTGTCATTGCTCTTGAGATGCTGCAGCCGCGTGGGACGGATGACAGGGACGAGATCAAGACGCTTGTCGTCAGTGGTGGCGTTGCGGCGAATCGATTCCTGATGGGGGTTCTTCGGTCATTTTTGGATGTGCGTGGGTTTCAAGACATTCGGGTTGTTGCGCCGCCTGTTCATTTGTGCACTGATAATGCCGCTATGATTGGATGGGCTGGGATTGAGATGTTTGAGGCTGGGTGGCGCTCTGATTTGAGTGGTCGTCCTGTCAGGAAATGGTCTCTTGATCCGCAAGCTGAAGATGGAGGCATTCTCGGTCCTGCTGGTTGGTACCGGGTCTGATTTTCGCTCTTGGATGTCTGTACTGTGTATATTAGTGATACCCGTGAGAACTCTCTTGTATAATAGTGTTATTTAGGCTAGGCTAAGGCCCGCAATACCATCTCCATGTCTATACCTTTCGCTCGAGTTCCTGGACTGAAAATGAATAGAATTTTTGCAAAATTCACTGTGCATTATTGACATATAAGACCCGGAATTTCAGAGACGCCAATGCCATGTAACCTCCCTCTCATCACCCATAAATCCTCCTCCACAGCAGGGTATCGATGATGCGCCGTTGTAACCCATGAAAATGAACCAAGCTCGCGAACCGGCCGACTGTGCAATACTTCAACTGCGAGAAAAAGGAGTCGCAGTCGTCATCGTTATGTTCATCGTTCATCCGCCGATAGGAAGCCCGCGCTGTAGCGATGTAATCTGTTTGCGAAGCTCGACGAAGAAGTCCTTCCCGTTTGCCATGAGATGCGCTGCATATATGTTAACTCCTGTTCAAGTAGGCGATCGAATTTGGAGACGTACGCTTGGTGCCCCAAGCTCCGCTACCACGGTTGGGCGCGTCATTTGTGGTAGGCTTGTAGACGTTTGGCTTCGGTTCTGTAGAAAGGGCAATGAGTTAGGTGTGTATAAATACGGAGGCAGATAATAGCATACCACGAGGACCTAACACGTGAATAAATCCAAGTTAGCTTTGTACAATTTGAGCGAGGTCACAAGGACAACCATACCTCTCTTCAAGATGTTCTTGGCCTCCGTGGCATTGAATCCCCGTACAGGGACATGTTGCTCTTGCGGGGCGTTTGATGCGCTCCAGGCAGCATTGCCATCGCGCGCGCCACCCTGTCCCCCTGTCTTATCCCGATTTCCGCCGTTGCGCTGCGAGGATTGGCGACTGGGTCCACCCCGCCATCTAGGAAGAACAAGAGCAGTTAGTAAAGCTGCGAGGCGCAAAGTATGTTCAGGGTAAATGTATACCTGTTTTCGCCATGACCGCTCATATTGTGTAGAAATGAGAAGTGGGAACAAAATGCAAAGATCGCCAATAGCTAGGTAGCTCAAGGAAATTGATATGTCAACTCGACGCGGAGGCTTGGAGTTCCGTTGACACCTGAGGCCACTTCACGACAGCTCGGGTGTCTCCGCCTTGGCCAGATGACCAAACATTCCTCATCGCGCCTCTCAGCTTTGACAGGCCTGGCGACAATTGCGATATCCCGTTGATCTGATTGTCGCATGTGAATCTGTGCAAGTTATATTTCGCCACCCAGCTTGAGTTGGCCGCCCAACGCGACTTGGACCCGTCCGATTGACAACTCCCCCCGGACGACGATCCACACCCAGTCCCTTACGCTCGTGGTGATATGGCGCCGTCGATTCGGCACTCGAACTCCGGTCGCGCATCACGCAGTCGACCCAGAACTTCATTGAAATCGTCTCTCAACGAGCTTCCCGAGTCGCCTGAGGGCCCTCCTTTGAAGAAGCGCAGGTACATTCCCGGCGGTCCTGGAGGCGGCGGAAGGTTTATCGACGCCGACGGCAATATTGTCGCCGAGGAAGAATCAGAATCACCGAAGAAACCCAGCCCCCCGCGCCGCTACTCTGCGAGTGCTCGAGGTCGTCCAGCTCCGCGTGAGATCGCAGAAACAATGCAGGCCCCTCCTCCGCCACCTCCCCTTGTGCCGACAACACCCCCCTCGATGACGCGTCCAAGGCGCGATAAGACTCAAAACCGAGGTCGCTATACCTCTTCCACGGCTGCTGCGCTCGCTCTTCAACAAGGCGATGGCTATAAGCCACGCGAAGAACGTGGATGGGAGGAGTTCCACCCCGACTTGGATATCGATGGCAAGCTTGCGGTCTTCACCTCACAGGAAGTTGATACTCCAGATATTACAGAATCCCCGGGTCTCGGAGGTGGCGCGAATGTGCTGGATAGCCCAGGAACACCAGCCTCTTATTCAGCCGACGCATCATCTCCATTCCCAATGAAACGTCGACCGGGTCGCCCACCACGTCGCCCTGAGGCCATCTTGAACGCCATGTTTAGCCATCAAGGACAGAAGTTTATTCCGCCACCCGGTCCTAATCCTAGAGAGAAGTTGACGCTCCCCAAGCCGTCTTTCAGGCAGCGTGATCCCTTCACGTTTTACGAGAAGAAGGGCGTGGGCCACCAGAACTATGTTGATCGTACCATGGCAGCCGTTGGATATCAGGAGAGCGATTTGTTTCTCCGGCATGACCGCCGTTTTATTCGCTTGACTGAAGGCACACAAGAAGATGACCTGGATGTCATTCAGCCGGCTATGACAGATGATGTTAACACAACGACTGGACGTGTGGAGTATGATATGGATGAACAGGACGAGAAGTGGTTGGAAGAATATAATTCCAAACGTCGCGAGGATCAGCTTGAACCCATCAAACCGGCCGTGTTTGAAATTACTATGACCAAGATTGAGAGGGAGTGGCACGCTCTTGAGAAACGCATCCCAAAGCCGAACCCTAAACCACCACAGACTGGACGGCCTCGTTCCAGCTCAGCAGCTGCCGTCAATGGCGAAACCGCAGGACCAGGCGAAGAGCAGGATAGCAAGTGTGCTATTTGCGATGATGGCGACTGTGAAAACGCAAATGCCATTGTTTTCTGCGACGGTTGCGACCTCGCAGTGCATCAAGAATGCTATGGTGTTCCTTTCATCCCCGAGGGCCAGTGGCTGTGTCGCAAATGCCAGCTGCTGGGGAGAGGTGCCACAAATTGTATCTTTTGTCCAAACACTGAAGGTGCATTCAAGCAAACTACTTCCTCTAAATGGGCCCATTTGCTTTGCTCTTTCTGGATTCCAGAAGTCTCTATTGGCAACCCATCTCTCATGGAGCCAGTCACCGACGTTGAAAAGGTTCCTCGCAGTCGCTGGAAGTTGACCTGCTATATCTGCAAGCAGCGGATGGGTGCTTCTATTCAATGCAGCAACAAAAACTGCTTCGTAGCCTTCCACGTTTCGTGTGCACGCAGAGCTCAGCTATATCTCAAGATGAAGATTGGCCATGGCCTGATGGACTCCCACCTTCTCAAAGCTTTCTGTGACAAGCATGTCCCGCCTGATTGGCGGCTAGAGCACGGAACTGACATGGCAACAGCTGATGCTATGGAATATTACCGCAATACCATGAGCGGTCGACAATGGGGGGACAGCCAGGCAGCAGCACTTTCAACCGGTCCCTCACATCCCATTATTGAGGGAGCTGAAGACGACCTCTCTCAAGCTCCTCGCATAACTTTGACCATTGGTGGCAACAAACGCAAGCGCGTACCTCGGATGATTTGGAAACTACCCTCGGGTGCTCCAGTGATTCCTCAGGTTGTTTTGAACTCGGTAGTTGCCTCACTTCAACGTTTCACAGTCCGCCAAAGAAAGCAATATGCCGAGGATGCATCCAAATATTGGACGCTGAAACGTGAGGCGCGACGTGGAGCAGCTTTGCTCAAGAGACTTCAATTGCAGCTAGAGACGTTCTCTTCTATGGAGATGACGCGAAGAGACTACGTTGCCATGGGTGTTCCCGGGCACAAACGTTTACAACGTCGCATTGAATTTGGCGAACGACTTTACACAGATCTTGACCGATTACGGATGCTATGTGATGAAATGAAGAAACGAGAGAGGGAAAAGTTGAAGGACGCCGAGATGTTACGGAACATCGTGGATCTTGTCTACTTCCCTACATTCCCCCTACTCTGGCCGATCCTCGAGAAGGCTCAACTGTAAGTGGCTCTTTGGAAATGTTGGCATGGCTTTCACTGACACCAAACCAGGCTTGATGGAAAGGGCGTTTTTGCTCCTGGCTTGATGTCAATACGACAGAGACTGAAAGAGCGTTTCTACCCATCTGTTGCTACATTCTCTACTGATCTGGCAAGTCTTTTCACGTCAGAAATTGGCGTGGAGCCTGCTGGTGACACTGCTGAACTGCAGGCACAAATCAGCGGTCGTGCCCCAGAACTCAGCCTAGAGCAACGCGAGAAGAGGAAGCTAGCCAAACGTATCATCAAGGTCATCCAACCCTCACTGGAAGACGCAATCAAGAAAGAAAGCGAGTTGAATCGAAAACCATTCGAGAAAGAATTGAAAGAGCTGGATGTGATACTTGATCACAGTGTCATGTCTCGCGATTCCGCTGAACCCGAGGGTGATACTGAGCTGTCTACTCACCCTGATGCCATGGAAGGTGTTGAAGAAGCTACAGAAGCTCCATCCGAGACTCAACCTGCTCCAGACCAACAACACCCCGACGAATCTGGCGCAGACGGCGCACCCGCAGAGGACCCTATGAACAATTTGTTTGCCTATCATCGACACCCAACACCTGTCTTAACCGAACAAGACCAAGAATTACCACTGGCTCAAGGCGGCATCCAATGGTACATGCAGCCATTCGACCCTGTTGGTACCACCGTCCACGAAGAACGATGGACAGGACGTGATGTCATGCGTGGCATGAGTGAGGAGCTCAGTGAGCTGGACGAGGACGAACTTGAAGGATTGAAGGACCTGGTGGATGATGAAACACTTGGAGGCACTGCCACCACCAATGGAGCTCGAGCTGCCTCCAAACAGAATAACCGTCGGACTCGACGTTTGCGCGGCTCAAAATAATACCATGTCCATGAGCGCGAGGCGTACGGTGTCCAGGATTTGATATTTTAGCGAGATGTTGTACTTCTAGTTCTTTAGTTAAGTTAGCTTCGCTACAGCTAATAAGACCAATGGCAATCGAGTCTTGGCGCGTATAAGCTGTTTGTTCTTAGCGTGAAGCCATTGCTTGCACTAGCCCAATTTCCAATTGTCCTAATTTCCCTTTTTCCCCCTTTTCCCTCTCTTTGACCAAAGTATTTTGACAAGAGTTCTTGAACTACTGAGGCGGTTTTTCTGCCTGAATTTTCGGGTGTTAATCGCTCGATTTTCCGGGCTCTTATCGTTCAACCTCACTTGCTTTCTTCCTCCTTCCATCTCACACCTCTCAGTCTTTTACACATCATGGCTGACTACGAGAACGACAACGGCCGTTACGCCGGTAAGTACTTTGGTTTGATGCTATCAACATGATTGCTGATTCTGGGATAGACGAGCCCCGGTACGACCGCGATCGCAGCGCTTCTCCTCGCGATGAGCCTCGAGCCGACCGCGACCGTGCTCGCAGCCGCTCCCCCAACGGCCGCTCCGACGACAGGTTTGTTCATTCTGATCAAGATACCTTATTCTCCTCTAATCAATTTCCTACAGAGCTCCTATTTCCCGCAAGCCCATTGAGGAAGAGGATGAGGGTGCCATCAACTCCGGCTCCAACCTTTTCGTCACTGGCATTCACCCCCGTCTGACCGAGTCCGACATTTCGCGTCTCTTCGAAAAGTACGGTGATGTTGACAACTGCTCTATCATGCTGGACCCCCACACCAAGGAGTCTCGCGGATTCGGTTTCGTCAACATGGTTACTGCTGAGCAGGCCGACGCCGCTAAGGAGGGTCTGCAGGGCGAGGTCATTGAGGGTCGCACCTTGAGCATTGAGAAGGCTCGTCGCGCCCGTCCCCGTACTCCTACTCCTGGAAAGTACTTTGGTCCTCCCAAGCGTGGTAAGTTTACATCCTCCTCATTCCATCGCGTTGTTCTTCGTCAAGCTTACACACTTTCTTTGTTAGAGGGTGGAGGTCCTGGAGGTGGTGGTGGTGGTGGTGGCCGCGGTGGTGGCCCTCGCCGTGATCGTTACGATGACCGCCGTGGACCCTACGGTGGTGGCTGGCGCCGTCGCGACGATGATTACTCCCGCTACGGTCGCTACGACTCTTACAATGACCGCCGCGACTATGGTCGCAGCGACTACGGCCGTGATTACCCTCGCCGTGAGTACGGTGGTGGTGGTGGCGGTGGCCGCGACTATGGTGGTCGCCGTGAGTCTCGCGATGACTATGGTTACCGTGGAGGTGCTGACCGCTATGGCGGTGGCCGCGAGGATCGTTACAGCCGTGATGACCGCCGCGGTGGTGGTGATGAGCCCCGTGGTGGAGGTGGTGGTGGCTACTACGACCGTGATGCTAACCCTCCCTCTTTCGATGCTGCTGGTCCTCCTCGTGAGGCTCGCGATCCTTACGCCGGTGGTGGTGGTGGCGGCGGTGGTGCTGGTGCTGGTGGCAGTGGCAGCCGCTCCTACGAAGGCCAGGCACGCAGCGGTGGTGGCGAGGACCGCTACGCTGGCAGGTAAGGTATCTCTTTTAGTTTCTTAACCAGGAGACCGGCCCGTGAATTGTCTCGCTGGTTTTTACGTTTTTCTGCCCATTTCTCTCCCCAAATTTTCTCTTTTTTGTTCTGGAATTGCTTTTAATGCGGGATTTGGGCGACGGGCCACGGGGCGTCGTCTTGTTTTGTCAATTGCTCTTTCGCATCTCGTCTCAGCAAAACGGACCATCGGCCTTCCTGCGACCGACTCGCCAATCCTTCGGTCACACTTCGGTCGCTTGATGATGTGTCTCTTTTATGTCTGTTCGCGACGCGCCTTCGGGAATTCTTCTAGCGGCAAAAGGGAACAAAACAATTATCGCTGTAATTCGGATTTCTCATGGTTCAGCATTTTCGTCAACTCACACCTTCACACCTTCAACATCTCCAGTAACCGGCTCGATTGTATTCGACTCTCTAAACAACTTTGAATGAACAACCATTCGCCCTTTTTTCGCCAAAGCCTTCGACTTTGCGCTTGTAGTACCAGCCCTTTTTCCGCAGGCGTTAAATTCTTGGATGTTTCGTCAGCTTGAATTTTGGCTAAGCTGAAGGTGAGATTTGTGACAAGCTAACCCGCAGATTTGATGTTTTGGATTCTACTTCATCCTTTTTGGTGGACTGAAGTGTGCTTACCTTCCACAGTATATTATGTGTCTTTTGTACACTATGAAGTTGTCTACAGTGTGAAAGTTGCTGGCCCTTCGATCTCTGCACAATATGCAGTCTGATGAAGATTGCAGTACCAACCTGAACTGATTCTTGCCTCAAATCTTGAAGTCTCTCGTAATCTGCCATCGCAATTCTCAATACCGTAGTCAGGTTGATCAGAGCTGTCGACGACAAACCGTAGCTTATGACATGCGCCCACGCAGCCTGAATCCTTGCCCTGTCAATTCATATTTGGCAGATATATTCAGCTTCTCAATTGATTTCCAAAGCCCTGAAAGGACTGAAAGGGATTGATATTGGAGTGGGTATCAAACAGTGAGCACCGAAACAATGCTGAAGTGCCGAGCGCACACTCCGAGGCATACGAAAGCCAAAGCAATGTCTCGAGAGCCAAAACAACGACTAATAACCAGATAGACAAAACACAACCAATCTCCACAACCAAAACGACGACGCCAGCACCATGAAAGTCAAAACGCCTAACAGAAACAGGACCCATCCCCCAGTCCACTCTACTCCGACTCTTTCCTACCCTCACCCTCAATCTCATTACTCCTCTGCAGCAAAAATTCACCAAGAACCCGTAAAGGATTAGCAGGCCTAGAATAAACACACATAAGCACCCCCCTCCAGTCATACCCGTAAAAGAAATGAGGCGCAGAACTCACTGTTCCCTCGCAACAGACTTCATCCCTTCAAGTAAATGCGGCACAACTTTCTCATTGAGATAAACCCGCGCAGGGGCACCACCAGGCCGGACCTGTGTACTAGACAGACTAGAGAGATCTCCCATAGGAGTATTTGAGCCGTTTTGTTCGCCCATTGCGGGAGATCGGGTTTGCGGTGCGGGAGCGGAATCGACGGTGGTGGTGGTTTCCGGTGGTGTCGAGTCTGTTGGAGCTATCTACTGTATGTAGATGGGGGAGTTTGCGGATGGCTCAGTTGATTGATTGGTTCTTTGGGGTTGTTGGGTGGTTGGAGGGTGTGGGGGTATGCCGTGAAGTTGCTTTGGTGGTGAAGGTGGGCTTGCGGAGTGGAAGCTGTGGAGCGGAGCTCTGTTTTCTCTTGCGCTTTCGAGTTGCTTGCTTCTTTCTCTGGAGAGGGGAGTTGGTGGTTTACGGCATTGGTATGTTGGGTGTTATTATAGATCAGGTCTCTGCATTACTGTATCAAACGGGGTTCTATTTTCTCTTGGCTTTCTGTCGTGTACTGACGTTAGGGTGCAAACAGGGCAAACACTTTCCGGTGATATTTGCACGTGATCTCGTGTTTCCAAGTTTCGCGAGACACGTCTGCCTCGTGTTTGATACTTCGAGGAGTTTTGGTTGTTAGAGACTGGATGCTATGGAAGCGAGACACGATGTCACTTTTGGAATTTTGGGAGACACAGCGGCCGGTGAAACGGCGGCGGAATTCTGAGAAGCTGAACGAGAGTGACAGCGCAGAGGCGGAGCCTGAGACCAAACGACCGCCGAGTCCAAGTCCTTCGGTCGATCCGAGAGATACGCCTGTGCCTGTATCAGAGGATCTGGGTTATATTCCCAGCAGTCAAACGGATCTCGAAACTTCACTTCCTGCTATCAAGACCGACGAGGGTGCGATTGAGGAGTATGAGACTTCCAAGAATGACGCTGAGCCTGGATTACATGTGAGACTACGAGATGGAGTCTGGCAAAGAGGCAAAAGCTCTATTTATGTTGATGCGTTCAATCTGGCACTGGAGACTGTGCTGGATGAGGAATCACATTTATTTGACGAGGCTGAAATGAACATCTTCAGACATTGGCGGGAGCTATCGTATGAATCCCAATATCTGTATGTTCTCTCTTAAGTCCAATGAACTATATATCGATACTAATAATTTTCAAGCTACGTGAGGCTATTTCTACGCAAGACCTCTGCGTGGCATCGTATCAACAGACTGAACTATTACTCTGACATCTCGGATTTGCTCTCAGTTGCCGAAGACCTGCAGATGAAGCGAACTCTACCCAACGAGGATCTCGAGGAAACATTTAGATTTGCTGAGGGCACAGAAGAAATAACAACACTAGAAGAAGCGTCGTCCCTCCTGCTGCTCGAAGAGCTAAAGGTCTTTGCAAAAGAAGCCAAGGTACAAGGCAAATCCAAGAAAGAGCTGCTGGCAGGTCTACTTGAAACAAGCCAAACACAAACAGGACTCAAAGACACGAACAACAGAGATGGCCACTTCACCCAGAAGATACTAGATTACGCGGGTGGATGTATCCGACTCTCATCTATCCCCCGTGCTCTCTTCGAGCGAGTACATCTAGTCTTCTACAGATCCACCGAGTGGACAGAAAAATCTCTCACAACAATAATCCTGGCCAAAATGACCAAGAGAAATTTCCCCGAATACATTGTCTGCCGCTCAAACGCGATATTCGCATCTAGAGAAGCCCTATTAGAATTCGAGGCCGCCATCCAAACCCAATTCGCGATAGACAATATCCTCGAATTCAACGGACCACCCACAACGGAATCACTCCAGCATATCATCGACCTAGCAAACAAGTACCACCCGCGATGGAAAGAACTAGTCAAGCAAGAACAACAAAAAGAAGACAGCATCTATGACAGCGGCGAAGGCGCCTATCTACGCCGATTCTCACCCGCATGGGTATTCACCCGCATAATTCACAAAAGCCTACATCCGCTCGGCCGATTCAAGGAGCATAAGCGCGAGCACGAAGTTCTCGAAGAACTCCTCGCTCAACGACTCTTCCATGCTGCGCGGCGCGGCGCATGGTATCAGCGGAAAGCTTTGCTGGAAGAACATTACATGGCTGCTCTGATGCCGAGTGGGGATCGCAGCGAGGAGAACCAGCGGAAGCATTGGAAGAGGATTGCATTGAAGACGTGTGAGCTGGGATTGGAAGATCCGTTATGTCATCTGATCTTCCATTACGACTTGCAGAAGCGGATTACGAAGCTTGAAAAGGCTCTCAGGGTTGTTAAGCGGGAGCAGCATGATTTCGGACATGTCATGCTTGGGAAGCCGGTTGAGCGGGTTGTTGAGGGCATCCGGATTGATAATGACGATGGGCCGAAGAAGGGTAAGGCCACTGTTTGGGTTGATGAGAGGGAAGGAGGCGAGTGTAGAGTCGAGAGTATGTGTTTGAGTTGGTACCGCGATCATGGCTGGAAGGGGTATCACTCTGAGGGTGGTATTGTTCGGACCTTGGTGAGTATATCGGACAATGAGGTATGGAAGAAGACTGAGGTCTGTTAGCTAACGCCGAAATTGCAGTTTGGTTACCTTTTCTACGATATACTGTTTACATATGTGCCCAACGTCTTCCAGACGGCGTTTCAGACATGTCCGTTGGATTTACACACGGATGTCTTTTATCCGTCTCGAACATCTGAAATCAATCATCGACTTGTTGAAATTACGAATGGGGACGCAGAGCGTATCATTCGGGAGATTCATGCTCGGGAGGGCGAAGCCCAACCGTGTGCTGTCGGTCTTGACTGGTCTTTTGACCTGGAGGACTTGGTTGAGATTGTGCACTGCTTTCGCGGCGAAGCTCTTGCGACCATTTGTAAGGTGATGGCACAAGAATATCAGCAGCGTGGTGGAGGAATTCCGGACTTGTTCCTTTGGAACCATGAGAAACGGACAGTGATGTTTTCTGAGGTCAAATCGGAGAATGACCGGCTGAGTGATACTCAACGTCTGTGGATTCATATTCTTTTGTCTGCGGGTGTCAAGGTTGAACTTTGCAATGCTGTTTCGAGGGAAATCAGAACTCAATGAATGGTAAGAATGTTGTGACCTCCGGTGATGAAAAGAAAGATCAAAATACAAAACGAATCGAACCGAATCTGGATCTTGTGACTCAATCAGCATTCGTAGTCACCTTCCATACATGTTGGAAATGGGCAGATACCCGAAGATCAGTATTGTTCTTACTCGGTGGCATAGCGAGAGGTAGACTGTCATCCCTATATTGTGTCTTGAACCCAACGAATATCAGTTCAGAGGCAGCAGATAGCCCCCATACTGACGCTAAGCAGAGCGCGTCATAGTATAGACCACCCTAAAACCATTTGACGTCTACAAAAGTGTGGTATTATAAGGATTTGGAGTTAGTGAGGTGAAGAGGTGAAACTCCCAAGTCAAACAAGCCCTCGAAAGGACGTGAGACGCTCTAGCAAGACCAAGAGCACCCAGACCCTGTAATTTGTGGCCAAGGGCATATCATTACAGGTCTAGATGCAAATAGATCTCAAATATCTCTGCTCGTACAACAGTCTACGACTACTCGAAATTCTAGATCTTCATGAACAGGGTATCAAATGGTAATCGTAATCCTTTTTTGTATCTAATAGAAGATAAACCCCCAGATACGACAATTACGACGTTCCGATGGGTTCCCTCCGTCAACCACACATCCTCCCAAAATTCGCTTATGCGACAAGGGTGGAAGCGGTGGCGCTCTCGTAGCGCCAGGTGGGGGGGAGGACACCGACGGTCTTGTAGTAACGGGACAGACGGTGGATACGGGACTCGACGAGAATGAGGCGGAACTTGGAGTCCTTGTCCTTGCGGTTGCGCTCGAGGTGCTTGCGGACAGCGACGGCCTAGAAATTGAGTGGTTAGAACATTCTTCATAGGTGAAAACCAGAGGGAGAAAATTTTTACCTTCTTGATCAGGAAGTAAAGGTCCTCGGGGAGTTCGGGAGCGAGGCCTGTATTCCAATCTCTCTGTCAGTCAAGATATTCTAAACCAAGCAGAGGCTTTATTGCTGGTGCATTTCTGCGACCAGTGTCAGGGAGAGAGTCGAGCATTGCGCTTGAAAGTGGCAGTTCATGGTATCACCCAGAAAAGTTTTCTTCACACAAGTATTCGCTCTCTTCACCCGACGGATGTGATTATGCGGGTGGAGGGAGTCGTACCGCTGGACTTCAAGATACGGAGGATCTTGTTACCTGTCGCAAAATGTTAGTCAACCCAATTCCTTCTTCACTCGCAGATTTTCCAGGATTCCATACCAGTAACAATCTTGACCTGGGCAACACCGTGGGAGTCACGGAGGACAACACCGATCTGGGAAGGGGTGGCACCCTTCTTGGCCAGCTTGCAGATGTGGTCAACAACCTGGTCGGGGGTGGTCTTAACCCAAGCGGGAGCGGTGCGAGAGTAGGGGATGGCGGAGGAGGCAATGCCCTTGCCCTTGCTGTGAAGACGACCCATTTTGGTTGGTGATGTGTCCGGCGGAGGAAATCTGGTCGGTTGTCGGCGTGGATGAAGAGATCGAAATCCGAGTAGAAGATGTGGGCGGGAAGACGGCCTGTGTGGGGTCACGTGTCTCGCTTATTTCCTCCGGCGGGAAAACTTCATCTCTTCGCGCGTTTGCTTTTCTTCCAACTTCAACTCTCAGCAATTCTTTTTTTGCGCTCGAGTTGACTGGAATTGATGTTTTCCATGTCAACTTGGGTTTTCTTTTACGATTTTCACGCCGACTAAGTCTCTGTGCACCCATCATCGCCAATATCAGGTCAGTTTACACTTTTTTTCCCTCAACCAACCCAACCTCTTTATCATGATGATACAACGCATTTGTTTATACTTTATTTTCTGGTACCTCTTATGTCAGAGATGGTGTTTTCGGATGCCATCTCGATGATCTACCTGGACTTCTGATCAACCTCAATTCTTTAATACTTTTGTCATTGAGTTATTTGACCGTTATACTAACTGCGGTTATAGGCTTTGATCGATATAGTTATATATACTGAATGAAAAATCTTTTATCTATTTTAAATCTTCGTTCTATTGTACAGTTCTGCTTTGAACCATGACATGGTATATCACTTCATCTCTTGAGTCTCCATGCAAATATGTCCATGGCACAAAGCGGAACCCAGCAGTCCTGGCCACTGGAAAGTTCAGCGCCGTAACCGTTTGGAAATTCTGCGAGTGTCTGTTGTATCAGCAGCATGGATTATGCTGACTGATTCCTTGCGCTTCTTGCCTCGGGGTGTCTTGATGGCTCCATCTATATCCTCAACCTTGACCTTAACATCCATATCTTCTTCCTTTGGCTCTTTCACAGCGAGGATAGTTGTAACATCAGTCTCTACCTTGACCTCGGTTTTCGTTTCTTCCACCTTCACATCGACCTTCTTTGTAGCGGCAAGTTTGTCTGCAAACGTCCGCAAGTCCGCCGTGAAGAGTACACTGTGAGCCCATCCAGCCTCCTTACCCCAGAGCTTGCGGAAGTGATTTGCAACAGCCTCGTAGGTAGTCTTGTTCAAGGTCTTGCTGGAGCTTTTGCCGAAACGGTAGTCTCGCTGAGCAATTTGCCATACTGTCGCATGTTAGAAAGAACTTATACAGTCAATTGAGACCACTTACCATGAGTATCAACCGGCACAGACTCTCCCCAGCCTAGACCCATCAAACTTACACAGTCAGCCACTTTTGGTCCCACTCCCTTGAGCTCCAGGAGCTTCTCATGAGCTTCGCGGTAACCATCTCGCCCCTCTGGTTTCATGTCGCCGCTGGTCTTGGGCTCCACGCCGAATGCAGGACACTCGGGGTTGCTAAGAGCATCCAGCCAACCTTTCTCCCGCATTTCAGCTATCGTCTGAGCAGTCTCATGGATATATCTAGCCCTGTATCCAAACCCTAGCTTGCGAAGCTCGCTTTCCGTATTCGAGCCGGTCAATCGTTCGGGCATTGGGAAGTCATAGTACTTTCGGCCATCAACTTCCGCTACACTTTGTCCGTATATCGTGCATAGCTTTTCCACCATTTGTGATATGCGAGCAATGTTGTTGTTGCTACTGCAAATGAATGAGACCAGTGCCTCCCAGGCATCCTGGCGCATGATTCGAATTCCAGTGAATTGCGATGCCTTCTTCTTGAAATTTGGGTCGTTCAATGACCATTGGGAATATAGGTCGGTCAGACTAGGCGTCAGGTTGAAGTAATGGTTGATAATGCGCACAAGCGGATCTTCGCCATCTTTCAGGGATTGCAACGCGAGATGGGGGTGAGGATGAGGAGGAAGAGTTGAGCGATAGTACAAAAATTCAGAGTCCTGCTTGAGAGACAAGAAACGGCCATAGAGAACACATCGCCATTCGTTATTGTCGGGGAGGTGTTGCCATCTAACAAGGTTAGCTGAGTTTTGGCGGCAAATTGCTTGCGACGAACCTAAATGATTGGCCACATCTCAAAGTTGTATTTATGCAAAGTTCCCTCAAGCTCAAAGGGAGCTTGCGCCACTCAGTCAACTTTGATGCCGGCATCTTTGCGACTTGAAAGAACCTGTTTGCGTTTCTAGATTCGATTATCTCGATGGGGGTGTTTCTGCCGGTCGAGCCGGCGGGCGGTGGTGCCCCGACCGCCCGCAGCTCCCGGACAGTGAGTTTTCCCCTTCGCAATCGAAAGAGCTCCATTCCCGCAACACAGCTCAACATGAACGGCGATACCTATTCTTCCAGGGGTAAGATACAATGAATCTTCATCTTTTGAATAGCACTTTAACATCCTTTTTACAGACTCTGGACGCTCGCGCGATTATTACGTAAGTACTAACAAGCCTTTGATCGCAACCACGGCAATTAACCCAATTCTAGCGCGACGAGCGACGAGACCGAGACCGAGGTGACCGCGCCGAACGAGGTGACCGTGCTGAACGTGGTGAACGTCCCGAGCGAGGTGATCGTGGTGATCGTGGCGAAAGAAGACGTTCACGATCGCCTCACCACGGCTCCCGTGGTGGTGGTGATTCCCGCCGCGAGCGCGAGCCTAACTCCTACTCATCTAGCCGCGACTATCGTGCCCGCGAACGTGAAGACCGCTACTCTGGCCGACGTGATGAGAGAGATTGGGACCGTGGTGAACGTGGTGAACGTCCCGAGCGTCCTGAGCGTCCTGAGCGTCCTGAACGCACTGAGCGCGGTGAACGTGGAGGTGAACGGGGTGATCGCCGGCGCCGGGACTTTGACGATAGACCCCGTCGGGACTTGTTTGATGACAGACGAGGCGGTGGCCGAGGTGGTGGAGATCGAGGAGATCGAGGAGATCGTGGAGACCGTGAGCGAAGAGAGCGAAAGAGAAGCGCTACACCTCCGCGGCGCAAGGAGCCTACTCCCGACCTGACCGATGTGCCTTCTTTGCTGGTCCGACAACGTCGTCTGACTCAATGGGACATCAAGCCTCCTGGATATGAGAACGTAACGGCCGAGCAAGCAAAGATCTCTGGTATGTCCCGTCACTTCCTTTGCGTTTCTTTGACTAACAATTGTAGGAATGTTCCCTCTTCCCGGAGCTCCCCGTCAACAACCCATGGATCCCAGCCGCATGAAGGACTTCTTGAACCCTCCCACCGGCGAAAGCGAAAACGCTGCCCTCAAGCCTTCCAACTCCCGCCAGTCTAAGCGTCTCTTCGTGCACAATCTCCCCCCCAGTGCCTCGGGCGAAAGCATCATTTCCTTCTTCAACCTTCAGCTTAATGGTCTTAATGTGATCTCAAACGTCGATCCCTGTATCTCAGCTCAGGTCTCCGAGGACAAGTCGTTCGCTCTCTTGGAGTTTAAGGACCCCAATGATGCCACAGTTGCATTGGCTTTCGACGGAATCACCATGGCAGATAGTGGCGACAAGGGCCTTGATGTCAAGCGGCCCAAGGATTACATTGTTCCCACCGGCGCAGAACAGCCCTACCAGGAGGGTGTTCTGTTGAATGAAGTTCCCGACTCACCCAACAAAATTTGCGTTTCCAATATTCCCGCCTACATCCCCGAGGAGCCCGTCACAATGCTGCTCAAGTCATTCGGCGAGCTCAAGTCCTTCGTCCTGGTCAAGGATGCCTCCACCGAGGAGTCTCGGGTGAGTTTTGATTCTAATTTGATTCCGTGCATCATTGCTAACCTTTCTAGGGCATCGCCTTCTGTGAATACGCCGACCCAGCCGCCACCCCCATTGCCGTGGAAGGGTTGAACGGCATGGAACTGGGCGACCGCCACCTCAAGGTCGTCCGCGCCAGCATCGGAACCACCCAAGCCTCCGGCTTGGACATGGGCGTCAATGCCATGCAAATGTTCGCCAAGACCACATCCCAGGACCTGGAGACCACCCGCGTCCTGCAACTCCTTAACATGGTCACCCTTGACGAGCTCCTCAACGACGAGGACTACGAAGAAATCCGCGAAGACGTAGGCGAAGAGTGCTCCAAGTTCGGACAAGTCCTCGCCCTCAAGGTCCCCCGCCGCGGCCACGGTGCCGGAAAGATTTACGTCAAGTTCGACAAGGCCGAGTCAGCCACCGGTGCCCTGAAGGCGCTGGCTGGTCGTAAGTTCTCAGACCGAACAGTTGTTGCCTCGTACTTTGGCGAGGAGAACTTTGATACCGAGGCCTGGTAATCTGGGACCATTGTGCTCTTTTTTCTATCTTTTTTTTTCCTTTGATGCAGGCGTGTTTTCTTTTTCTCGGGGCCAGTTGCTTTAGGAGCAGGGTGGATCTCGTATGTGTACCATATCAAAAATGCTCACATCATACTCGGGTCAATGGATGGTAACTCTTCGGAGTGCCTATTGAACATGATTATATTCATCGTAATCAATCTGGGGCCGTAGATTACAACACCGAGCAAGGAACAAGCCAGAAGTTAAACTATAATTATTGGATTGAGGAAATGAACAGTCATGCTTGACCCGATAGCTTTCCTTAGAAGTGACCCCAGAGCTAAAGTTTCGCGGGGAAATGGTCTCTCAGAACGGCAACTCTCCCGTTGGCTAGCCTCGGCGCGACTTACCCTGGACCCGCAAGCCCTAATTCCAGAGTTCTAGCAGTTCCAGCTACTCACCTCATCACATCAACCAACCCACCATACAAGCCTCTAAACATGGCATAGTCATAGTCCTGATATTAAATTCATAAACCAACCTCCATCCTCTCCCCCTCCCCCCCCCCTCCCACCCCCAAGCCAACCCCAATTGCTCCCTCATACTAGAAGTAGGATACCCATATTCATCCTCAAGCATAACCAAAACCCCAAGAAGCGCAACCTGCTCTTCGCGCCTCGAAAACCGATCCCCACACATCCCAATAGCAGCACTAGCAGTGACAAGGCCGGGCGGACTATGCAAATTCGACAAGGCAATTCCGCAAAGCCGCAATACAATCGCGCGAATCTCCTCGTCAACTGATCGCATTGCTGTGCGCTGCCCGGGTCCGAGTCTTGGCAGGCGCGGGTTATACACTGCCAGCAGGATGCGTGCTAGCTCTAGATGCTGGAGGCCGGCGACGTGGCAGTTGTTCAAGTACCACAGTTCCGGGAAGATTTGGCCGTTTGCTGGGTCTGCGGCGCGGCTGTAGATTGGTTTGAAGGATTGGGGGCCTAGGGTTTTCCAGAAGGTAGAGAATGATACCAGGGCATCGTAGTGGGCGAGGCGGGTTTCTGCTTCTGTTGTTGGGTGTCTGTGGTGGGTGTGGTTGTTGGGGTACTGGTAGTGGGGAAATGAGTTGGGCGTGGTGGGTTCTTCGTCTTCGGAGCCGAAGCAGAATTGGAGGACGTCTGCGCAGTGGATTACTAGTCTGTCGGCCCAGACGTAGTCGTCTGCTGGTTCGAAGCTGCGGTAGGGATCGCAGGGTCCTAGGGGGAGTCGGAAGGGGCGTTGCTTGGAGAAGCAGGTTATGATTTCTTGTCGGAGCGCTATCCAGTATGCGGCGTGGCGGAGGCCTGTTCCTGATACTGCTGGGATTGCTTGGGCGTCGAGGAAGATTTGGATGCCGCGGAGGGCTGACTCGGTGTCTTCGCCCATTGAGGGGACTATTCATGTTGTTAGTGTTATGAGGGGGTGTAGGAGGAGATATTATGACTGACTGTCTACTTCTTCGTAGAAACGTAGTATCACTGCGGCTGCGAGTAGGTTCTCATCTTGAGATTCTCGTGAGTGGTCAGATAGAGAGACGAAATATGAGATGCATCGGTTGTGGTATTCAATGGCTGTGGCGGATGTGAGACTTGGAAGAGACTTTCCTCCGTATACAACGTGATTGCCGACATAGTACTTCTTGATTCGACTCAGGTGTCTTGCTGCGACTGTGCAGATTGCATTGAGCAGAGGTGGGCATGTGCGTGCTCGCATTGGAACGGTACAAGCAAAATGCCTTTCCCCGTCGCATATGTCGAACTGTTCAATGAATCAGATAGATATTCAGTATTTTTTGATCGTGTTTACTTACCCAATGCCCAAGCTGAACCGCGAAATACCGCATGAGACATGCCTCCTGCTCGTCGAAATAGATTTGCGGTATTTCTGCCGGTATGAGATCCAGTGAGGCAATCGATGCATGACTATTATGGCTACCATGGGACACATGAGGGGATGAAGACAGAGAAGAGTTGTTCGTCGGCGAATGTTGTGAGTTGTAAGGTGAGTAAGTTGCAAGAATATCATCTTGTTGTTGAGGAAAGCAGTGCTCGGACGAATAACATTCAGATGTATCATTCCTAATACATTGCTTGGGGACAGAAGAATCTGGCGTGGCTTTGTGTAGCTGCTCATTTACAGATGAGTGACTTTGGTGTCGTTGAACCGTCCTTGGTGACACTTCGCCCAAGTCGAGATAGCCTCGTGCAATCTCGGCCGTTTCATCGACATACTTGTCATCGACTATTCCTTGTCAACAATAATTTTTCAACAATTCTACGTCATGACACAGACTATACTGGTGGAGCGAGTGCACAACACCAGACAAGATTGCAACTCACCTTGAGCAACCGGCACCCAAACCTGATCATCGGCAAAGTCGGTATCATATCGGGCACTAGAGCCATGACGAAATCCAGACGGAATAGCCTGCCAGACGCACGACGAGTCCGAACGCTCACAACGCCGACATACCGGCTTTGTGCCGTCACCTGTAATGTGTCAGGTGGTTGACCAGAGTCTCGGAACTGAGCGCGGTACGGCTCAAAGATTATCAGTGACTGTGATTGGACACTGACACTTACACTTGACATGGCGGTCTGTGAGGAAGTGATCAGTCAATATACAGTAGATACATGCCAATGAGTAGGGACTCACGACGGCATTCCTGGCTGTTCGGGCACAATGTTAGTGGTTTAATTGTGGAGATTCAAGATACCCAAGGGACCTCACCAGGGAATTGTCTTGCGCATCGTATGATTTTTGAAGATGAAGCAAAGAGTTGAGATATGTAGACAGGTGAAGGCAACTCTCGGCGCCACCAACCCCATAACTCAAGTGCGGGGAATCCGGGGTTGCTCCGTCTTCGACGCTCCGTCATTTTCTGTCCTACGAACTTCCATGGAATATAATTTTGAATAGACTCTTCTACTTTTACAATTGAACTTGCATCTATGGATAGGTAGGACGATTTTGTTATCCCTAGTCCGAGTCATATTGCTATCTTGATAGCATTGACATAACTTATTGATCATTGAAGATTGAATAGTAAGCTGGGCACAACAAGCATGGATCAAGTATGAATATTTACGAGTGGACTTGAGAGCATATACATAGATCTCTGAATTCGACGCAGACCAAATCAAATCCAATGTTGAAATCAGATCCAATGCAAAGGAATTCGGATTCCAGCTTTCTCGGCGTACAGTATGCAGAAGGGGATAATTACCTGATCAGGTAATCGTCGCCTATTGGTCAGCTCAGGGTAAGCCACATACTGTAGGAAGCCAGAATAACCCGTGGAATAACCCCAGAATCTATAAAAAGGCAAATGAACTTACCAAAAAAGGCAAGACCGCAAATGCGGGGGAAATGTGGAGCAAAGACCAAAGTAAGCGTCGCCGAAGAACTACCACATCCGGCGGGATCGACACTACACAGCTTCCAAGGGTGAGAGCTCAGAAAATAATTGCAGGGTGCAGCTATAAGTTAAAGACCACTTCCAACGAGTTTCTCACTCCTCACTCCTCAATTGTTCTTTCTTTCCTTATCATCCACAGCCTCCCTCTCCATCTCCATCTCCAAGCATCCACAATGTCCGAAAAGCTCCAAGTAGCAGTCGCAGGCATCGGCCGCATGGGCATGCGTCACGCCCGCCACTTCGCAACCCTCACACCACGCGCCGAACTCATCGCCGTGACCTCACCAGTGCAAGCCGAACTAGACGCCGCAAAGAAAGAATTCGGCTGCCGCACATACCTCTCCTTCGACGACATGCTAGCCCAAGAAAAGACCCTGCAAGCCATTGTCGTTGCATCCGCCACGACCGTCCACGCCGAGCAAGCCATCAAAGCCATCGAAGCAGGCAAGCACGTTCTCTGCGAGAAGCCCTTAAGCACCAGTCCCGAGGTGGTGCGTAAATAAACAGCCTGCATTAGACATGCATTTCTAAAAGCGAGCTCCGCAAAAAGCTAACATCCATGAACAGTCCCAGTCAGTCGTCGACGCCTACAGGAAATCCCAAAAGAAGAACCCCGACCAGAAAGTAATCTGCGGCTTCTCGCGCCGCTTCGACGCCTCATACCGCGACGCTTACAAGCGCATGGCCAACGGCGACATCGGCACGCCGTCCGTCTTCCGCTCGCAGACCTGCGACAAGCTCGATCCGAGCGGCTTTTTCGTCGCTTATGCTGAGTTCTCGGGGGGCATTTTTGTCGACTGCTCGATTCACGATATCGATCTTGCGCTTTGGTTCTTTGGCGAGGACAGTCGCGTCAAGTCGGTTACGGCTGTTGGCATTACGGCTGTGCAACCTGATCTGAGGAAGCATAATGATCGCGATAATGCTGTTGGAATTATTGAGTTTTATGTATGTTCCCCCCTTTCCTTCCTTTCCCTTCCCTTGCCTGACTTAATGTTACCTTACCTGGCCTAATCGTGCCTCGCTGCATCTCTATATCTGTTTTAAATCATGTGGTTTTATAAGGTACTAACTGATTAGGGCGGGAAAATCGCTCAACTATACTGCTCGCGCATGATGGCAGCCGGCCAAATGGACTGCACGGAAGTGTTTGGCACAAACGGTCAAATCGCCGTCAACACCCAGCCGCAATCGAACCTGGTGAATTTGTTCGAGTCGACGGGCGTGCGTCGTGAGATCCCGCCTGACTACTATGGCCGATTCCGCGAGGCGTTTGTTACGGAGGCGAATGAGTTTACAGCTGCTTGTCTTGATAACTTGCCGGCGCCTATGTCCCTTGAAGGGGCTGTTGCTGCTGTGCGGATTGGGTGTGCGTTGCAGGAAAGTTTGATTTCTGGGAAGAAGATTGAGTTTGATGAGAGTGGGGAGAGGGTTGAGGTTTCTAAGCTTTAGAGTCTAAAGTCTAGACTCTAGGCTATAGACTATAGACTCTTGGCTTTGATTGTCTTGGTTGTTGTTTGGTAGATTTTGAAGTATATAGGTGAATATAGATTGGTTTCTCTTACTTCCTTTAAATTTTTATACAGAAAGGCAGGATGAAGCGCTTACTTCCTTCGATTGCATTTCTTGCACTGGGTCTAGTTCCACACTGAAAACTCCAGACTACATCTACGTGTATTGCACATCTACTGATCATATTAAGCTGAAGCGCTGAATTGACTAACACACGGACAAGCGGCGAACAACCAAATGTCCCAAAAGGTAAGAAAAATAACGAAATGAGCGGGTAATAGGGCACACAGAAAAGCGGCAAGACAAGATATGGCGTAGCAAAAAGTACATCACAAGAAGTGAAAAGGTCCCAGGCCGACCCTCGCAGGGTCGTATTATCAATCAATCAGAAAAAAACCATTCTTTTCGGTGCATGGGCCCAACCAGTGAGAAAGCTGTTGCGTTAGGGGATAAGGGAGTGTGATGGACAAGTTAAGGAAAAAAATAAAAAGGGAATGAGTGAGAGGGTCTCGGGATGTGTGGAATATAGACCAGACGAAAGCAGAGACCGAGCAGCGGCTGAGAGAGTAATAGACATAGACATTAGCGAAGAGAGAAGCCCTTGCGTTTGCCTCCCTTCTCTTCGATGGGGCGTCCGCTTTCGAGGCGATTCTTTTTCTCCTCGAGTTCTCCGCGCTGGCGATCTAGTTGATCCTTCATCTCGCGGTGTCGGGCGTAGAGTTCGTCTTCGCTCTGTTTGAGTTTGCTTTCTTTCTCGGCGACCTTCTGCTGGAAGACCATCTTCATTTCGGCTTCCATCTTGGCCAGCTTTTGCTCGTGGAGAGCGCGCTCCTCCTCCTGCTTCACGGCAGGGTTGACCTCCTTGAAAACGCTGGGGTCCTGAGCAACACCCATCTGGGTGAGCTTGTCGGAACGGTAGTTCTCGTACAGGAAGTTGTTGGTGTGCTCCTTGAGTTCCTCCATGTGGGTGCGGATCAGCATCTGGCGCAGCTTGACAAAGTCGCAGTGCTCCTCGTTGTCGACTTCGATAATACCCCAGGGGTAGCTACGGCCGCGGACTTTGCGACCGTCAGCGGTGGAAACCTCAGAGTTAGCACCAACAACGGCGAAAGGAACCTTGGACATGATCTCCTGGTTCTCGGCAATGGTCTCCTCATCGTCGAGCTCGTAGCGGGGACCCTCGAAGATCTGGATGGAGTGTTGTTCGATATCGGCAAGGATCTAGATAAATTAGCCTAGGCAGTCTTAACTGGATTGCATCCAACATACACGCTGCTTGAAAGCGGTAACTTCTTCGTCGGTCAAGGTATCAGCCTTGGCAATGACGGGAATCAAGTTAACCTTGGTGTGAAGACGGCGCATAACCTCAATGTCCAGGGGCTTGAGGGAGTGGCCGGTGGGCTGAATGAAGTAGACACAGGCGTGGATGCGGTTGTCGACAATGTTGCTGCGGTTGACCTTGTTCTCGGCCTCGAGGTAGGTATCGTAGCGCTGCTCGATGTTCTCGACAATTGGGCGCCACGAGTCATCGTTGTTGACAAAGTCACCGAATCCGGGGGTATCGATCACGCTGAGACGGAGACGGACGCCGTTCTCCTCAATGTCGGCACTGGTCGATTGGATTGCCACGGTCTTGGGGATGATATCGGCGCTGGGACCGGTGCGCTCCTTAGGGGGGTAGAGCGAGGTGTTGAACAGTGTGTTCACAAGAGTGGACTTTCCGAGACCGGATTCACCTGGTTTTGTGTGAGCATTGGGTGGTTTGGCTGATCGTATGATTCCCCCCACTTACCAACAACCATCACATTGAAGTTGAAGCCCTTGCGAACACTCTTGCGGTGCCACTGGTTGGGCAGGTTGGCGAAACCGACGTATCCAGTCAACTTGCGGCGAACAACGTTCTTCATATCGGTGGCGGCTTGAGCTGCAGCCTTGGGGTCGCGAGAGGTGACGGTTTGGGCATTGCCGGAGCCCATGGGGTTGCTGCGCTCGACAAAAGGCAAATCCATGCTGTTGCTGGGGGTGGGCGAGTCCCGAGACGCGACCGGAGACGCGACGGGGGAACCGTTCGCAACCGGCGAAGCTTGAGAACCTATCAGCATATTGTCTGGAGGGAGCCTGTCCGGGATGGATTGTTTCTCCCGATCACGGCTCCAGCGACAGGAAATCTTACACATTGCGAGAATCTGAAGGGGGTATTGAAGAAATCGAAAACTGCGTATTAAAATCCCCTAGTTGATGTCAATCTCTGAATTGGTTCCAATGGTTCAGTGGGGTCGAAATGTCGCGATAGGAGAAAAAATCGGGGGGGAAGAGGGAGAAATGAGAGAAGTCCAGGGGGATCGTACCTGAAATCAAAAAAAGGGGGGTAGGTATAACAAATCAGTTAAGCGAAGGACCAGAGAAGCTCTTGAAATTCAAGCGAAGGACAAAACAGAAAGAGAAGAGAAGGTTGGAGGGAGAGTGACTAGGGAAAGAAAGGGGGGAGATGAGAGGTCGGGCCCAGCTATTCTGGAGTTGGTTTGGATCCGCGTCCCCTTCCCCCCAGTTAAGTTCACTTATACGTTAGACTACTTAGTTAGTAGATATGTAAGAGCCCTGTACAGATAGGTCTGATTTCGAGTAGACTCGTCTCATATGCATTGCTTGCTATTTGCTTTATTGATTGTCTATGGCGTGGTTATTGATGGCATGCCACACCGTCAATTGCTCTTTGGACTACAGCCTGCAGGAAGCCCAAGTAGGCCCAATAGCAGGTAGTTCCCAGACCAATTTGCGTAGAATCCGGGACTCAAGACTGTACAGGACTGTCTTGCCAGATAGCAGGTTCTCCTGAGTGCTGAGATCAGGGGTTAAGGCCCCACTGTTCACGTGAGATCCACCCGATTTTATACTTCGATTGTTTACTGCGGTTGGAGTAGGAAACATGTTGGTATTTTGATGCTATACAACCCTTAATTATCGGTCTTGCTCTTCTTGGCTGGTCGCTGATCTTCACCATCGGAAGCATCGCCCATTTCAACGTCACTGCCACCGCTGCTCTCGTGGTCAGAGTCGAACTCCTCGGCCACATCGGAGTCAGAAGAAGCATCAAAGTCCTCGTCGACGGACTCCTCATCTTCATCGGCAGATCCACGGTCAGGTCGGGCCTCTTCGTCACTGGATCCCATCATAGCATCATTCTCAAGAGCGGCAGCAATAAGTCCAGAAGCCTAGATGTAGTCTTAGCACGGGTCGTAGGGTGGGAAGGAAAGAAACATACCTCCTCGGCCATCTCGTTCTTGATGCGAATGTTCTTCGCCTTGAAGAAGTCCTCAAGCGATTTTTGCTCCTCACGGTTAATGTTGCTGAACTGATGCTCGCCCAAGCCACCCTTCAGGCTGACGGTGATATCAAAGGTGCGGCTGGCGGAGACAGCACCACCAACACGGGACATCGTGACAATGGCAATGTTCTCCATCTGGATGTAAGTTGCGGGCTTGGGAACGAACATCAGGCTCTTGTCCAAGAAGTACAAAAGACCCTCGTTGGCCTTGATGGAGCACTTCACACCATGGTGGCCGTGGTGGCTGACAAAGTCCTTCGAGGGCATGATGACCTTCTTTCCAGACAGACCGCGGAAGACCTTGGTCACAACCTGGTGAATGGGCTCTTCGTAGTGTGCTTGCAACTTGTCCTTGTACTGGTTTTGCATGAGGTCCCTATAGACTGATTAGCACATGTTACACAACCAGAGTAGAATACTGACTCTGTCATGTTAATTTCAAGGCTGATTTCCTCGTCCAGCTTCAGCTGCATGACCAGGAATGGATAACGGGTCTGACCTTGACGAAGGGGAGGATCAAGGCCGAGCACGATAAGTGTGTGGGTATCATCGTTCTTGGGAAGAAGGAAGAACTTCTTAATGGCCGAGTATTGGATTTTGTAGTCGTATGTCTTGCCGCGTAGCCGGAAGGACGATTCGTACATGTCGATATCGAAACGGCCTCTGGGGGTAAGGTGCAGAACATCCAGGAAGGTAGCAAAGGTATCTCCAGCGACGTCACCAATCTCAGCCTTATCCATGAGAGTCTCGTAGAAGAGGTTGGCCGCATTTTGTTCCTCAACTTCTTCGTCGTTCTCCTCTTCTTCGCCCTCGGCGCCTTCGGTCTTCTCTTTCTTCACAGCTGTTCCGGGAATGTAGAATCGCATTTCGACCAACTCGTCGGGACCCGCAGCGGCTTTGCGGCCGCGGTTCTTTGTGCTTCCAGGCTTCTCGGTGGCCTCGGCTCCTTCGCCGACACCAAGCGCAAATTCAATGGCAACCTCGTTTCGTCCGGCCAAGTTGGTGTTTGAAATTTCGGAGTAAGGGACTTCGAAAGCGGGTCGGTTTTGCACGTTGAAGGCAAGCTCTGCTTTTGTGAACTCTGCCTTACCCCAGTTCCATCCTCGGATTGCGTGCTCGCGAGTCTCCACGTTGATACCATACCAGACTTTGAAGGCCTTGCTTACACGGTCCAAGTCCTGTAGACAGTCAGCCACCTAGCTAATGGACCCCGAATATCAGTGGGACATACTTCTTGGTCAAAACCATCCAGCTGGATGACTCCTGATGATCGCGACAGGATCTTCAGTTCAAAGCCCTTCGCCGCGCGACTCCAGTGAGCTGCGCCAATGTTGTTGCTGTCCAGAGTGAAAGTGTCACCTCCGCCAGAAGGACGCCATCCCAGACCACTGTCGGCAAGCTTGCACTTTCCAGGGAGCTTGGAGAGGTCAAGGTAGATGTTGTCAAAGCTCTCCCTACGGAATGGTCAGTGTCGGCCCCGAGGCAAGATTCCTGCGCAAGGATCTTACATGGTGGAGATTGCAGATTTCGTGGGGTCGTGTCAGTCAAATTGGTAAATTGTAGATATTGTGAGTAAAATGGTTAGGAGGTGCGATGAAGATGGGGGATGGAAGGCGAGAGAGAGCTGAAGTGACAGCTTTAAGATTTCAGTTTCTGGAGTTCGCGTTGCGGCGCGCCGTAGGGAGGCGGCCACTTCAAGCCAAAAGTGGTTAGTGTTGACACCTGAGGCATAGATGGAATATCGGCGCTGGGTTTCAACTCTTTTTGTCTCTCCCTTTAGTTTGCGGGCTAGGTGAACGTAACGTTGTTGTATATCTTTGTATTCACGTTAGATTTTATGGTATATTTGAATAAGGATACTTCTATTGAACCTTCATATTTATATGGTTTGGTGTGATTATGAAGCGAGCTCAGCACAACCTTGGAAATATATAAACAGTCGACAATCGAGATATCAAACGGCAACCCCAAATTCTTTACATCTCGACCATTGCACAGTAGATTGTGACAGCTGTCTCAGAGTGGAACTACCATCGTCTGACCGATCAGGGCGCGAGTATCTTGCCAATGCTCAGCTCCCACATTTCGATGTTGACTGTTGCCGAGCAAGCCTCTCCACAGAATCTGAGATCCCGTGGATCTTACGTTGGATCTCCAAATCAGAGATTCCGAGGAGAAATGTTGCTACCTAGATGCTTGTGCATAGACAATGAGCATAATTACAGCCAGTCAGATACTAGCATATATATCTCGGGAATTGGAACTGTGCGGTGAGACGGTATATATCAAAGGATAAGCCACAATCTATCCTGCATGTGGATTTCAAACATACCAATCAAGGATATACGCCCCATACGAGTGCGTGTCTATTGCGCAAACCGAACGAGATCGTGGGCCTCAATTCTATATTAAGCGAAACGAACGCGGGGCTGGATCAAGTCGGATCAAGTCTGAGACAGATCCACCTGATGTTTTAGCGCAACGTTTTGGGTGGCGGATGGTTGAAAGATGAAGATAGAGTAGGAACATTGATCAGTTATAACATGCTACAGTAGGTGTATGGTATGATAACATTGCACTGCTGATCGAGGCTGGGACATGACTTCACAGGGGAAAGACAGTGCTGATACCACCTCATTACCGGCAAATTAGTGCTGTATTGTAGATCCTCATTCTACTCCGAGTCCCCTGTCCTAGTAGGGTTAGAATGGAATGAGTTGACAATTGGCAAGGTCCAATACATGTTTCTTGTGCAATCGCTCATGTTTGCTGGCTATTTTCCGGAGCTCTATACTTGAACATGATGATTCCAAGGTCCATCATGGTGGACTGATAGAGCATTATCCACGGTTCAGCGGTCTCCACCCACGGTAGCCAGCCAACCCGCACCTCTGATTGGCTCAAATGTTCGGTCGACCTTGGGTCGAGCCGGGAGTCCCGTAAAATTGGTAAATTTGGATACGTTTGGGTAATGCAAGTGTTTCATTTGGCAAAAACACGCCCCCCTGGGTCTTCTCTTCTCTTCACCTCTAGTCATTCGTTGATTTCCTCGGGCAGAGAGGCTTTGGTCTCGATACATTCATTTACATTCCTTTGGATCTTTTTTATGCCACATTCTTTACATTCCTTTCTTTCCACGCGTTGCGGCCTGACGGCCCTGGATTCTTAATCCCTGCCCTTCACACACTCACTTTCAACCATTTCAACTAGACTACACTTCTGCCCGTCGTCGCTCCCACAATGAGGTTCTCTTCATTGTTTGGGCCGGCGACTGGCTTGCTTCTTGCGGGTCTACCAACCCTCTACGCCCTGTCATTCGAGTCGGTATCAGTTCCGGAACTAGACCTAACCTCGCTGGGACGGGTGTCAATCACCGGCGACTTTGATGGCGTCTCCCTCTACCAGTACAAGGAACAGTCGGAACAGATTCCTCACAATGGTTCGCAATCCCTTCTGACTCCGTTACCGAACGGCATCCTCACGGACCTCGAATCATCCGACGCGCACATCCTGGCCATGTGCTCCTTTACGCAAAGAGATGGAACTTTCGCTGGTATCTTTGTCGGAGGTAACTTTACCAGCCTGGGTGGAGTCAAGTCGCCCGGTGCTGCGCTTTTCAACCCGGATACTAGCAAGATCACGGCTCTGCCAGGCCTTTCGGGCTCGGTTCATGCTGTGACTTGCGACCAGAGCACTAATCGCGTCTACGTCGGAGGAAACTTCACATACGAAAACACAACCAACGCTGTTACTTGGGTGCCTGGCGACGGCTGGAATGACCTCTCCTTCAATGGTCTGAATGGACCCGTGGAGTCGATTTTGAAGGCGGATAACGGTCACATCATTTTTGGAGGATCGTTCGATTCCCTCGGCAATAGCACCAGCTCATCTAACAAACCGCAAATTCTCAACCTGCAAAATGCGACCATCACGTCCGACTCAGATTCATCGTTAAGTGGCTACTCCGATCCCCGCAACATCATCTGTTCGACCAGTGGAAAGGCCGCCAAAGGTAGCACCTATCTGCTTCACGACTACGCTCCTGGATTCTGGAGAGCGGACCTCGGATTTGACTTTTTCCCGACCAAGATTCGCCTGTACAACACTCACCTGGATGGACGCGGTACTAAGGATTTCTTGCTCCGAGCGCTCCCCGACAATGGTATTATGAACCTGACTTACACCGACGAGTCAGGCAACAAGGCCAACTGTGACTCTTCTTGCCCGCTTTCCAGCAGTACTGACGAGAAGTACCGTGAATTTACAATGGTCAACCCCGTTGGTATGCGGGGCCTTCAGATTGAACTCCTAGATTGGTATGGACAAGGAGCCGGTTTGAACGGAATCGAAGTCTTTCAAGACCAGATCTTGACATACGCCGTCGACCAATACAACGAACCAACCTGTGCAGGCATTGAATACCCAGCCAAGTCAACACGCACTGGTTCATGGACCGTGGAGTCCGGGTATGTGTCCGCGCAGGTGACCGATGCCGATGCTTCCTCCACGGCTGTCACTTTCAAGCCCGATATCAAGAAATCTGGGAATTACACCATCAAGGTCTACACCCCCGGTTGTACCCAGGATGACAGCTGCAGCTCCAGAGGAATTGTCAATGTTACGGCCACTCTTACAAGCGGTTCCAGCTCCGACCAACCCGACCCTGCTTTCTTCTACCAGACCAACGACGACGACAAATACGACACGTTCTACACTGGCCACGTCGATGCCAACAGTGACTCTTTCCGACCAGAGGTCACCATCAAGGCCAAGGATGGTCAAGGAGATATCACAATTGTCGCATCGCGTGTCCGGTTCGAATTGTTGTCAAGCAGCGGTAGCAGCGGTGACAGCGGTGATCTCAATGGTCTTTACGACTACGACCCGACTTCCAAGGCGGATACCACCGATCTCACAAAGTCAGACATTAACAAGGCGGGTACTTCTCTTGATCACGATGCTTTGGTATCATGCATCGAGGAGTACGACGATGTAATTTACGTTGCCGGTAATTTCTCCGACAGCAAGATCCACCACATCATGTCGATCACAGACGGAAATGCCACAGCTTTATCTGGCTCTGGCTTGAACTCCCCGGTGCTGACAATGGCTACACTTGACAAGTCCCTGTATGTCGGAGGTCGCTTCACTGATACCTCCGATGGAGGAGAAGATGGCCTCGCGCATGTGGCATCTTACTCTTTCTCCTCAAAGAAGTGGTCCGCCCTTGGAGCTGGTTTGAACGGCCCTGTCACCTCGATTTGGCCCGTTGAATTGAATGCATCAAGCTCGATAAATGAGACTATTATTGCTGTGAGCGGCGACTTTGACCAAATAATTGCTACTGATGGAAACCCCGCGGTCTTTGTCGCTGGTTTCGCCATCTGGGTCCCCTCCAAGAAGGACTGGCTTCAGAACCTTAATGTCACCCAGATGCAGTTCGGTGGTCAATTGTCGACCTTTGCTTCGCATAACAACACTCTTATTCTAGCAGGCAGCCTTTCTACCGACGGTACTACGGCCGGTAGTGCAGTTTCCCTTTTGGAATCTGATGGCGCCGAACTCATCCCTTTGTCGATGAAGATTGACCACCGAAACTCGAGCACCGGCCTGTATTTCGGTGCCTATGATACTGGTGAGGATCGTAACCTCACCATCTATGGTGGACATTTCACTGCTACTGGTAGCAATGGGTCGACCATTCACAACGTTGCCATTCTGAACGGCACCGACGAGACCATCTCGGGCCTGCCTTCAGGTATCGATAGCAATTCAACAATCACCTCGATGCTCGTGTACAACAACACCCTCTATGCAGGCGGGAATTTGACAGGCACGATTGGCGACGAAACCTTGAGCGGATTTGTGATATACGACCTCAGTAAGAACGAATTTGCGTCGAGCCAATCCTACGTTGACGGCTCGAACGTCACCGTCAACTCTATTGTCAACCGACCTAGCTCATCCGAAGTGTGGATTGGAGGCAAGTTCGAACAAGTCGGGTCATTCCCTTGTCCCTCTGTTTGTTACTTCGATTCATCCAGCGGTGAATGGAGCCGTCCCGGTATATCTCTCGATGGCACTGTGACTGAGCTCCTGTGGGCAAGCAATACCAACCTCATGGCCTTGGGTGACCTCTCCGTGGAAGGCAACGAAACCTCGATTGCTACTTACAGCACCAAGTCCCAAGCCTGGACCTCATTGGCGGGTGCATCCCAGTCAGACCTTCCTGGAAACATCACTGCGTTCACTCCCGCTAGTGAAGACCTGTCGAAGTTCTGGGTCGGAGGTACTGCTACTAACGGCTCTGCCTTCTTCTTGAGCTACGATGGTTCTGAATTCCACTCTCCTGGTGATCTCTTTTCCCCGGGCTCCGATATCCGTGGTCTGGAGTTGCTTCCCGTCAAGAAGGATCATACCGATGCCTCTTTGTTGAACAATTACCAGACACTCCTGATCATGGGATCCCTTGTGATCCCAGACTTTGGGAATGCATCTGCAGCACTCTACAATGGAACGGCTATTACGCCCTTCATCCTCTCCTCGAAGTCTGATGGGTCATCGGGCAGCATGTCAAGATTCATCTCTGAAAACAAGAATACCTACAGCAGTAACGAGAAGCACCACTCCAACGGTATTGCCGTCCTGGTGGCCTTTTGTTGTTCCCTTGGCTGCGTCTTCCTCATCGTCCTGGCCGGTGTCATCTTGAACAAGGTGCAGCGCCGCCGCCAGGGCTACGCAGCTGCTCCTCAGACTTTTGGTACCGACCGCCCATCCGATATGCAGCGTCTTCCCCCAGAATATCTCTTCAACTCGCTGCGCCAGCCCAACCCCACTGCCCCAGTCCTTTAATGCCCTCCCCCTCCCCAAAAACCCTTACACCTCTGATTGTCTTCAGTGTTGGCGTTTTTGTTTTGTTCATCGAAAGCAACGTTGCTATACCCAGCTCTCATTAATGTTTTATTCTGTTCACCTGTATTCTCGCGCCTCTCATCACGCGACCCCACCCTTTTTTCAGTTTTTTTTCTCTGGCACATGTGGCCGATACAATCTCTGTCGATTCCCTTGTGAATATGCGTCTGATTTGTGACTTCATATACCAGATGTCGATTTTTTGTCACCTGGACGCAAGTCGCGAGGGACATTGGAGAGGCATGTAGATAGCCACGCTTGCGTGGACAATGACACGATTAATACAATACCCTTTAGGCGAGACATTGGAACCTTTATAGAGACCATAGAGTAAAGTACAAGAGAAAATCGGACATTTCTCCGTGTAAATCCGCAAATCCTTTGGGGCTACGGTAAGTTTTAACGGCCTCGAGGTCAAATCCAATTTTGCCGATATTGACTCCTTCCCGCCTTTTTTCCTTTTCATGGTTACAATCACGCAGCCTTCTTTACTAATATACCGTGGTAGTTCTTAGGTGGCATATAGGAAAATACTGAGGTTTAGTTTGGGTTATAGAAATCTATTATAAAAGAACAGTTCGAAAAATTCCGTGGCTCTACTTCCAAAAATTACCCCTTCTATCAGCCTTCTCACTACCTTGTTTATTTGGTCAAGCGTTTTCTTACTTTCTTCTGCAAATACCCTTAAACGAAGTAATACAATGATCCTAAAAAGTATATTATAACAAAGGGCAGAATTCAATTTGAGCACAAGGCCGCTGGAGACTGCTCTAGAGGCCTCAGGAACAATTCTGTGGGGGCCGTCCCCAGGTCACCTGCCCGCCCCCCGCAAGTTGATCTCCAGGTTTTTGTCTCCCCCATCTTTCTTTCGAATGTCGCTCCGCATTCATACCATTTCGGTATGAGATCAAGAACTGGATGGTAAGTAGGATCAAACATGCCCAGTATCCAGTACTAATAAACCACAGCTTAACGTGTCGAACGCGCAAGCTGAAATGTAGGGCCTGTCATCTTGGTGCCCCGGCGCCTCGTATCCCATGTTTTTCTGAACCCCGACTAAACCATCGCTAGGCGACGAGCAAAAGCCCGAATGTTCCCAGTGTCGCAAGGGCGGCCGAGAATGTCGCCCGAGCGAAGGAGTCGTTTTCCGCCATCAGCAGAACGCGTCGATGAACCGGAGTTCTGATCAGTCACCTGAAGGTCGGGGAAGTTTGAACGGTTTCTATTCGTATAAGAACACTTTTGATAAGGACAGTGTCTGGTTGGATGTTCCGAAACATGGTAAGATACCAAAAGGATGCCTATTTGGACAAGTTGTGTATGTCCTGGATAAATGCTCATCTTATACCCCCTGCAGTCATATTCGTCGATAACTCCGATCCATACGCCGACGACCTCGAAGCCTCGCTGAGTGTCGCGGGTAGCTCAGCACTTGCGCACTCGCCTAACCACAGATGGGGCAGTAGTGGTTCTCGAACAAGCGATGCCGAAACACAAAGATTGGAAGCGTTGTCGGCGGTCGCATCGCACGACCGTTTCCCTTACTCTCCTCTGGAACACTCCATCTCGGATAGTGCCTCTTATACCTCTCCTCACCGTGGCCGGAGCGTCGCTCTACCCCCGGCTTCTCCTGCCATGTCGCTGTCGTCCACCAGCAACAATACCAACATCAACTTCCTCCTCAACCCTTCTCATTCGATGTCGCCCCCCATCGATCCAAGCATTCAAATTTCTGATAGGAATGCAACACTTCCATCACGGCCGGCACTCTCACAGAGGAGTATATCTCATGCCCCAGATGATAATGCAGAAACAGATTTCGAAACAGCGTTCCTCCTTCGACATTATTCCGAGGGTCCGGGCCTATGGTGAGTAATTTCCCTCACAGCTTGATAGATTAGGAGTAACAAAGATCCAGGATGGACCTGTTCGATCTAGGAACATACTTCGCATCATACGTCCCGGTCCGAGCAAGATCCAACCCGCTCTTAAAGTTCGCAGCATGCGCATACTCAGCCAAACAACTAGGCCGTGTAAAAGGCGCAAAAGCCCCCATGGGGGGTGTATGCACACAGCAAGCCGCCATGGAACTGTGGCCTGATAAAGACCCTGACTTTGCGTGGTACGGGGCCAAGTATTATGAAAAGGCAATCCAGCTGTTGATGAAGGAGCTGCAACCTGATGAAGGCCCGCCCCCGCTGAGTACGCCCGAGGCATTCGGTCAATGGCAGGCTTCGGAGTTGTGTGGCGATGCAGATAATCCGCGTAAACGTCGGAGAAGGGTTTCTGATATTCGACTTTCGCATGGTGTTCATTCAGATGAAGTGCTTGCCGCGACGGCAATTTTGTCAGTATATGAATTCCTCGATGCGGCAGGACCAGCATGGAATCGGCATCTGAGTGGTGTGAAATCGCTGCTTGATGTCGCTGAAGTGGGAATGATGCCACTCCAGCAACGCCCGTCGCCTGGAGATGGCTCGTATCACGCTCCAAAGAAGTCCGGGCTTTCCAAAGCACGCCGGGCGACATTTTGGAATTTTGCCAGACAGGACTATCTGGCAGCCTGTGAGTTACAATCTTAATAGATCACACTCAATTCACTAACAAACGCAGTCATCAACGAAAGCCACACGAGGCTCAACACAGACGACACGATCCTTTGGACAGAAGCAGGTCTGCTTCTTGATAATATGGGTTTCCTCCGCCCAAGCAACACAGGCACAGCCGGGTACCCAGAAGGCGAAGATATCATGAAAGAAGACCTCATCAGCAATGGCCTAGTCTGGATCCTATCCAAAATCGTCAACTTCATCAGCTCAGGCGACAACATGCAGTTAACAGACAACCGCACCGTGCCAGGCCCACTCGGCGTGACTCAACAAGTCCTTCTCGAACGCTGGTATAGACTCGAGTCCGAACTCGACGCCTGGATCAATGGCGTGCCAGAAACCTTCAAGCCTTGCGCACGAATCGACTCCGCTCGCCTCTCGCATCACCGTTCACCAGCTGAAAACGAAGACATCTCCACTCTTCAAGAAATCTGGTTCAGTCTGCCAATGTGCGCGTCCACCATGCAGCATTATCACATGGCGCGCATCCTGCTTCTCATTAATAAACCGCACGAATCGACCAGTCGTCGCAGCACGATCACTCTGCGTCTTCAATCTTACCGCTCTATCGAGTCGGAGATTGCATTTCATAGTCGGGAGATTGTTGGGATAGGACTTTCGCGTCCGGATGGTAGTGTGCGGATCAATTCGCTCCAGCCTCTGTTCGTTAGTGGGCAGTGCTTGACTGATCCGCGTGAACGGCGAACCACTGTCAGATTGCTCAGGAGTATCGAGACTGACTTGGGCTGGGCGACAGAGTATCGGGTTCAGCAGTTGTTGAAGGAGTGGGGGTGGGAGGAGAGCTCGACTCGGTCGCCTGCTTCTTGAGAAGACGAATCTTAATTGAAGACCACCGACCACCGACCACCGACCAGCTTGAAGTTCATGCTTGATCCTCTGAGCTCAGTGCTGTCATTGTGCGACAGCATAACAAGGAGTCGAGATATGGGGTGAAGTAAACCGCATCCCTATAGAAAGCTGACCCAGCCCTCTCCTCTTCTCTCCCCTCCTTCTGCCCCTCCCAACCCACGCGCCACGCCGAGAAGGGGCATATGAGTGAACCCGCGTGAAAGACATCGCGGGCCATGATGTGTATAAGATCACAGCCCGCGACACGAGTGATGAACCACGACCAAATATTTAGTATTAGTATAAGTGATAGTGATAGTGATAGTATTAGTATTAGTAACTCCAGACCAAGAGAATAAGAATAAGACAAAAAAAAAACACAGAAAAAGAAAAAGACTCAAAAATCAGACCGAACATTTCTGCGTTCGGGTCAGTTTCCAGTCCCAATCCTTGTTTTCGCCAACCCGAGCCCGACCCGTCGATCAGCGGGGGTAGGGCTGCCCAGACACTCTACCCGAGGGGGTCTGCGGGTGCCTATTCAGTACTGTACAGTGTACATTAGTCTTGCCATGAACAGAGTTGTACTTTTGCTTCTCCATGTCCATGGGGCCATTCTTCACACTCTCACCCTCTTCTAGATAGAACATACAGTACACCCACCCCTCCCTACTTACTCTGTCCATACAGTAGCTCTGAATCTGGAATCGCCAGGACGCAGCTTTCCTGTCATTAACTTCCTCCAGTCCACAGCCATGTACAGTATGTCACCGAATCCACTCACCCCCACTGATTTACCATCCCGGGGGGCAACTTATCCGAACACTTGATTTATTTTCATTTATTTATTTTCGAATTTGGTCTGCAGCTGTCTGCGTCAGTCTGCAGTTACATATACAGCATTTCTGGTTCTTTCGGGGCACTGGGTTGGTCCCGGCTTACTTTATCTGGCTGGGCCGGGGTGGGGGTGTGGACTACTCTACTTACAGTACTCTACTTACCTTATTCCACTCTACTCTAATGCCTACAGTATAACTTAGCTACAATACAGTACAGCTATTGTGCCCAAAGTAAGGTAGGTATGTACACCTTGCGTACTCCCTAGATTAGGACGAGGATCAGGCCATGTGAAGAGAGAGGGAGATGGAGTGGAAAGTATAGCGGTGGCGCATGGGGGAGGTCTGGACTTCTGGGGGTGGTTCAGGGTAAGTGTGATGGGATGTGAAGAAACGAGATGGAATGGGGTTAGGGCGGACAGGGCAGAAACTGTAGATTAACTTTGATGGATTTCTTGCATGTGAAATGCTGGAGCATGTGGGGGTCAACTTGAAGCTTGTTGAATGTGGGATAGGCTCATTTCACTATCTCGGGGTTACTGCTACTGTCACTGTCCTTGTGAATATTGGTCGACTTATTAAACGTTAACTTATAAGTTAAGTTATACACATCATGTGTATCAGATAAGTCAAGTAGTAGTCAGTTCCTGATGAGCTGGTTTTGAATATGGAGATATGGCATCCTAGGATACTGCCATGATTATGAGTTATCGAGTGTGTAAAGTGTTTGCAGCTGTGCATCATGACCATGGTTGAACTATAAGAGAGCGAGGAAGTGGGATAGAAAGTACTTATGCTGTGTCTGTGTCGTCCAGGCCCCTACTGTACTTTACACAATAGGTAATGCAGTATAGCCACCTTGGGGCACTGATCCTGATTACTGATTCATCAGAGATTTGACAAAGTATCCCTATTTACCTTCTGTTTGAGTGTTTGCACGTTGACTTCCAATTCGAGGATGCCTGAAATGTATGCCTGACTCCCAGGATAAGTTAAGTTAACTTAACTAGTTACCCCACCTGTTCTGCCTGAGACTCCGGGCCACATTCTCAAGATGCATTCTGCATTCTGCATTCTGCCCTACGCGCATCTGCAAAGGGAGTGACGACCCGCAGAAAACAAGAGTGATCAACATGGGGATGTGAAGCATACAGTAGAACCCCTGGGCAATCACCTGGCACAGGCGTTGGGGCCGTCCCAGCCACTCTGTCCAGGATGGGAACCGAAAGAAACACAACTGGACACGCGGGAAATGAGCGATCACGATAATGAGGGGAAAGCACAGCGCCAGATCTACGATGCCGCTCTGCAGGGAGTGTTTGGTTGAGTCGCGGGGGGGGGCTGAGTGGCCGGCGCTACCGTCACGATGGCCCGAGTCGATGTGATGTGCGTATGAGACGCCGAGAGAATGGATTTGGCAGGTCGGGTTGATGCGAGTGGTTGATCCTGAGGGAAGTCATGGACCAACACGAGGAGGCGGACTGGGATGCTGTACGCCATTTGTAGAATCAGCTTACAGTCTGGGCGATAGATCGCATACGGGGAGGATCAATCTATGGAATCTCCGATTGGTCTTGTTTAGGGCGAATGTTGGCCGTGATCACGGCGGGAGGCGGGTTGGTGGGCATGATTGGGTGATTTGACGCGACTCTCTCTGGATTGTGATAGTTGAGGTTCTACGACAGTGGCATTCCCTGTCGAGACTGGGAGCGAAAGTGTGGGATTGGAATGTTCAACTCACACTTGGCAGGGGCGATATGCAGTTCCCAGGTTGACTCAGACCTGTACCTGTCAGCTGTCAGCAGGTGTATAGCCTCAGAAAAGAATGTCCCAGGGGATTCAGAGTTGCCGGTAACGGTGAGTACAGGCCCCGTACAGGCTAATTTGGTGCCATTTGTACAGTAGCACACTAACGTCAAATCATTTTAGTTCAACGACCAGGGCATTGAAATCTAGACCAGATGTCCCCAGTGGCGTTCGAGGGCACATTGAACATTGTCATGGCCGATGGCACACATTGCCCTTCTTACTGCCCATTGTACCACACAGCTATTGTACGGAGTAACGCTCACATATTTCCAGCAGGTCGGTTGAAATCTCGTTTTTTTATTATTTTATTTTATTGCTTCTCTGAGAATGTCCGGTCAAGAATGTCGATCTCTCCCCCTGTTCGCTTCCAGTAATATTACCATACCATTGCCAAGGGCTCGGAACTGAGTTTGACCCAATTGCCATGCGGGTGAGAACAGACCGTGGAGTCTCCACTGGCGCTCTATATACTACGTGCCGTTCCCACTTGGACCTGCGATCTTTTTGACGTTGGGATGCTGTTTGGCCCATCATGGCATTGAACGGAGACTGTCCAGTTCCCTTTCTACAAGAGTCTCTCTTTCCTTCCGTCGGGGGCTTTGTTGATGGTCGGTATTGCGAGAATCTCTCTTATGGCAACAATACGTACGCATGTTGCCTGCCCTGTCCACTGGCGGAGTGGAGATATGACACTGGTGAGTGGGATGGAACCAGGTCAAGATGGTCAATGTCTAATGTCGGACAGAGTTGAATAAGAAAATTGATGTCGCCAGCTGGATCAGTGTCGCCATCCTTCCACTCTGTATATTCCTGCTGGCGTCCTACGCGGTGCTCCCGGTCAAATGGACTCATCGGCACTATTTGAGTATCTGCTTTACGCTGGGTATCTGTTGCATGGAGGTGAGTGGTTTGCGCAGGCCAATTCGAGGGACGGTCCTTGTATTAACCAGCATTAGATCGCCTTCATCATCCCCCTCGGCGCCAAACCAGAACAATGCCACAATGCCATCACGCCCAATGACATGCACTCCGATCTATCATGTGCCTTCTCCGGGTCATTCTTGCTCTTCGGCGGATGGATGGTGGTGATGTGGAGTTTCATTCGCACCATCGCCTTCCATCTGCAAGTCTGCTGGGAGGTCGTCCTCGGCCCCAAGTTCATGTGGGCAGCCTTCATCTGCGGCTTCGGCATTCCCGCCGTGGGCCTGACCGTGATGCTCGTCCTCACGGGCGTCTCCTTCCGCTTCGGCGAGATCTGCCATATCAACGTCACGCATGCGCTGCAAGACTACTGGATCCCCATCATGGTCTTCGCCGTCGCGGCGCTGTTCTTCCAACTCTCGACCATGGCCTACTGTACCCACGTCTACCTCCGCTCTCTCTTCGACCGATCCACCTCCACCACCAATAGCTCCGGTCTTCCCTCGTACGACGGCAGCGTGCGCACCGTAACCGCCCGCCAGGCCTACCGCCGAATCCGCCGCATCCTCCAACTCCAATGGCGCGGCGTGGCCCTCGTGATAATCATCATCGCCAACGTCATCTACTTCGCCGTGGTCTTCATCGAACTAGACAACGCAACAGCCCCAACCGCGCAAAACGTCAAAACCGCCACCCCCTGGCTCCTCTGCCTGGTAGAGAAAAAAGGCGACAAAGACGCCTGCCGCGCGGAAGCAGCAGCCATCGGCCCCAACGAAGCCACCCTTCTCGCCGTAGTGATCCTCCTCTCCCTCGTCGGCTTCTGGAACTTCATCCTCTTCGCCCGACCCTCCATGTTCGCCGGCTGGCTCGACCTCTTCAAGCGCGCCTCGCGCCACAACGAATTCGTCTCCGCCGACGCGCACGCCCACTTCGCCGATAACAAGGGCTTTGAGATGCTCACATCGTCCGTCAAGAGCCCGGATACATTTATGCGCTCGCCCTCCCCCGTCGAGCACAACCACATCCAGGAACACGAGCTGTCGGGCAGTCCGATCGCCAGCCCTAGTCCGACGTTCGACCGCAGGGCCCATTTCGGTCAGGAGGCCCGCTATATTCGTCCCTCTATGAGCTTCTCCGGGCCTAGACCGCCTGAGAGTCCGACGCCTGGCCGCGAGTGGGATCCTCAGGCGACTTTTGCCCCGGGGTATGCTCGAGACTAATGTTTTTATTACCTTTGTATTTGTGACGTTTACATGAGTTTATTTATTTATTTCACCTAAAAGAATTATTTATGGTCCTTTTTTGACTCTTACTATTCCTCTATCCCCCTTATCTTCCCACAATAAGTTATATGAGTTATCTGGAACGCGACACTGGTGTTACAGGGCGTGTGTGAGCATGTCTCAATTCCTCGACTTGACCCTGCAGGCCTCAGGCTACTGTAGGAAATGTTCCACGTGTGTCCACAGTAGTGTCTAGTCGTTTCACCTTGCCAGAATCCACTCACTGGATCTCGGTTACGTCCACGGTAACGTTATTCCGACTTATTTTTAATACTGTATATCCACTGTATACGTCAATGAAACATGAAACATCATCGATTGCATCGTATGCTCTCCCCACTCATCTGGAAATGTAATTTATTTTTTAATCTAGATCTCGATCATATCGCTCTTGCGGTTCTCTACTACAACCATGATGGATATTGGATGTTGATTCATCTCTATCCCCGCATTGGTGTTTGTGGTATACAGTACAGTAACCTACCTTGTAGGAAGTACTGTGAGCTAAGTCTTCCAGTCTGCAAGACCAGTCCGAACCCAAACAGTGGATACGCAATCCAATCCAATCCAATCCACACAGTACAGTAAATGCACAGCCAAAACCACCACCCCCTAAACACGGCAACTTATCTACCCGACCCAAACAATCTAGAATCCTTCGAAAGCAAAACCTCAACCCAAAGCCAAAGCCAAGACCAAACCCAAACCCAAACCACAACCACAACCCAAATACAGAAATAATAAAGAAACACCCGAAACCAACCAGCCCCAACGCGGCAGGAGCGCCGTTCCTGCATGGACTCCTGCACTAGCGGACTAGGGCAAGCCTGCCACTGCAACTGCAACTGGGAGGGGGGTGGAGTGTGGTCCCGATGGAGCATAGACTCCGGGTGCCATGTGCCCGGTGGAGAGGCGCTAGTGTGTATATGTATTACTGTTTGACTGGTGGTAATTTGATTAGGTGAGATTTATTGTAGTTGTGGACTTGACTTTAGTTATTGTACGTTATTGTATTCCAAGGTTAGGGGATGGATCTCGTAGCCGGGCCGGGGTTACTTTAGATTGACTTTACAGTAACTGTTAGTTTAAGTTAAGTCAATTTACATAAGAGGCTGGGCTTGGAGTTGGGCTCGGGGTTCGGGGAGTTTATTAGATTGCTTTGACTTGCTTTGGTGGTTTGTGGGTATGTAATGGCGAGAGGGACCAGGGATGGGGATTTCTGGGATAGTCTAGATTTTGGGTTAGGTTAGATTGAGAGATGGTCTTGGTTTTGGGTCGGGGTTGGAAGGGAGAGTTTTCGGGGAAATATTGATTGAATTGAACTGAACTGGACTGGACTCTCTGGGCTCTGTTGGATGTCAATCCCATCATATTAACTAACGTTATAAGTTAACAATATTGAAGTTACCGACTCCACAGAAATCCCAAAGAGGCAAACAGTCCCCTCCAAACTCCAGCCCCATTCCTATCCACCAAAGTGGAACGATCAACCAGGTTATCTTACAGTATATCTCAATTGACCCGCAGATCAAGTCGTCACGACCAAATGCTGGAAATGCACTCGGCATTTACGGAGACCCCGGCTGCATGTCCATCGCGTGGTAACATTAATATTAACATTAATGTTCACGTTAACGTCAACGAAAAGTGAAGTGGCAAATGGCACATGCTATACTGTAAGCCACACGTTATGCCATGGCATACGCATGTGCTTAGCGGGGAACGTCGCTTCCACGCGTATTCAATTCAAAGTCCGGGGTTTGGATCCGGGGTAGACGGCATTTGGGCGAACGCTTTTTATCGTCGTGGGTTATGGGGTGGGTGGAATGGGATGGGATCTACGGGAACTGACTTTGCGCTAGGGAGCCTTATTGCGCCGAGGTACATGTGATTCTCCATAGGCTTGTTGTTTGGGGGGTTGTGGATGAGGGGTCTGGGGTCTTTTTGGTTGTTAAGTTTCTTGATTTGGGTTGAAAGGGTTATGGACTAGGGTTTTTGTGGTAGTGCTTACAGTATGTTCTACAGTATATGATTGTTAAGTTGCTGTAACTGCTAGCTCTATTGTGATTTCCATACGGGGAGTTACGAGTCTATAATACGGAGGGTTCTTACAGTAGTTTGTGTGTATTTGCCATGGTTAATTTGAGGTCAGATCCATAATATGGAATAGACGGATTCCGTCGGATTCCTACAAACCCCCAGCAGCACAAATCTTCTTAGCCTCATCCACACGTTCCGCATACCGAGACGGATAAGCCGAGCCCTGCACCTTCTGGCAAAGCTTCCCAACCTCCATAGTCCTCCACCCACTAACACCCTTCATACCCTTGAAGAACTGCGCAGCTGATTGTGCAGCATTCATATCAGCAGCGATATCGGGATAGAACTTGGCGCGTTGCTGGAAGATGCCAACACTATCATAATCCGAGCCCACGGCATCGTGGGGATAGTTGAGCGAAGAAGGGACCTCTTTGTTGGCGTAGATAAGAATGTTCGACTGTCGACAACTTGTTAGAGATAATTCAGGGAATGTCAGAGTATGCTAAACACGATAGTTCTCACCTCAACAAGAGCGGTTGCAATACCGGCAAGACAACCCTGACGACCGAGATCTTCCTTCTTCGCTTCTCCAATGATGGCTTTGGCATGCTTGGATTGGGTAGATGTAAGGCCAGGTAGATTGCCGCTGCCGCTGCCACTGCCACCGCCACTGCTGCCTTCACATTTCTTGGTCACGTAGCTTGAGCTACCTGTTTTGACGTAGTAGTCGGCAACGTAGCAGCCATCGGCAGTCTTATCCCAAATGCTGTCGCCCTTGATATCTGTGCCGGATGCTTGGCAGGTGATTGAAACATCCACGCCTTTCTGGTAGGACTTGACTACCGAGTAAGAGGTTCCCGGGCCAGAGCGGCAGTTGACAGTGTCACCAGTGATGGGGTAGGCATTGATCAGGGAAGAGAGTAGTGTAATTGAGAGGGCCGTGAGTTGGAAATGCATCTTGAAGATTCGGATATCGAGGAGGCTCTATTCTTGTATATTGTCGATTGCTGAGATACTCGAAGTAATGAGTCTGCGATAGTATGAGTCGATGATTGAGTGGAATTTGCGGATTCAACAATGCCTTTATACTCCAGGAATCCTTAATCGGTTTGTCCAGAATGTTCGCTATGAAGAATGTGACACCCCAGCCTCGATTTGGACCCCATGAATCTCGTATAGGGTGTCCATTTCATAGACATCTCAATCTCGTATTCGCAGATTACCCTCTAAATCTGGTGTGCAGGGCGAGCAATGGAAGAGGCTTGGAAGGGAGATCTGCAGGGCTAAACGCATTTTGAATAGGAGATTTCGTATTACCCTGTGAAGATTTTGATGGCATGCAGGTGTCTGATGTTTACACGCTCAATGAGAGTATTGATGAAGCTTGGCACTCGTGTTCCTGAGCCTTGCCTGTCAGGGCAGATTCGAGTTGCCCTAAAAATAGAGTAGATTCTTGCAGATCTTCCGTATTCGATCCCGCGCTTTATCTGGCATTGGAGGGGCACGGGAATAGGCTTTTAGTGTATACTACCTTGGGAAGCTATTTCGAGTAAAAAGGAACCTGGAGATAATGACGCAATTAAGCAGGCTGCGGCAGTCGACTTTCTGGTATCTCTGATCTCTCTTTTTATGAAGTGATGAAAAAGGGAATCACACCGGGACATCGGCTTTGTTGGGGTCTCTGTGTTGAAGTGTGAACATGGGACTGAGTCCTCGTGTGTGTGAATGAGTCGAGGTTTAAGAACTGACTGATAATTTATGGGGGGTTTCTGGAAAGACTTCTAGATATATTCAGTTCGATGGACCCTAAGTATGAACTGCCTCGTAGGGGAATATTGGTAGCAAGTGTATAGCGTAGAATCCTTAAACAGTAAGTAAAATTAAGAGTAGGAGTCAAATCCGAGACTTGAGATACTAGGCTGTATGTCCTTGAGATGCACATCAATTGCCAAATCCAATGACCCGAAATGCAAGTTAAGATGAGTTGAGTCTATATACAACAATAGTCTCTCTAAAACATAAAATCCTGTTAGCCGTCGATTTTCTAGTCTATTATGAACATTCATTGGCAAACATGTATTAAAAAGGTTGCTGATAATATTTGGCTCCAGTTTACACACTACGTCAACCCATCTTAGCCAATTGGGCGTAGTGATTGCTTTACCACGAATGTAAAAGGCCAATGTCACAAATCTTGTTGTTCTTTTTCACCGGTATGAATAAGATAAAGATCGTAGACATGGTATCTATCCACAGATATCATGATCTGCCATGATCTAGCCGGTCTATGAACTATTGGAGAACCCTGCAGGTGGATGCAAAAGGCCTTGGTGCATTGGAGCGGGTCTGTCACACCGACTCGATGCCAAAGAGGCCAGATACTCGACAAAAATATGCCAAAACGTCTCGAGAATTGCCCTTTGATATCGATCTAGACATCGCCTGAAGTAGTTTCTATAGTTGCATCATCCCGAATACCCGACGTCACTACGGCCGAAGGCGGAGAGTCGAAGCTCCCTGTTGTGTGTGAACTGGTCTCCCCGCTCTCCCCCAGCCACCTTCTTATCTCCCACAACTCTTCGCGTTTTCGCTTTTCGTCTCTTCATCTCACCAGGAGCATCTTTGATCTTCTACCTTTTTGTTTCAAGAAAAAAAAGCTCCCATGGCTCCTCCTCCTCCCGCGACCTTGCCTCTGGGCGAGAGACTCAAGGCTTTGGCGCAGACCTTGCAGTACGTATCCTTTGATTTGTGTCAAATGGTGACACTCCAATGCTTTGTGTATCAATACTAATGCGATGATTGTTGTAGGTTTGCTTGGTTTGTTGGGTAGGTCGACCTGCTGAGCACACGATGACGGCCCCAATTGGCGGTCACTAACAATCTCTAGACATGTGACACTGTTGCTCTCGGTCTTCCGCTACACCTTGTCTTGCATCTTCTTCAACTACTATTCCTCCTCTGCTCAGATCGCCTACCGTTTGACCTTTGTCTCGGCCGCCGTCACTTACGGAATCGTTGTGTACAAGGGACACTTCGCTCGCGGTGTTCAGGGCACTCCCGTCCAGATTTTCACCAAGCTCCTCTCTGATGAGAATGTGCAATACCTTGGTAAGTGATTGTAGTGTGACGGAGATGGTTGAAGCTAACCGAGACATCAGGTATGGCCCTCGTCTGGCTGTACTCCCGCCAGCTCATCCTGGCCCTCCTCCCCTTCAGCGTGTACTCGGTCTTCCACGTCGCGACCTACAGCCGCATGTACCTGATCCCGACCTTGCAGCCCGCTGCTCCCGGTTCCGCAGGCCCTGCCTCTCCCTCCTCTCCCTCCAAGCCTGCTGCTAAGCAGTCGCCTCTCGCTGAGACCATTGGCCGATTCATCAAGCAGTACTACGATGCCAGCATGGGTGTTGTCGCTACCCTGGAGATCGCCCTTCTGTTCCGCCTGGTTCTGTCTGCCATTACCTTCTCCAAGGGTAGCTGGGTCCTTCTGATTGTCTACCTGTCTTTCTTCCGTGCCCGCTACGCCCAGAGCTCTTTCGTTCAGCAGGCTGTCCGTCAGCTCACTGCCCGTGCTGACGCCTCCATTTCCCACCAGAGCACCCCTCCTCAGGCTCGTCAGGCTTGGGAGACCATCAAGGGTGTTGTTCGCCAGGCTTACGAGGTCACCGATATTAGCCGCTACATTGGTGGATCTACCGCTGCCAAGAAGCCCCAGTAAATGTCGCAAAGACATGTGCTAACTACCTTGCCTTTGACCCTAGGAACTTTTGCTTCCAGGAAATAACGTGGCTTTGGAAAATTGCGACAGGTGCTGATGCAAATTACGATCTTCAGGGAACCATCTTTCCCGCTGTAATGTTCTCCCGTAAAGCGATGAACATGGGGATGCTGGTGTATGAGACTTTGATGTCTCAGCTATAGAAAAGATGCGGACGAGGAGGTTTGCCGCTATGATGATGCAATACGCAACGACATGTGTTTATTATTCTCTAGAGTTTTGCGATGCATAGTTTTTGTACTTGCTTTTCGCTTACCAACATACCTTGTCTCGGATTCATTTTACTATTTCAAGTGCGCAGTGATTTTGAACAATTTCAGTTGAACATTCCTCCAATCTTCTACGTATGGACCTTTACGCCCTTCCAAACACAATCCAAAGAAGCACAAAGACCACTTTTCAGCCAAGTAGTTATTAGTTGACACCTCAGGCATTAACGCCAAGGACAATGACAACCCCGTGATTGGTGCCTCAGGAATCATATCGGGCTTGGCGGCGAGAGAAGCCGATCAGAATTTTGGCTGATCAACCAACTTGCAACCATAATAATCAACTCTCTCCTGATTCCTTGTCGCTCTTTTCTGTTACCCTTATCTCACAGGGGTGCTACCCTTCCAGTCGATCCCTCAGCACCCCCGATCTCCCTCCTGGTCCTGACCAACACCGCCCGGGGCTGCTGTTCGGCGTGATATTGCCATGAGCCTGACCTCGCGAGTGGCCGGTCTGTTCGTGACAACGCCACCTTCGGACACATCCGCGACACCTTCGAGTGACTCCCCGACTTCAAAATGGACACAACTCGGTTTGAATGAAGTAGGCCATGCAAAGGATAATGCTATGGCGCTGGTGGAAGAGGAGGAGCCTCGGCCACCATATTTACATGTATGATTGTTTCCCACGGCCTCATACTTGGCGCAAGGCTAACCTGATACTCCAATATAGGCCATGTTGGCTGGTGGCACCGGAGGAACATGCGGCGACATGTTGATGCACTCGTTAGATACCGTCAAGACACGACAACAAGGCGATCCGACTTTCCCCCCAAATACACATCGATGGGCCAGTCGTATGCAACCATCTACCGCCAAGAAGGATTTTGTCGTGGATTATATGGAGGTGTGACGCCGGCCCTCCTCGGCTCGTTCCCCGGTACTGTGATTTTCTTTGGTGTATACGAGTACACCAAGCGTCTCATGATCGACTCAGGGATCAATCCCAGTCTTGCATATCTATCGGGTGGCTTCGTGGCCGACTTGGCTGCGTCAGTCGTCTATGTACCGTCCGAGGTGCTGAAAACACGACTTCAGTTACAAGGTCGATTCAACAACCCGCATTTCAACTCGGGATATAACTACCGCAATATGAGAGATGGATTCCGTTCGATTGTCCGCCAGGAAGGGTTCTCAGCATTATTCCACGGATACAAGGCTACTATTTTCCGCGACCTGCCATTCTCCGCGCTTCAATTCGCTTTCTACGAGAAAGAACAGTCAATGGCTAAAGAATGGGTTGGAAAGCGGGACATTGGGTTAGGCTTGGAGATCGTGACAGCTGCCACTGCTGGTGGCATGGCTGGTGTCATCACCTGTCCGATGGACGTGGTCAAGACCCGCATTCAAACCCAAAAGAACGTTCCAGAGACTCCTCCCTGCTCTGGCACCAAACACCACGTTGAGCATGTTCCCAAAGAAAGCCCACGCCCACATGCACCTGCATCCTCACATTCCCATAACTCACGAGCACACTCGCGTCCCATTTCCACATCGGGAGCCTCCACATCAATTCCACCGCCCGGCACGCCGCGCCTCGATACGTCATCCGTCTTCACTGGGCTGAAGATGATCTACCGCACGGAAGGTCTTGCGGGGTGGTTCCGCGGCGTGGGCCCACGCGGTGTATGGACTAGCATTCAAAGCGGGACTATGCTGGTCATGTACCAGTACCTGCTCAAGCAACTCGAATCCCACCAGATCCTGGAAGAGCGAGGGATTTGAGACATTTCATCTGCATTTCCAGGACATATTTCTTTCTTTTTGGGGAATGGCGGCGTTTTGGTTTTACATGTTATGACCCCAGGTGCATTGGGCACCTTGTATACTGTGTACCTGATAGAATAGACTGGGCTTATAGTCCGTTGTACAATAAATTCTCATTCAACTCTCATTACTCTAAGTTAGAGTAAATAATGTTCACAATACGATCAAAGAAAAGGAAAGGCGCTGAACAAAGAGGACGCGCTAGCGTGTTTTGTTTTGATCGGCGGTAAACAACCTTGGAATTACCGATGCACCTCCCCTCCTTGCATCCTCTCTTCTCCCCCTCTAACTTCTTTATTTCCTTACTCCTATTTGATGCGCATTGGTCCGATATTATCCGCATTTTGATTCTTGCCATCATGTCATCCGCTCTTCCTTATCTAAAGTCGCTGAAGAAGGGCGATCTGGTGGAGTTCGCCGAGACAACCGACCTGAATGGGTGAGTTTATACCTGTCGCGCAATCGCGAACGTGGTCGCATGGGCCAATTTGACTGATTTCTGACTTGTCGGGGTATAGCGCAAATGGTCTCAACAAGCTGGACCTTGCCACTGCGCTTGACAACCACCTGCAAGAGAATGCCTCCATCTTCGGCGGCGTCAAGTCGCTATCTGAATACTACTCGCGCTTGGCCTCGCCGCCTCGCCGGGGATCGCCTGTGAAGCGCGAATCTAAAGTCCAGACTCCTGGTCCTACGAAGACTCCTTCGCGCCGCGCATCTTCCAAAAAAGAAGTCAAGGAAGTCAAGGAAGCCAAAGAACAAAAGGAAGATACTAGGTAAGCGGCACACCGTCTTTCCATGCATAGCATACCCCCCAAACTATTCGTCGCGCATACTCATATATGTATTAGTGAGGACGGTGAAGATGTGGTCGCAACCCCAAGTCTGCGCCAGCGCTCACGCCGGGTGTCGCGCGCGGCGCCCATCACGGAGCCCATTGCGGCGTCCCTTACGGATTTGCAGAACGCCCTACCTTTGCCTCCTTCCCCTGCCGTCGTGACAGATGTCATTGACCGCCAGACCAACCGGGTTCGGGAGGGAATTGAAGATGCATGGACCTCAATGGGCGTATTAGATCGGTGCCACGCTGTTCGCGAGTCTTTGAGCAGCCTCAAGGCTATTGAGATCATAGTCCTGCTTCTCGAAGGAGGAAGTGTTGTAAAGGAACTTGTTCCCATCCGCTATCTTACCACGACTCCTCCTGTGCAGGCCGCGCAGATCCCCGCCATGTCAATCAGAGCTCCTGACCTCTTTGTGTTGCTCACTGGGGCTTTCTGGGCGCCTTTCTCTCTGTGGCTCGTCTCCTGCCTTGTCTTGCCTCTGATGGCCGCATACTTCATCAACTTGAGCTGGCAGGCGTCTACCTCTGCGCGCAAAACCCGCTCTAGTCCCAATCTTGCTCAATTCGACCCATTGACATTCAATATTGCCAAGGCGCTGCTGGTACACATCGTTTTCGGGAACGACTTCAAGTTCTGGGGAGTTTTCAGCACTTTCGCTCTTCGAAAGATTTCAGCTTCTGTTCCTGGCGGAACCTTCGGTCTGTACACTGGCACTGCCGTTGGCGTCATTGGATCTCTGTACGAGGCTATTCTGCGTCGTTCATAAATACCATGCTTGTACGATGCGGAGCTGCACAGTGACTTCCACTCGTATTGCAAATTGAGACTGAAATGCGATCCAGTAATACTGGGCTGATTGAATACGCTTTAGCATATTGACATTTACCTCTTCTCCTTTCTCTTGACGCTTTCCCCGCCAATCCAGTATTCTTCTGGATTGCTCTCCCCGTTGGTTTGATATCCCCTGCTTGAGGGGCTATCGCATCCCTCTTGCCGCTATGTATGCTTTGGACTGTTTGCGTTATTGTTCTTAAGGCTTGTCTTGTGTTTTATTTTATGGGCCCAAGTTTAGTTCTCGGGTATGGATGATGCGATATGCGATACTGGGATTTTTCTTTTGGGCAACCTCGCTGTCTCTCTTTCTTGGTGTCTGTTTCTAGCCAGAGGATGGCGCCTTCGGTGTTGTCTGGTTGTGGATTTTGATTACTTTCTCGGCGTTTCCTCTATTCCCTTCTTTTAATGGCCCATTTGTGTTTCAAGTCTTTCACATTGGGTATCAGAGTGTAGTATAAGTAAATCCAGTACGGTCATCTCATCATTCACGCTCATGATGATCGCTTCAGCCTCATCGCCAACTCCACAGTAAATAACACTGGAACCGACGTCTCGATTTCCACTTTATCCGCGCGAATATGGTTGCTCGTGGATATCTGTCCGCCAATCTCCGTATGCCATTTCTCGACATCCCACTCAAAGCCTTTAGTCGTAATAGAAGCAGGCGCCGAAAGCGGAATAATCCCAATATTCTCCTCAAAGAAGTATTCCGGCTCATGCTCTTCGCCGCGCTTCCGCTTCTTCGGCGATTCAGCCATGATATCCGCCCTTCTCGTCGCAGGCGTGTGGATTAAATTCATCCCAGTCTGAATAATGAATGTAATACTTTCCTCCGAAACAAGATAAAGGTTTCCACCGGCCGCAGGCCTAGCACTTGAGCCTGTGGATATGGATTTACTCTCGTTCTCGCGGATCGTGCGTTGCGTCTGGGTCATCATGTATAGGTGGTGAACTTGGGAGAAAGCCTGGTCAACGCGGCCGCCGAGACCGCCCAGGATTACAATCTCCAGGGGTGAGTCGTTTAATGGAATGGGGGGCGGTGGGTAGGGATCTTTATCTTCGCTTGAGCTGCCGTTTGCTTTGACTGTCGCTGGGCCGTTTGTTCGGCGGGGAGAGGCAATGATCTCTGCTGCGTGTGCGTTGAGATATTTGAGACATTTGGTGAAGTCGGTTGAGTATTGGTCTGGGTCTTCCATGACTGATACTCCGAGTTTCTCGTAATGTTCTCGCACTGATGGTCGGATAGAATCCAGGTCGCCGATGATGGCGTTTGGGGGCTGTTTCTCGGGTTAGATGATATCTTGGCTGTATGGTACAGTTGCTGCTGTTTCCATTGGGATATTTCTTCCCCGTGCAAGCTTCCAATTTAGAGTTGCTGCATGGTAGATTTCGTAGTATAGATATGTCTCACATCGGTAGATTCTTTCCCGTTCAGTTTCATCATGTCATATAGTCGATTGGCGCCTCCATCGGCACAGATGATATAAGATGCTGAGCTAGTGTTAGTGTATATTCGTCTGAGATGATTGATTGTGTTATGTTACGCACCATATTGGCTTAATACTCCGAATGCGTTCTCATTGATAGGCTGATTGAGGACGAGAAGAGCGTACGGAGACGGACTCCCTCCTACACGAAAGAAGCGACTAGGATCCCACTCCATTGAAATCGAAGTATCAGATTGCATCTCAAAGACAAGGAAGGTGTTCGTGTGAGAGTCCGACGTGACGATATAATTATCAGCCGGTGGAACGTGACTGGCTGACCGAGCACGATCCTCAGGCCGAAATCCACATCCAACTTCTCCCGCGCCTCGACTTCCCCGAATCCCCTCAACACCTTTTTGGGAGACTCTCTCGATCCACATACACGATGTTCCGTCCCGCTGCTCGAGCGCTCGCCCGCGCGCCTGCTGTCGCATCCCGTACCCCGGCGACCAGCCGATTCATAAGCACCGGTCCGACCAAGTCGAGAAGCTGGAAGAATACCGTCGTCCGGCTGGGCTTGGCCGGTGGTGCTATCTACTACTATAACACGAGCAGTGTCTTCTCCGAGGAGCCGAAGTGTATGTATCGCCGATTGGGTTGCCCTTGTCTCTCAATGAGGGTTACAAACCGCGACAATTCTGCCAACGCCAATGGTAAATCTCCGGATGACCAATCGTCGCTGACTATTCTATCATCGCGCTCTAGTCTCTCTCCTCTCTCCCAAAAAGCAGAATGGCGATAATGCCACCTCCCAGACCCTCGATTCCATCAACCCTAAGATCCGTCAAGAACGCGCCGCCGCGCAAGCTTCCGAGCCCGCCGCTTTGGCAGGTGGTGTGAACCCCCAAGAGCTTGAGGAAGAGGCTGGCCAGGAGGCAGCATTCAACCCCGAGACTGGCGAAATCAACTGGGACTGCCCGTGCCTCGGTGGCATGGCCCACGGGCCTTGCGGAGAGGACTTCAAGGCTGCGTTCAGCTGTTTCGTCTTCTCCGAGGAGGAGCCCAAGGGCATTGACTGCATTGACAAGTTCAAGTATGTGAAAGAGGTACTTTCGGGGAGATGTGCAATTACTAATGGTCTTTGTCTTTCAGGGCTATGCAAGATTGCTTCCGCCAATACCCCGAGGTCTATGGCGCCGAACTCGAAGACGACGACGAGCCCCAGAGCGATGCTCCTGCCTCCTCCGAACAACCCCCCGCCGCTGCCGATGTTGAAGCCACCCCTCAAACCGACGAGAAGGAGACCCACGCCAATGAGATCGACACCCAGGCAAAGGCCATGCCCGCTGCTGAGGTCGATACCCTCGTTCCCAAGGCTGCGTTCGATGCCGAGGAAAAGAATGCCGAGGCCAAGAACGAGTCCAGCAAAGCTTAGAGCTGAACTCTCCTTGACACCCTGCATGTTCTTTGACACCACTCTTCCCCCCCAGGCAATCTACTGTCTCTCTTCTGTAATGCACCTCAAGGGACATGGATTGGAGTTATGTATTATATAGACCCCTCTGCCATCTCTCCATATCCCGTTTTGATCCATTGATGCATTCATCCCTATCATCCTTGAGCATATCCATTCCCCGATCTGCGCCCCCAACTGTTCCTGATATTTCCACTCTGTCACTGTGTAACTATGTGTACTGGTACGCTCCACGCTGTTTTTGTTGGCACAAACAAAAGAACGAGGGGAAATAGAATAGATTTGTTGCATTTTTACTCTACTCCATATCTTGTCTTGCACATCACCTTCAGAGAAGCAGTGGTTTCCACTCTATACAAAAAGATCAAGGGTCACAGCCATTTCGACAGATCAAAATATTGCTGTTTACAACATGTCCCTGTCGACATCGTATAGGATCCCAGTTCCTGGTGTGCCTCCCACGGGCCGTAAAAGCTTAACCGACCCAGAAAGAGCAAAGCCCTGAATTCCCAAAGCAGCCTCTGATCCCTGTTCAAACACATCCCCAACAACCGTTTCGACAGATAAAGCATTACTATATACAACATTTGATCCCACGGAACAGACATCCAGTGCTAGCAGCTTGCACATGCCCATTCATCAGCAATATAAAACAAATCCAAACAAACGCCTCCCCAAGAGCCCCAAACCAGGAATCCACCCATCATAGACCCTCACCCTTAGCAACACCATGAACCCCCTCACTCTCAAGCGTATACTCCGTGGTAACCCGAATAGCCATATCCCGCAGCCCAGCCTGACCAACCGACCCCGCCGGCGACACAACCCTCTCACCGTCAAGGATACACTCCTGACTCCCATCCCGACTCTCCTTGGCCGTATTCAAAACCGCGTCCATCTCGAAGGTGCCGCTCTTCCTCGGCCGTGACGTCACGAAAGTCTTCGTCTTCCCGGACGCCTTCGACCCAAACGCATTATAGCCATCGCTGTTGTAGTACGGGGCCTTGGTGTTCTTGCGGTTGGTCGAGCCTAGCCAGCGCGTGTTGCGGAAGAGCGGTTTGATGCCTGGCAGGGAGGCGACGATGGCTGCGACGAAGCATTCGCGGTCGGCCCAGCCGAGCGCGGTGGGGAGGTTGGTTATTGAGGTCAGGGAGTAGTAAGCGCGGAGGATGGTGCAGATCATTATGAAGAGGCCCGAGGAGAACATTATTACTAGGATTAGTTTGCGTTGGAGGGGGACTTGGAGTTTGGCGAGGATTGGGATTGGGATTAGAATTATGCACATGTCTGATCTGGGGGTTTTGGTTAGGGCTTTTTTTGTGGTTGATGTTGATGTGGAGGGAACTTACATCACGTTGAAAACGGCGATCACAATGTATAGGGGGCTTCGGAGGGTGCAGTTGTCTGTGTTTGCTGTTAGTCTTGGGGGTGTTTCTTTTTATGTAGAGGATTGAGAACTACCTCCGGGGTAGGGCTGGATTTGCCAGTTCCGTTCAACCGGCGTGCAGATACAGATATGCGTCAACAGACATCCAAGCCAGGTGATTATGCAGAATCCTGATGCGGCTGTGACGAGGTGACGGTGCCAGGTTCCTTGTCTGCCATATGTGAGTGGTGAACAGAGACCGTCGTGGAGATTGACATACGTGAGCTTCCAGTAGAGACACAGAAGAACCCCTTTCAGACACCAGATGTAGCAAACATACCATATCCAGTTCATGAATGCTAGCTTGGACCCGAGGATCATGTTGTGGATTTTGCTATCGGGGACTAACAGGGCTGTTTTGTCGTTTAGGCCGATGTTGTTGCCGAATACTCCTGTTTGAATGTCAATCGGGGGAAACAGCATTATGCTTTTCTCTGTTCATACCTAATAGGTAAATGATGACGGTCTGCATAGTCCAGAAGATCTGTTGGAATGGAGTCAGGACGAGATCAGTATCACGACTAGGATTGACATTGGACGTACCATTCCAGCGACTGCAAAAGCATCATCAAGTCGAAGTCCACGGATGCCTCCCATGTCTAACCTGGCGTATAGCCGAATAGCCAGAAAGACCATTCCGATGCCATATTCAGTAAAAGTCTCGACGGTCAAGGCATCGGCCGACATGGTGGCGTTTAAACCAGCAACTATATGAATTGACAAAGGAAGATTCGTTTGACAGAGCCAACACACCAAGAATGAATGAAAAGAGGAAAGAAAGAATAATATTAGTATCAATTAGGGCGCCACAGTCAGCGGGATCGCCGCAATCGATATATCAAATCGGGCAACAGGTCTTGATCACACAGCGTTCGCTCCGATCTTCTTTATGGATACAAAGTAGTCGTTCAGGAGATACGTCCCGTGTGAAGGATCGAGTTTGTATCCATCGTTCCTGGCCCGGGGAACTGGTTACTAGAGACAAGGCTCCATTGAAGGAGTTGAGCAAGGTACCTTTTTTGGGCAACGAAAAAAACGGCCCCTCATGTTTTACTAGTGATTTATTGGCCAACCTAGAATATCTTACTACTTACTAGTGTGCATAAGGGCCTGTCAAGAGTGCAGCATGTGGTACGAGTCTAATTTCTGCAGGATTTGACAATTCGTGCCGGGGATGGAACTTCCAAGGCGTGGGTCTTTGCAAGAAACAATAGGCCTGTTTCAGACGGAAATTGGCTGGTTGATCATCTGTCAGGCGCGAGGACAGACAATCTTGTGGAGACTCTGCAGGTCAATAGCCACTAACAGCTTCCAGGGCAGTGTACGACGAAGAGTCCATACATTGATATTTGGACCACGCGGTTCTCAGCCGTCTTCCACTGCTAAGAAACCAGCACAGACACATCTATTACGTTGATGAAAATGGCCAAAGTTGCTTTGATTACCGGAGGAGGTAGGCTCATTCTTCAGAAACGAGTCTATGAGTCCGAAGACTAACAACTGATCATATAGCGAGTGGAATGGGCTTAGCAGTAACAAAAGCCCTATCCGCCCGCAGTGACTGGCACATTCACATTCTAGACATCAACGAAGAGCGTGGAACCCAGACCACAAAGGAAGTGCCGAGAACAACCTTCCACCGCGCAAATGTGACCCAATACAGCGATCTTGCAGCAGCGTTTCAAGCCGCCTTCTTAGAGAGTGGTAGTCTGGACTTTGTATTCGCCAACGCCGGGGTCATCGAGCGAAACAATTTCTACGCCACTCACTCAGAGACTGGCAAGGATGTCTCCCCGCCACCAGAGCCAGACCTGCTCTCAATCGATGCTGATTTGAAGGGTGTCGTTCTGACCTCTTACCTGGCTCAGCACTATTTCCGCCATTCGCCCCATGCCGGCAAGGGTACGAGTTTGGTGATGACCGCTAGTTGTGGTGGTCTATATCCATCGTTTTATTCGCCATTGTATTCTGCGGCCAAATGTGAGTCTCTCTTGTTCCCTGTTCCTGGTTATCTCACGCTGTCATACGATGGTATTGTCGAGGTGATCTCTCCATTCTCATAGCATCATATCACATCAAAGATAATATATCGCCCATCCTAGAGACTTCAGTATCAGACTAACACCCCCGGTCTCTTCTAGTCGGCGTCATCGGTTTCATGCGCTCTATCTCCCAGCACTTCGCAGTAGGTGGGACCCGAGTCAACGCCATCTGCCCGGGAATTGTCCGAACCAACCTCGTCGACTCGAATGGCTGGGATAGCTTCCCACCGGAGCGGTTCATCGAAGTGGAAATGATCGCCCGTGTCGTCCTCCAGCTCGTGGACGGCGGCGAACCCGCGGGCCAGGGGTTGACTGATTCTTGGGGCTCGCATCTGCCCCTTTCTAGGCTGTATGGAGTGGCAGTGGAGATATCGGATGGCGGATTGTACTTCCGTGATCAACACTCTTTCTGTGATGACGGGATGCGGGCAGTCATGGCGGCCACAGATGTCGAGAACCAGGTGGGCGCTATTTTGAATGCTGATTAGATGGGCTTTGCTTGCGGGATTTGTTCGGGGTTGACATGGCCAACTAACACAGTAGTTCAACGGACTAACGTGGATTTCATCAAACTTTGTGAATCCTTCCACCGGTGTCCTTCTAGATTAGGGGCTTGGCAATGATCTGTTTCGCACTGGTGGCATGATAGTCTCCTATTAACGTTTTGCTTGACTCCATAGCGGTACCCAAATATCAACACAGTAAGACACCGGAAGGAGTTCCGGTCAATCTTTTCAGACTTGACTTTTCTTCACAGGATTCAGAGTCCAATTCCAATCAAAATTTAGCCCCCAATATGCCGCTGAGTAAATTTAGGCTATGATCCACCCCCAAGCCCGAGGCGTTTACCCGAGCTGACACCGGCATGGAAATCCTTGCAGGCCTTGCAGGATAACCGGTAGGATTTACATGGAATGCAAAGATACAATACGCACAATCACATATCGCATGGATCAAGTGGCCCAAACGCAACGCAATGTTCAACCCAGGGATCGATCGCATGCGTTCTACAGGATTCGTGGCATGCGGGCCGTACGGGACGAGCGCCCCTCCCTTGTGGAGCAAAGCTTGGACATGGGCAGTCCACAATAGACAAATAGAAGACCCTTCAAGGTAGGTGAAACAGGTGGAGACCGAGACAGCGGCAAGAAAGACACTCTCGAATATGATATGACATGACATGGCAGATGAGAGCTCACATTTATGAACGTTAGACCCACACGGGCTAGAAGTCTATTGCTGCAGGACAAAATACACTGTACAGTACTGCAGGATTGTTGAGCACAGTCCGACCATTTGATTGACCATCACCAGTGGAGCCTGTTGTACTTTTGCCGGTTAGCGTGAGTTAGGGCAACGGTAGGCTCGGGCCAGATATCGCTCTTCCCCGGTCTTATGGGATCGCCTCTGACAGGTTGGAGTCCTCGCCGTGCATCATGCGGAACAAAGGCTCCCACACTGTTGTAGCCCGCCGGGTGATATGGCCATTTCCAGGCTCGGGCATTGGACAGTAGATCAGTTTCTCGGCTGAGCATTCTAATAGCTGGCCGGTCATGCCGGTGGCATCTTCCAAGAAGGTTTCATAGGCGTCGAGAATGGTCTGCACAGGGGTGAGACTGGAGCGTTACATGTCAGTGCTCTTCACTTTCTACTTTGTGTGTGTGTGTGCGTGCATACGCACAGAACTTACCATTCCGGCGTGACGGCTGCTATCATCTCTGGCGGGACAATTGGTGTGTTCACAATCCCCGGCATGACACAGTTAATCAGAATGTTTTCTTTCTGCTTCAGCAAAGGTGCGACACCGCGGATGAAATGGTTGACTGAAGCCTTGGTGCCGCAGTATACGGGATAGGCCTCGTGAGGGAAAACACCGCCAATGCTCCCTGTGACAACAATGCGACCCCCGGCTGCGGGTTATGGCGCATGAAGTGGATGGCCAATTGTGTCCCGTACACCACGCCCTTGTAGTTGATATCCACAACCGAGAGGTCGGGGGGTGCTGGGATGTCGTCGACGCCCTTCTTCTTGGAGTCGTAAATATAGACGGAGGAGGTGTCGACAATGCCGGCGTTGGCGCATACCGCATCAATGTGCCCCCAGAGCTGATACACGGTGCGAAACACCTCTGCCAGCTGTGCATAGTTTGAGACATCTGCGGGATAGAAGCGGGCTCTTTCTTGTGGGAGATCCTTGAGGAGGGCCTCGCCGGCCTTTCGGCGTCTGCCCACACAGGCGACTCTCCATCCTTTTGCGCAGAGGTCCTTGACAAGGTCAATTCCCATGCCAGACTGTGGTGCTCTGTGGGTTAGTGGTGACTCGCGGACTGTGCATGTTCATTGTACTAACAGTGGCGCCGGTGACGATTGCAACGCGGGTTTCTATGTGTGAGCCCATTTCAGAGGATTGATACTGTAGGGCTTGATAGTGGACTGAATCTGAAACTATAAGAGCATCTGGCAAAGCTCAACTATCTAGCCGAGGGTCATTCTCGTAATTCTAGTCCTTCTAATCATGATATCCAGTCTAGTCAATTTAGTCCTTCTAGTGCAAGCCGATCCCTGAACTCGGCCGGTCGTTACTGAACTCGGAACTAGTCTCACAGCTCTGAGTTTTCGTCGGAATTGAATGGAGTGGGACATTTTCCACATTGCGCATTGGTCAAAGCCTAACCCTAGCTCATCCCATCGTATCATAGCTCATAGTGCTGCCAGGGGTGTCTGCCATGTGTTTCCTGCATTGAAGGACCCATCTAGCCGATTGAAGCTTATGATAGAAGCCGTTTAAGAGCCACTTCTTCTCTTTCCCCCTCCTTCCCACTGTTCTCCTGTTCAACTACACTATGACTGTCGACGCGGAAAAGGACCCGGTGCAGGAAACCGGCTCTGTGAAGGATGCGCCAAGCTCTCCTTCTACTGTTGCCCATGATAATGGCCCTGTACCGGCGGAGCCGGTCGTTGCCTTTAAAACATGGATTGTCGCTTCGGTAAGTGTTTCTGTTTACTTGTTGAGCATTAATGCTCATCAGTCACTATCAATAGATTCTCTCGTGCGGATATGGCCTTTCCTTCTGGCCTGTTCCCGTCGCAGCTGCCATTGGCACTATGGTCTCCGCAGATATGGGCGATCCGACGGGGTATATTTGGTTTGTTCCTGTATGCAATATTCGAGGCATTTCAATGGAGCGAGGCTGATGCAATTCAAGGCATGGACTATCTCGATCACCTGTGCTTTCTTGATCTTGTACGTTCTAGCCCTAATCCCTTGATGATTCTATACTTACGATAGTATACAGTGGCCCCAACACTGATCTTCTGGGTCGACGATGGTTCTTGGTCCTGGGCAACTTGGTAAGGATCTAGCTGTATACAGCAAGAAAAGAATCGCATGTTAACAGGTGTCTAGGTATGTTTCGTCGGTCACATTGTGGTAGCTTCAGCCAAAACCACAAACCAAGTCATTGCAGGCCTTGTCATCTCCGGCTTTGGCGGTGCTAACTGTCAGGTACGCAAGATCTCAATATTCAGGACACTGGGCCGAGCTAACAGCAGCCCCAGATGGCAGCATTCGCCTTACCAGAGCTCCTCCCAAACAAATGGAGACACATCGGCGTCGTGATAGCCGATTTCACTGTCTACATCGCCGTCATCGTAGCGCCAGTGACGGCAAGATACGGCTACGAAATGGGCAATTGGACCTGGAACTTCTGGGGTGTGGCCATCTTCCAAGGTCTATCCTTCTTCGGACTTCTATTTCTCTACCACCCCCCAAAGCACCCGTAAGACCGCGATCCCATTTCCAAGGCTAAATTCATTTCAACTAACACCTCATTCAGCCTCGGAATCCCATACAAAGAAGCCCTCAAAAACCTCGACTACCTCGGCGCCTTCCTCTTCATCGGCGGCGCAGTCCCCTTCCTAATGGGCATCGTCTGGGCAGGCGTCTACGACTCAAACGACGCACATGTTGTAGCACCGCTGGTAATCGGCGCCTTTGTCCTGATCTGCTTCGCGCTGTGGGAAACCTTCGGCAAGCTGAAATACCCACTGACGCCAACATACATCTTCTCCAGTTCCTGGGGTCGGGATTTCACCGCGCCAGTCATTGCATTGGGCGTTGTCAACATGTTCTACTACTCGTCCAGTATTCTCTGGCCGCAGATGATAACCGCCTTCTATACGAATGGCGGCGCAGACTGGAAGTATTCAGTCATTCTGTCTCTGCCGCAGGGTTTTGCTATTTTCTTCGGTGCAATCTTGCTTACGCTTTTCGGCAGCAGATTAAGACATTGGCAGTGGCAGCTTACAGGGTCTGTTTTTGTCATGGTTGTTTTCGGCTCGTTGCTTGGTCTTGTTACTCCTACGAACAAGGGGACCATGATTGCGTTTATTTTCCTCTCGCAGGCTGGGTTTGGGTGGGCGATTTATTTGAGTATTGCTATTACGCAAATGGGCGTTGAGCATAAGAATTTGGGTGTTAGTGGTGGGATCTCAGGGTGTATTCGATTTGCTGCCGGTGCTGGTATGGTTTCTCGTCCTTTTTGCGCGTTTGGCTGTGGTTGTGGTTGTGGCTTTTGCTAACTTGACTTGTCTCAGTTGCGACTTCCATCTATCAGACTGTCTACAGCAACTCCCTCAGCAAGTATACAGCCATTTACGTCCCCTCTGCTGCCATTTCTGCCGGTCTGCCCGAGTCCAAGACTGCAGATATTGTTGCAGCAGTGGTTCAAGGCGCATCTGCCTTGAAATCTTATAGTCCTGCCGTCGCTGCTGCTGCAGAGGCAGCCCTCAGCCAAGCCTATTGCAAGGCTATGTTGTAAGTATCAGCTCCTACAGCGGTCCCCCCTAGATGGCTTTCAGTTTTCTAATCATCACTAGCATCGTTGCAATGGTCTCAATGGCCTTTGGTATCTTGGGTCTTGGAGCTTGTCTCTGCTGCAAGGATGTCGATTCGAAGATGACCAACAAGGTAAACTACGCTGTTCTTCATTCGGGTTGTTTTCATTGCTAATCCTTGTTCTCTTAGATCGAGGTTTACCTCGAGAACACAGATCTTTCGGACCGGAACAAATTCCATTAGTCCATTAGATTATACAGAAATGCTGCGATAACGAATTTGGCTCAAGTTGCGTGTATTGCAATTTGAATGAAGCAGGCATTCAGCATGCTATTGATGGCCAACACATACCTGGGAACAAGAGATAGATTACCCGGACAAAGAAGTAGTGTATGATGTATCAAGACCTCTACACACAAAATGACATACCGGCCTCGGCCTAATGAGAATAATACAGGACTCTCGCTTGAGTTACGTTTTACCAATTCACAGCATCAAAACATAAAGCGCGTTCAAATTGAAGCATACCCTCTGCTACTAAGTCATACATAACTCTGCTGAATGGAGGGGGGCGTGGTTAATCGCACACATAGCAGAACCCAGTCTTGTTTCTTTCCCATGTAAAAGTCGACCATCACCAACAAAGTGCACCCTCATCATCCGAATCAACAGCACCAGTCCTCTTTCACGAATCACACCCGTGAAGGGCTTCAAGTCCTTATCGAAATGATGGGTGTCTCCGGGGGAATCTGCAGGAAGGGAAGACAGCCTCGGTCCAGCGTAGGTCGTTGCAACAGAGCCGGGTAAACGATAGCCAGAGATGGGCGTGTGCGATTGGTCTCGATTCGATTCGCGACAAGACATTGTCGTCATCGCGGAGTCAGAAAGCCACATACATACTCATTCATTGAACGCTCAACTCGAGCCAGACTCACACGGCTGTTTGTGGCCGTCGGTTGCCAGCAATGGCGCTGATATTGGGATTGCCGGGTAAAAAAGTAGTGAAATACATCCGATCTCAGTCCAGGTACGGTATGGCATGTTGCATGACCATTGGATCTGTTTGAGCCTTTGTGGATGAATAGACCTCGGTCCGGACGGTGACGGTGTTCATTACCAGTTGACATCGCTGAGCTGGAGTTTGCGAGACCGGAAAGCAGAGCGGTTGGCGCCGGCCTTGTCCATCCGCTGGCTGGTCGGGGCGCGCTTTTCCTGCGCTGCTTCTGCGGGCTCGGGCTCGTTTGAGGCCTCGTAGTTCAGGACCAGGTTCTTGATGCGTTGTTGCTCTTCACGGTCTGCTTGTTGTTGGCTTCGCATGGCGATGGCGAAGGTCGAGTCTGATGGGAGGTCGATGGTGCGGGTCTGGATAATATTAGTTTTTCTGAACGCCGTGTGATATGTCGTTATGTGGATGTGGAATCTTACCTGTTGCTTGTTGCCCTTCTTTGTCATTAGAGAGAATGCCATTGTCTTCGGTGCAACCGGGACAGCTGGAACAGGCTCGGGACTCGAATCGCTAGGCATGTTCTCACGGGGAGGCCGCTTCATAGGCAGGGGGATATCGAAAACGGTCTTGCGCTCAAATCGTCTGGAATCCATACTCTCGGCCATCATCTTCTCGAACTCGCGATCGAATTCGGCCTCGGTGGCAGGGTCTCGCTCCTCCTCCTGTCGGGTGACAATAATCTGCTCGTCCTCGGATTCGCTTTCGCTGTCTTCATTCACATCCTGGTTGGGTCCGGAAGCCTGGGGTTTGTCAGAAATTTGGGGTCCTTGAGAGTGAGCAGGGGGTGTGCTCACTTCTTCTTCGTCACTCGATTCCTGCTCTTCATCAATGTCAGGGATTGCATCATCTTCAAAACCCTCATCGGACGAACTGCTCTCCGCTTCTTCTTCCTCAATGTCTGCTTCCACCGGTCTCTCCGAATCTTGTACGTTGTAATTCTGGGCAACAGCCTCGCTGAAAATTCTTGTCGCTTCTTCGACCTCTGTGGCTAGCTTCCATTGGGGGCGGATAGACGAAAACGTATCCTGGACAAGGAAGTCCACGTCCATGGGCAGGGGATCCTTGGTAAAAAGATAATACTGGAAGAACGAAAGGAAGAAATCGAGCTTCTTCTTAGCCGAGCCACGATCAAAGCAATGGCCACATGTATCGAGAAGCGTACATGCCAAGCGTAGACGGAAATAATCATCAGGCAAGTCGAGCATGGCGATTCTTCCAGGAACCGGTGTACCACCTTCATGGCCGAAGGTGATGATGCGGTACAGCGTATCGAAAACGACCGGGGAATCAATCATCTTGTAGTTGTAGAGCTCGCCCAGGTACTTCACTTCTGCAATGCGCTTCTGGTTGAACTTGAAGTCGTTCTGCTCCAAGCCAAGTGTGATCTGCTCCAGGATGTTGTCGACAATTCCGATGACAAAGTCTTGGTGGTATCGGTACAAGGCACTGACGAGAATCGCTAGAAGGTGGATACTGCCATATTTGACCTTGACAGGTTTGCTGAACACGCGTTCCAGGATTTCCACAACCTCCTGTTCCTCCCAGTGAAGTTTGCGAATAGCCTTCAGAATCTTGGTGTAATTGCGCTTGTTCATATCCAGGTAGATCAACCGGCGGATGTACTGCTCCATGGGGGTACGTTCCTTCTGCTGGATGGCTGGGCGTGGTGGCGGGTCCACGTAGTAGATTGCATTCTCGATGACCATACGTTCCTGCTGGGCGAGATGTTGCACGGCCTTTTTGCGGCTCAGGGTCTCCAGGAAGGATGCCATCCGGGGTGATGTTTCTGGGTTGCGCAGCAGGTAACGACCACAGTTTTCTAGCAGGTTTCCGATGATCTCGATGTTCATGCGTGAAAAGTCATCGAGTGAAACCTTGAAACAATGGAAGATGATGTGCTCTGGGACCACGCCGAATTTTGTGAGTTCCGCTAGATAGCGCACATTTCCCATGCGTACTTGACCAAGGAACTCCTTTGCTTTGCGCCGCTGTAGACTTCGGAACTCCTCGTCGAGGTAGGTGGTAATTCCTTGCGGGATATCGGGAAGATACTGTCCAAGGGTTGCAACCAGGCGAGAGTACAACGGCAGAAGATCAATGCGGCCCTTTGGGATATCTGACACAGCCTTGACCAGTCTGTTTCGTGAAGCCTTTGAGTTGACCCAGCAGAAATCCAGAGCAAACTGGTCGACTTGATCCTTGGTCTGCAGCTCAGAAAGCTTCGCCAAAAGGGAATCCACCTGAGCGCCCACAGTTTTACTCGCGATTGTCGTCGATTGATCATCTGCCTCAACGGAGGACTTCTCATTCGAAGCCTCTATCGAGTCATTAGTATCGCCCTCAGTCTTCTTTCCACTCTCATCTGCTTCACTCTTCTTCTTCTTGCCGTCTTCTAGCAACATCGCCGGCACCTTCCCTTTCAAGTCGACAAGATTCTCGTAAAACCGTCTCTCTTCTTCGTCTTCCCATATCCCTGCACCTTCACCCTGGCCGCGCAGGTAATCAGCGGTCTTAACAAGGCCAATTCCACCGCTGGCCGAAGCATCGGTGGTCTCTTTCTCAACAAGATCAGGCATCTCGGTCCCCAGAGCCTCACATAGCACCTGGGTGTTGGCCACAAGCTTCTCCAAGGATTTCGTCTGTTTTTCAAAGTTGGCTTGACGGTCCTCAAAGATCTCGCCGCTCTTCACATAAGCTTCAGCGTTGCGGCGGTTCTGCGCTGCCAGTGCTCTCTGGTCCCGAACAACATGCGCCTTAACGTCGTCGAGGTACCGGTTCAAGATGTTCCGGAATCGCTGCTGAGTCTTCTCAGGGGTCAGAGGAAGGTCAGCTTCGGCATTCGATTCGCCATTACTATCGGCCTGGGCATCGCTGGAAGTCGTGGCACCATCCGCCTCAACAGTCTTCCTTCCATCTTCTGCGAGCTTCGAGCCAACAATATCCCAACTGAAACTCTTCACGAAGAGCACAGCAAGCGGCAAATTGGTATGGTCGCGGTCATGTCCGAGCAATTCCTTCAGAACCTCCAATGGGAACGGTTCGGCTTGTTTGTCCTGGTCCTTCGTTCCCACGGCAGGCGATTTAGCCTTGAGAAGCGCGTCTGATGTCTTGCCCCCGATGCCAACGGCACCATCTTTGCCCTTCGCGCCTAGATCTTCAGGCCGCTCGACGTCATCCAGAGTCTTGAGAACATTAACCAGCCAGAGCTCCGTAATAACCCTGAGAAGAACGCGATGACGAGACAATCGGTCCTTTTCTTCCCGTTCGCGAATCTCCTGCGTCAAAGCCTTCAACTGTGCCTTATCCGGTGTGCTCAGACCGCGGCCGAGCAGCCAGCCAATCTGTCGCGTGAACTCCCATGGTCCGAATCGCTGGTGCAGCGCGCTGACGACTTCAACCCCTGCGGCGATTTCTCCGGGTGATTTGAGCTTGCACAGTCCTTCATAGCAGGCGGAAATGATCTCGGAGAGGTACTTGTGAAGCGACAAGGTACGAATGTCAGCGAGGAAAGTGGACAGGGCGGAGGCACTGATTCCTGTCCGAAGCCGCTTGATAAAGGCGGTGTTCTTTTTCAGCGCCGAATCGAGGGATTTGCTCGTGTTGAATACGTCTGTGTTGTCGTTAGTCTCTGAACCGGATCGGTCATGGGGCGGGACTGCGAGGCAGTTCCAGATCCATCGTCGTCATCATCACGACCGGCGATGGGGTCACTCGTACCGGATTCGCCTGCCCAGGCTCGCTCATTCAGGTCGCGAAGCTCCCCTGTGAGAATCTGTCAGTTTTTGTGGAGTGAGTCTCTGGGTCTGGAATCTGTACTTTTCCGCTGGCGATCCATCTTCTGTGTGTGCACAGGTTCAATCGTGGGGTCGTTTCTGAATGTCCGAAAGGAATGCGCTTGGGTGACTGAAACGCCGCATTGGGGAATGGAGGTTGTGAAGAGAGTAGCAATCGCCTGAGAAAGCCGGAAGCTGAAAGCTGAAAGCTAAGAAGCTGGCGGAGGCCGAGTTCCACGTTCCAAGGCGGTGCGGAGGTGGACTTTTTGCTTATCCACCGTGCGATAGCGTTGCCTACTTCATCCCAGCCCTGGAGGGTATGCTGATAGGAGTCATCCAGACTGAATAGTTTTATTGCGTTGCGCTTACTTCGATCTGACTGCTAACTAAACCTAGACAAGCTCAATTTTCGACCTCAATCCCATTATTACTCCAAACCCCCACTTCCTCAGGCCGATCCATCATTAACGCAAGCACTAAGTCCAAGCCCAAGCACCAGATCCAGTACCAGTATCCATTTGAGACCCAACGACCGCCTTAATCCCCACTATGCGCCTCCGTAAACCCCATCTCGCTGCCCTGTCCGGACCCAAGCAACTGTCCTTGCAGCTGATGCTTCCGGTCCTCATTACTCCAGCTCTGGCGACGATTAAACGTCGGCTTCCATTCATCCTGGGTGGCATTGGTTGACTCTGATTTCTCGGGAGACTCGAGGTCTTGAGATGAAGGCAAAATGACATTTGCCTGCCCGTGCATCTCGTCGAAAGGGTTGTGTTCCTGGGTTGGGGGCATTGTGGTAGTAAACTGGAGTATATCGTATATCGATGATATAATATACTAGAAATAGATACGGCAGTGCGGGATGAGGTGATATGTGTTAAGGAGGACTTATTCCTGAAAGAGGATTTCAATTGAATTGAATTGGATTTAAAGAACAACCGTACCCAGCTCAGACTGTATGTCTCTTATATACCTCGTGGTGAGGGGTATGTAAAGTCAAGCTAGGTGGCGAGGTCTCTGAGATCCCGGAAGATGTTGCAGTGGGATGGATTGGAAAACTCTCGTACAAGGCAGTCGAGAGGAGCATGTCCTATGTGATCGAATGGGCGATGTTCAATGGGGATGGGGATATAGGGTATGACGTGTGGTGGCGATGGAAGCACATGAACCCGACAAATAGAGAAGCTATAGCTCAAGAGTGTGGAAAGACTGTTGATTCATTTTGAGAATCACGAAAGCATCCATGGGTTAATTTCAATTGTTGTGCTGGTACTCGCATTGACATGGGATAGTGATGGGATGGTGGCGATGGTGGTGATAATACGAGACGAACCCTGTAGCGAGAGATTTTGTATCACTTCATTGATAGATGCTACGGCACTCATGTCTATCATATGAATTTCATAATGTACTGTCTACATCTGCGCACCAACGTCGCATGAGTACCAAATGATTGGGTGGCAGGGCATCCGAAGGTGCTCGTCCTGCACTGTTCTACGTCAAGGGACCAAAGTATAATAGTGACATATTGAAATTGACGAGCTAGCATACAGGTCATGATTGCGTTCAACCGTCGAAAAGCAGACCCAGGGAAAGGCAAAAAATCAACGAGGCAACGGCAGAGAGTAAGGTACAAACATAGTCCGCAAGGTACGCGTGACATAGTCGTAGGCTGTCTGGGCAATAGACAGACAAACAGGTAAAGCTGGTAAATGGGGTTTCTTCCCAAATGAGAAAAGACACAGGCAACACACAATGAAAGCGGGTTTCAACAAGAGTGATAAAACCCATGCGAAGCAAACAAAGAAGTCGACTTCAAAAAGCATCCGGGTAAACCAATTTTGGCTCTATCAGGCCCATCGGAACCAAGCCGATATACAGGCGCTTTTGGGACACCACATATCGTACAAGTCGATACTAAGAACAACAAAGAGAAATACCCCCCAAAAAAGCAGAGCAGGAAAAGAAAAAAAAAAAAAAACAAGAAGAATGAATTAACAACAGGGTATGCCTCACGCCACGCTATGCGAGTCACCCTGGTCGATAGATCGGGGTGACAAAGAATCACTGCAAATATGTACTGAGAAAGCCCATCCTATGACGGAAAGACATTAGGACTTTTAGTCAATGGCTCATTTAGGCTTACGCCAGAAGTATTGCTAATGAGTTGTTAGTAAGGTCCAGAGTTGCAGGGGTACTTGTGAGGAACTAACCTTGTGCTGCTTCCGACAGTTGCGCAGCCCGGGCTTCCGAAGATCATTGACCACAGCAGACCGTCTCATCACATCATCATCCTCGTCGGGAATATAATAGTATTCACTCTCGAGGGGCTTGCCCGCTGCATCTTTTCCTTCACGGGCAACTCTTCCAATGAACTTAGTTGTTTGGAGGATGGTACGAATCTCAGACTTTGAGGGACCAGAGAGGTTCGAGTGGCTGGATCGCCAGAAGGCAGGGGGGAGGTTGTTCAAGATGGTAGAGAACGGTGTGGACGAGAGGCGGGAGAAAGCCAATTGGTTGGCAGCGTGGTTGCGAACTCGCTCGAACCGTTCATCGGTGTACAGAGGCTTAGCCTCAGGGGTATCGTGTTCCTGGTCTTCAAGGGCTTTGGCAGGTTGCCTGGGAGAACGTGTAGGCTGGAGGGGTTGGGCTGGCAGCAAGCTGCGTGGGGAACGAGCAGTTCGAACGGGAGAATCACCTGCCCGGAAAGACGCCATACGGGGAAGAAGGTTGTCGCCAAATGGACCGAAGGAGTGGATAATAGGATCGTTCTCCTCGTCATTATCGGAGAATTCCTCGGATCTACTGTGGTCACTGAACTCGCTCGCGTGTGACGTGTTAAGCATAGCAGTGGCACGACGGGCGCTTTGGGAGGTCACACCAGTGACCGTGTTGTGACGTTTCAATGGGGAAGGCTCATCCTCGAAGACAACAACATCAACGCGAGACCGGGAAGGGGTAAAGATAGGTGAAGATGGGGGAATGGCATGCTTAACAGCAGGCGACGGGGACACAGGTGAGGCCAGACGCTGACGTTCTAGCATTGGACTTTCCTGAAGCTCCCGTCGAGACTGGCGTCTCTGAGTTGGTGTAGCTTCATCACTGGTCTGTTCCGAGTCGGTAGACGGGCAGTCCCTCCTGTCACCACGGGGCCATTGCACCAGCACGCGAGCATCGTGGACATCAATCATGATATCCGCATCCTTAATGTCCGAGGTGAAAGTTTTTCCTTTGGCTAGGTCATATTTCCTCCCTTGGCAGTGGATCTTGATTCCATTCCATCCCATGCAGACGATCTCAACCCTATCCCGGTCGAATGGGTTCGGAGCAGGCTTGTATGTAGCTTTGACATGAACACGAGAGATCATGCGGCTGGCAGCCAGCTGATGATGGCAAGAGACACTGGATCGACCCATCAGAATAGGTTCACCACTCTCCAACAGCATAATCGAAGGCACGGCGGACAGGGGAGCTCGTTCGAGGGCGGCGGAAAAGGACCGGGTCAGCGAAGGACGAGAGCCAGCGACTCCAGGAGGAGGAGACGACGACATAATATGAGTCGAAGAGGTCGGGACAGGCGTAGGATAGGTCGAGACTTCGGGTTCCCGTGCTACACGTTTGTGAGGCCGAGGAAGGGAGGGTGATGAGCTCAACGGCTCAAAGGCAGGCAGCAACGCTGCTGGACGTTTCATGCCAGCAGCTGGAGCAGCAATGCTACTCTTGAATGGAGAAGACTCCATGGTATTTAGTGGGACGAAGTCGTCACGAGCTCACACTCACGAAAAAAAACCCAGAGTCGAGGTCGAGGACCCGCGTCACCGCGTGTTGTGTGAACAGAAAGAAAGACCTAGAGTATTATGGGAAGAGACGTAAAAGACGTCAGGGGCCTCCCCCTTAAGAAAAGGGTGTGGGTGGGAGGAAAGGAAGTGGTCAAGGAGTAAGGAGGAGAAGCATTGAAGAAAAAGGCAGGTGTGTGGTGGTGGAATGTCCTGGGGCGGAGCGTCTCGTCCCTGCGCGGAAATGCACGCTTACAGTCCGAGACGCGTTCCATAGGCGCCCCGGACCCTCCACCTTTTATTCGCGATTCTAATTAATTTACATAGGTAATTGAGATATACATTTCCTGCACACTATGGACCAAAACGTGAAAGGGCGCGATTTAGAGGATTGTTTGCTGTAATTCAGGGCGTCAACTCTATACACTTGGAAATGACAAAGCGCGTCCGCGTCTCAAGTCACGTGCCTGTGACCTCACAGCGCGGTTTGGTAGCTACGGTCACCGTCAGGAATGGGATCTTTCCTATATCCAACATTGTTGCTGGGATGAAGTATGTCTATCAATGATAAGAAATCATGATCTGATTCCACCGAGGCAGCCCTTAAGTCTCGATGGTCGGTCAGATCCTTCAATACTAGTGGCATCGACGTATTGAACAAAACCCAGCCGACTATACAATTAGCACAGAACCAACCCCACTGCTGTCACGAAATAGGCATCCGACCGCCCAGTCGCGTTTCTCCCAGCCACCCCCAGTTGAGTTGGTTTGCTTTCTGATATAATTTGGTACGTGATTGGTCTGGAAGGTTCTCTGCAATGGTTAAGAAAACACAAGCGGTTAGGAGCTGGCTGGGTTTTGCGTATGGTTTGCACAGTGGGGCGGGTGGTTTGAATTTTTGATGTCATGTGCTGGGGTCATGTGTTTGGGTGCATTCAAGCACTGTTTTCCAAATGGAATTTCTCTAGTGGCTTGTAATGACTATGGCCATTAGCGGCTTCAATGGTTAATGTATAATTTTAGAGCACTTTGTATACATTCCTTACTTCAAATATGACTTCGACATTGATTCCACCGTGTTCATGAGGATATATATTTACGGACGAGATAGCAGCTGGAACGCAACTTTCATCTCTATTATCACAGAAAAGGCAAGCAGACCTAGTAACAGTGAGAATTATACTAAGTCTTGTTAGGGAATCTTAAGTGATATCAGGAATGATACAATGATGCATTTTTATACCTCTCATGTGGGGCATACACTACATGGCATCACGGTAGGTGATAGATCACAAACTATATCACCAAGCGTTCGCCACCACAGGAAATAATTGGCTACTCCCTGACATGAACTGATCATGATAATGATTGTTTGACGACATATGCTTGTGAAGAATGGAGTCGATGAGTTATAGATTGTGTTTGGATTATACGTGCGCTTTTATACCTAGGAGGTCCCCTTCAAAGGCTAAACAAGTCAAAGTAACACCCCGTGGACCCCCCCGCTATGTGATCTTCGTTTTTCGACCACTTATCAACCAAGCAGTCTGAGGTCCTGTCTTCCATGATCAATACTGGAGATAGACATCACCACCGACTGGAAAGACATAGAAGGATTCGATGAACAATCGGCTGTGTTCAACGGACTTCAATCTCCAGAGACTAATCTCCAGAGACTACTGAGCCTCACAGCCAGTCAATTCAATTCGATGGTTGAGTTGGGAGGAAGCCAGATGCGAGGTTTAGCCTCGGCTGTACCAAGGGCGTGGTAATTGAGCTCTTACTTGGCGACCACCTTGATGTCATTGTCATCTCTCGGATGCTTCCCCCCAAATTTCCGACTCCCTACGTAATGGTCGCGAACCAACCTTGGAAGCCCCTCAACACGGAGGAGTGCATCGAAGCCGGTCCAAGACTTATGTCAGCGGTGTCACTCTCCCAGGGGCTCGAAAGGTCAAGTGCGACTTGATCTTGCGACTCCACAAGGGCATTTGCACCAACAGCGAACAACGTGCAGAGCGCCGTCATAAGAGGGAACATAAAAACCCACACAGTGGAGGTATTCTGCCATTCCAATCAATCGTTGACACCCTCACGGCGGCATACTTCAAATATCTCTATCATAGAATGCCCTTTGATGCAGTCTGGGTCAGGTGCTTTAGTATACCTACGTACCGGATTTCCTTAAATGATTCTTGGCTACCTTTTCTAGATCAGAAGTGACATTCATGTTCCAAGCGAGACCAGCAATACGAGAAATTATGACAAGCAAAACTAGCAATATGGGAATTTCAAGCAAGACTATCACGGAAGCCGAAGGGAAATCGATTCACCCAACTTGAGCTTCATCGACTTGGTAACATCACCCATGCTCATAGCTATTTCAGGAACCTCTAGGTAAGTTCTGGGTCTTAGTTGAAGGGAACAGCAAACATCGAATTTGGGCTGAAGCCCATGTCCTCGACCTCTTTTGTTATCTCAACAAATGCCCAATCCATGAACCGGTTACCGAGAATTCTTGATTTGCTAGAGGTCACTAACACAGTACCTAACATATCAAGCATGGCATTGACGGTGCTCTCCTTTTCAAGCAGTGTATCAATACTAGTTTGCAGTGTAAGGACCATTTTCTTGAGATTTGGGTGTGCCTCATCCTACATTTTCTGCTTCTCGACCGTTGTAGATACCACCCCCAGCTGGGCACGAATCTGCTCCAAATTGCGAGTGACTTCCTTGAAGGTCGCACGTCGGTCCGTCATACTCGGAGATTGGAGGTAAATCGGCTAGGTGAGCGGGCGATCAAATGTAGCCCCGAATTGATCGAGATCGAGAAGGAATGCGCCAGGGTACTCGTTAGAGATTGAAGGACGAAACACCTGGTAATTGGTGAGAAATCCCCATGCACCACGTCTTTGTGGACCAACTCTACCTATCCCCCGAGTATCCCAGTTGTTACAAGCCATGCTAGAGCTAGCGTATGGCGTAATTTGAAACGTTACGTTAAAAGCACACTGCTCCCTGTATAACAGTGGATGTAAAACATTAGCGTTAAGATTAGCACATTTTGAGTATTATATTTCACCTTATACCTCACCTCAAATTTCACCTCATTTTTTACCTCATATTTGACTCAAAAAATGCATCAAATATATCAGAATAAATTATATTATACAATGAGTGACTCAGACATACATGTCCTCGCTCAGGATAGAGAGAGATCGGGAACTTGCGAGATGAAAGATAGACAACAATTCCACTCAATTTCTTGATTATTAACTTATGATGATACTCCTTGATATAGCATCATATTACATGAAATAGTAGCTCATCTACTTTTCCGCTACCTTGCTGGTTGTTGGTGTTTCACTGCTAGCATCGACCTTTCTGCTCGACCAGATTGCCATCGCGCCATCCCCATTTCATTAGTTAATATGAGGTGAAAATAGGTTGAATAAGAGGATATATAAAATACTGAAAATGCGCTAATCCTAACTCTAATGTTATACATCCACTATTATACAAAAAGGGGCGTGTTTTTAGCATGGCCTGTATCTATTTGGCCGAATCAGGCAGGAAGCTGTCATATTACGCCACAGCATGTCTAACATTGAAGTCCTGGGGAAGTTTCAGAAGTGAGAAACTTGAGACGAACTGCCTCCGACGAGATCCATGGTTTTTGTTCAGTTGATATTCTTATTTTCAAATCAAGCAGAACAATTTTCGTCTCTAGAGGGTGAGGCTAGTCTTAGAACATTTATAGCGGGTATAGAATAAGTAGAAATAATGTGATCTCGATAGTTCTGACTATCGAGTGACTTTCATTTTCCACTAGTTATCAAACAATATGCAGTCATGAAGCTATTCCTAACCCATCGGACTATTCAGCTCGTCTAGGCCGATACAAGTCCGATACAGTAACAAAATTACAATGCGAGGATGTCAACTGGCCAATCAAAATGCGCATCGCAAGGATGCCATTCCGGTTCACTTGAATCTACTCTTGCATCCTTCCAAACTGACATGGCTAGAAAGTCTTTCGAAGTCTCTTGCCATGTCAACGTCAAGTCGCCGGCGTAATCGCTCCTTGGCTTCTTGTGAGCCATGCCGGAAATCAAAGATCCGATGTGACCACCGGAAACCGATTTGTGCCTCTTGTCAACGCCGTGGTCTCCACTCACAATGCTGGTATCATCCTGCGCCTCTGACCAAACAACAGACTTCTCAAGAACCGACTCTATCAACTCCGCCTCTCTCATACCATGAGGCACAGGAGGGACCTTCGAATAAGGTCAACAATCCCCCTGCTGGAACTCCAATCTTCCACGCATGGCCGTTCATGTCGGCTGACCCCAGTGGTTCGACATCGCAGGCCACGATACCTGGGCATCACAACTACAGCATAAAAGCCCACAATGAGCACTTGGCGACCATCGAAGACATTGTCTCACAACTGAAACTATTGCCAGTCATTGAAAAACGACTGCAGGAGTATTATTCATTCAGTCAAGTTGCACTTGTGCCTAGACCGCTTGTTTTGCAGCTGGTCGCTTCCATTCGGATTGGTCTCGCAACTGCAGGCTATATAAAGGAAGAGAGTGACGACGAAATCTCCGTTCACCATTGTTCGCGACTAGCAGAGGATCTTTTACGCTCATCTTCATCGGAAGTTATCATCACGCCAGACTTGGACTTGGGGGCCTTCTGTGCGTTATTCGGCGGGGCACATTTGCGCATAGAAACTATAGGGTTATTGTATACCATGGCAGCACGATCATCTCTCTATGCTGTAAGTCACAGACGCGAAAAATACCAAGATGATGGGTTCATTCAGGAAATGGCTTGGTATGGCAACTTGAGCTTGCGATTGTCTCGAGAACTTGCACCCCAAACAACTGATCTGATGATATGGCTTGCTCATGAAAGTCTCCAACTTACCACACTTTTCGAGGGAGACGCAAGTTAGTAAATTAGTTCAGGATTGACCGCTCGCATATTGACATTGCCCTAGGTCTAGGTGTTTGGAGACGGGTAGGCGACCTCGCTACAGATCTACTAGCTTTAGGTCTGAACAGAGAAGCCACATACTCAGATACGCCGTTTTTCTTGGCACAGTGTCGACGAAGAACTTTTGCTAGGGCTTACTATCTCGACAAAGTGTTCGCAGCAGTGTTTAATCGACCACCTCGAATAAACTCTCGACATGCAGACTGCAGCCTACCGTTGGACTTGTCTGATGATGAACTTTTCACATCGTCAGACCAACAAGAACAAGCAAAATGCAACCTTACACAGGATGGATGGAACACAGATGGGAAGCATAGAGCTGCAACGTGGGTTCGAATACGTTACATTCTAGCACAGTTTCGTGAAGAAACCGTCGAATATCAATTCCGATCAATACAACCGGCCGACACTATCAAGCTGAGGTATGCAATTTGTTTCCTATCTCCCTGATTTGAATATTGAACACGAAAATATAGAGATTTATCCAATCGCTGCCAGCAAGCGTGGAACCGTTTACCCTATTATCTTCAATACAGGCAGGACTGCTGGAAATCAAACCTCCCACCCATTCTTTGCTATATGCATGCAAAAGTCTACCTATCATATCTGCACATCAACTTCCAAATTCACCGATTACTTGGTAGTAGTGATGGTAACATGACTCCCCAGCTAGAGTTGCTTGAGGTGTCAGCGAAAATGCTCGAAACAATCGTACAAATGGCAAATTACCGCCGGAGAACCTCTTTCTCACCTCCCGATCTTCCTGGAATTGTATGTATTCCACTTTGAAGGTACGCTACCATAGTAGCTCTTATATTAACAGGACACAAGATTCTCTCATATGGTTTGCCATGTGCTGCAATCCTTTCAACCGCTCTGGATCCTGTTATCCAAGGTTCATCAAGGAAAACAGAACTTTCCCCCAGCATGAAGACCTCCAACCTCATTCGCAACCTCTCTGTCCTGGTAAATCAACTCGAAAGTGTCTCAAGCCCTAGTGACACCAATCATGTATTCTGCCTCAAATCCTCGAAGGCTATTTCGCGCAAGCTCGACCGCATATTGGATAGCTTTACAACATCCATTTCTACAAATCCTCCTGACCATCCAGAACCGGCCACGACACCTTATACGCTAGACAATGCATCCTTTGAGGCAATGGCGGATATTGATAATACTGGCCCTGTTGATTTCGACTTTTTCGATCTTGCGGATTGGGCAATTGATTTTGATAGAGGCGCTATGGGTGATGAATATAACATGGTTTGAGGACGTAGATGTGTCCGTAAGGAAAGCCAACAATGATCAATTTAGAGCTAGAGGCGCGTGCCAGTCCGGATCTCAGAGTCTGCATTCTATAACGATTCAACTCTAATCTCGACACACGTAAGGCTTTCTCCTACAACTCGCTACTTTTAGCAAAGCTCCCGCTGTTTGCTTTTCTAAGGCCCCATAAGCAGATCGACCAAGATATTCAAGACATGACCGCGGATTTCATCACATTCTTTCTGCCAATAGTCTTAAATAGTAGGATGACAATGAATTATGGCAGGTATTGAGCATTGCGTCCTTTTCTGTCAGGGTAATTTATGTAACCATAGGGCTGATTTGACGATAAATATCAAACAAGAGGCCTAATGATCATAAAGAATAGCTTGCAAGGATTTGTACTAGAAGAAACGTATATTTTTCAATTAATTTCTATGCTTTTCCAAAAAAGAATCTTAAATTCCCCTTGCATCAAGGGCATTTCGTAATGTTTTCTGGAAACCAAAGACATGCTCCGGCCCCAACATGGTGTAATGGGCACCTCCAACGTCATGGAAGCGCGGCGGCGACCGCGAGAAATCTTTCCAACTACTCAAATGCTCACTAAGCCACTGAGCCTTTGAAGAAGCTGCCACTGCCAGAGGATTGCAGTAGAAGACATCAATGCCAGCAATGGAACTGGCAGGGTCATAGTCAACAGCCATGCTTTGCAGGGCAAAGGCCAAGCAAGCCCATTTGGTGATAGCCTCAGACGAGAGGGCCAGTTCAGCAAGACGATCCTGATCAGCTTCGGCCATCACCCTCGCGAGGACCGCTTCCCGAGTAGCGTCTTGCATTTCCACAGCCAGTTCCCGCGCGCGATCCTCAGTCATGAGATCTAAAAAGTAGGAGAGATGGAGGAGACATTCTTTGTAGTCTAGCTGACGCATGCGAGTCTTGATATGGGGCGGCAGGTTGAAGGACCCAAGGAAGCGCACTTCGTCCCCGTTGCTCTCCAGTACTTTGCCCACCTCAAATGCCAGCATTGTGCCATATGAATAGCCTGCCAGTGCATACGGCCCGTGCGGCTGCTTTCGTTTGATGGCGGAATGGTATGTACTGACAACCTCTTCAATTGTCTCGAAGGGCTTTTCGCCTTCGTTGAATCCCCGCGCACGCAATGCATAGACTTTTCGATCTACCATGAATTTTGCTAGGTTGAGGAAGACGAGAACCTCACCCACACCTGGGTGGACAAGCCACAGCGGTGTGTTCTCGCCCTGGGACTGCAGTGTCACCGTGGGGTTATACTCGCTCGTTGATTGAGGACTCTGCTGGTCTTCCAATGCAATGGTTAGGTCGCGGACAACGGGGTTCGTCATCAAGGTGATTATCGGGATTTCATGAGCGAGGTTCAGCTGCTCTTCGATCTTCTTCTTCAATTTAATGAGTTCCACCGAGGTGATTCCCATGTCGAACAGGGAGGACTGCACATCGAATTCCTCTTCGGGTAGGTCGAGACACTTGATGAAGAGGTCAAGCAATTTTTCTTCTAGCTCATTGGAAGGGTTAACACGGGCCGTCGACCGGTGTAGCTTGATCGCTTCCGAATTGATCTCCTGATAGGAGCTGTAATCGCCCTTCTCAAAAGCCATCTTGATTTTAGATCGCGATAATTTGCCCAGAGCTGATTTTTGTAACTGTGACTTATCAAGAGGCAGAACTTGTGGTCGGGCACCTGTAGACATCATGGCAATTTTGGCCACCGTGTCCGCCGTTTTGGCTCGCGCGACGTCGTCGCCGGGGGCGTAGCTCGGCAAGTAAACCACGCAGATAACCTCGGTATCACCCCCTGGAGGGAATGAAGAAAAGCAACAAGTGAAGCTCGGGACCAGACCAGGAACTTTGCCCGGCTGGTCTAGGGCCGTCTCGATCTCCTGTGGACTGTACTTGACACCGTTGACGATCATTGATTCTTTAGCCCTTCCAGTTATGTGGAGATTGCCTTTGTCGTCGATGGAAGCCAGGTCACCGGTCTGGAACCAGCCATCGCTGGTGAATGACTGCTCGTTTGCAGCTGGGTTATTGAAGTACCCTTTAAAGAGGATGGGCCCGGACAATTCGAGATTTCCCACGGTCCCAGTCGGTGCCATGGCATTTTCCGAGGTGGTGATTCTCATGCTTAAGCCTCGTATGCATTTCCCTGCGGATGCAAACTCAAGACCTCGCTCGACATCATAGAGAGGGAAGTCCAAGTTGTAGATGGCACCGCCGCAGGTCTCTGTCATCCCGAAGCCCGGAGCAATGATGGTCTCTGGAGCACCATATCTAGCCAGCAGCTTTGCCACCGCAACACCAGTCTTGGTAACGTTTGCCTCGCCACCTGAGGCGATATACCGCAGACAGCTGAGATCCCAATCGTATGTGGTACAGCGGTCGCCATGAGCCTCGAGCGCGGTACGGATGCGAGCAAAGAAGAAATTCGGCGCGAAAGTACGGGAGACTCGATGACGGTCTATGATATCAAGAAAGGCAACAGGATTAGACAGGACATCCGGTGCCTGCACATGCACCTGGTCTTTATGGGCAAAGAGGGCTTGCAGGTGGATTTCAACAATGGCTGCAACATGGTCACAGCGGACCCAGTTTAAAAACGAAGTATTATCCGGCAATGAAACCACCTTGTACTTGCTGTCAAGTGCCATGAAGATCTGCTGGTGCGTGAGAATCACTGCTTTGGCGTTGCTGGTACTGCCAGATGTCAACATCAGTATGGCAATGTCGTCTGGCGTAGCGTCACGGCAGACGTTGCGCAATTCCGACGCTGGGGGTTTGTCTGTATCTAACGACTCAAGAGCGATGGGCGCGATAACATCTTGTCCGCCGAATTCGAACAACTTATCGGCTGTTGTGAGACATCCGGGATTTTTCAAAGTGGTTGCCAGGTGCATCAGGTGTGATATACGAGCCGCAGGGTTATTGGAAAGTGCTGTAGACATTGCTGGGATACACCCGGCCAGTATGACAGCCCAGAACCAGACTATGTTTTCCCAGTGTGTCTCTAGGTGAATGAGAACCACCCGGCCTGGATAGAAATCCGAACGGCAGCGAAGAGCCCAAGAAGCCTTCTGCGCATCTTCCAGCAACTGGCGGTAGGTGTATGACTTGGGCTTGGTGGTATTCCGAGGTTGATAGCAGATGACTTGGCCACTGCCTTCCTGGTCGGCGACGGCCTCCAAGAGGAGGGTTAGGTTGGCGAACGACATTTAGGGCTCAGAAGAATGCAGTGAATAATGATAGACAACAGTGGGTTATAGAGACCTAAAATGTATCTCTTATCATATATGGTGAATTTGAGGTCTGTAATGTGGCTGTTTGTATATCTGCAGGTCTGCATGCACCTTGCTCCTGAACCAGAACATGCCCAATTGCCTTGAAGTGCATAGCGTAAATCTCTTCTTAAGCAATATGGACTCAAGGATGCGACCTGCATGCATGCGAAATTTACTGTACAGTCAGTCGACATATCTACCGTTTCTTGTATTGTTCGGAGACAATTCAGCGTCGAGGCTGTATCTAGGGATACATATCAAAGGACAACTTCCTTCTTCATCTTTGTTCCTCAGAATTGATTCAAAGACACTATGTACGATCTTGAAAAGGTTTGTTGTATCTTTTTCCCACGCGTTAATTCAAACCCTGACCATCATAGGTTATCATAATTGGAGGAGGGCCAACCGGCCTCGCAGCTGCCATCCGCCTGGCTCAAAACAATAAGCTGAGCCCGGTCATCTATGAACTCCGTAACCCCAAGACTGCAGGCCTGGGGGGCTCTCTGGGTATTCCTGCCAATGGTGTGCGTGTTCTGCACCGTCTCGGGCTCTGGGACACGATCCTGCCGCGCAGTGTCGACATCACCAAAACCGTCCTACACTCCACATCTGGCAGCGTGTTGAGCGAGGTGGATATCTCTTCAGAAGCCAAGAAAAAGACTGGATTTGGTTATCTTCGCATCAACCGGGTGGATCTGGTCCAGTGTTTGCGAGACAGTGCGCAAAAATACGGTATCCCGATTCACTACGACAAACAGATCCAATCCATCGACGATCGCGGGGATTCCGTCACGGTTACCTTTTCCGATGGCACTAGTGACACGGCGTCCCTTCTGCTGGGATGCGATGGAATCCACTCCTCGGTGCGCAGGCTACATGTCGATTCGGAGATTGCGCCAGTGTATTCAGGGATCTCCGCCATCTCGTCAATCGTCGACGATGTGACAAATAAGGAGCCCAAGGATGCGACGTGCCTGCATTCGACACTCACGCCGCATGGTATGCTGGCAACTGCGCCATGTGCTGCCAATCAGATTTTCTGGTTCTTCAGTAAAGAGGTACCTCTGCCTCAAGGGTCGACCTCGGCGGATGTCCGTGATGGCTGGATGCTTCACCGCCAGAACGAGCTGGCTGACTGTCGACGCTCCCTATCAACTGTACTCGACTGCGTCCAGGGCCAGTGGGGCCAATATCTGCGGCAACTTGTGGACGCTAGTCAGGACGTGCATTTTTACCCGCACTATCGGATGCCCCTCGGCGGTCGGTGGTTTGTTCCTTCAGAGATCCCACAGGGATCGCCCCGCGTGCTGTTGATCGGGGACGCCGCACATGCAGTGCAACCTCATGCCGGACAGGGTGTAGCTTTGGCGCTGGAAGATGTGATCCTTCTCTCTGGATTGTTGGCCCATTATCAAGCTGGTGACTACACGAACCTGCAGGAGCTGTTTGACCGATTCGATCAAATTCGTCGTCCGCGCATCCAGCGCATTAACGAGGTTGCATTGCGCAATGGCAGGATGCGTCGCAATCAGTCACCGTGGACGGTATGGTTCAAGGAGTGGTACATGTGGGCCATGCTGCATGTCAATCGGTTCTGGGGCATGTCCATATCCGGTGTGTTGAATGGAGATGTACTGTATGACGTAGAGACGGAATTGAAGCAGTTAGCCTGAGACAGTTAAGCTTGAGTTTCTAGGAATCCATCCTTCTACATCTATCCCATGAGCTCAAGTTTCAGGCTACATATAGAAACTAATTCAACCATCTCTGCGTGCAGCCAAACAGCTCTCAACGTGACAGATTACAATGACTATTTCAACGACTCCCCAATTGGGGTGGATTGGCATGTCCTGTCAATAAAAAACAAAAGAAGTTGAGCTCTGGCTAACTTCAGAGAATTGCTACAGGACTTGGAAACATGGGTCTTGCCATGGCGTCGAACCTTCAACGGCATATCCATGCCCAGGGCCACCCACCCCTGCGATTCTGGAATCGTACAGCCAGCAAAGGCGAAACCATCACGAGACTCGGTGCAATCCAATGTCATACTATTGCCGCACTGATTAGCGAGTGCAAGATCATCTTCATCTCGGTAAGGGGGCACTACAACTTGACTCTTCTTAGATTCCTAATCACAACACTTAGACTAGCAATGATGATGCATTGCAAGGTATCATCACAGAAATCATCAGCACCGCAGATCTGACCAACAAGACATTTGTGGATACAACAACTGTTCATCCAGATACAAGCAAGGATATTTCCGCTAAATTGGCACGGGAAAAGGCCTTTCTGGTCTCTGGTATGTTGCCTGGCCTATTTTTGCCATTATTTGCATTCTGATTCGACAAGGCCCCGTATTTGGTTCTGCTCCAATGGCTGCCGAGCGAAAGATTCTGATGGTGGCTGCCGGGCAGCCCTGCGCGATACAGCAGATATCCCCTTACATCAAAGGTGTGATAGCGCGTGATCTTCTCGAAGTAGCAGAACTGCCAGAAAAGGCGTCTCTGCTGAAAATTATCGGGTGAGAAAGGGTTTTCTTTTCTTTTTTCTCGTAATGTTGGGGTTTCTTTTTGATTACAGCGACTAAGCAAAATACCAGAAACTTTCTCGTCTCTGGTATGACCGAAATCGTCGGTGAAGCTCATGTCTTTGCGGAGAAGAGCGGGATGGGCTATGAAATACTCGAGAAGCTGCTGGAAGCCCAATTTGGACCTCTCCCGACGATGATCTCCAGGCGACTGACCCAAGGAGTATATATGCCACCCAAGGGTAAGTTTGCCGGATACAAAGTAGAATTGTGCTGACTAGGGGAACGACTGGTACTAGGCGAAGCCCCATGGTCAAACTTGGATCTTTCTCTGAAAGATACTAGGCATGCAATTGACTGCGCAGCCGCAGTCGGAACCAGGCTGCCAGTTGGGGAGGTAATTCAGGACCATCTCCAGCGAGCAAAGGTCTTCTCCGAGGAACAGGATCGACCATTGGACTCGGCAGCCTCATACGGTATTCTCAGATGCGATGCAGGCTTGAATTTCGAAAATGATTTTATAAAAAAGAGGGATGCATGAAAATGGCGTGGGATGCATTATGCATTTGAATTCCTTTGTTCTGCACCGCATGCAGCTGATCGAAGAATATACCATCTTATGCAAGATCCATTCACCGCTAGTCAGATGCATTTGAGAGATCACCGTAAGATGATAGATTCACAGGTCACGTCTTGCATGGCAACTCTTTGTCGAAAGTATCTAGAAATTTGCCACCTGGCAATTCAGGCTAAGAAGTTTTATCTTTACTTCAAGATTTTATTCTCATTCAATTTCATCCGTGCTGCTGGTGTGATGCAATGGATCTCACCAAGCTCGTCTCGTCAATCCGTGAGGCAACGGAGATCCTTTCCAGCCAGCCGATTGATCCCCAGCAACGAGCGGAGTTGTCACAGGCTTGCGAAAGGCTTTCTGGAGTAATCGAGCAGCCGAGGTCAAGATTAGAGAAAGCCACTCATACCGTAATTATTTCCGGTGTAGTGAAAATTTTGCGTAGTAAATTGACGTCGAATAGATGACCCCAGTGGTAGCCACCCGCATTGCGATTGATATGGACATCTTCAATTATGTTCACAATTCCCCAAAAGACGAATTTGAGGGTTGCGAGATTGCATCCCACGTTGATGGAGATCCATTGCTTGTTTGTAAGAAAAATATCCTTTTGTCTTCCTTAAGCCTCGCTGACCTCAAATCAATAGCTCGCATATTGCGGTCTTTGACAGCTTCTGGAATCTTCAATGTGACCTCAGAAGGGATGTATAAACCGGATTCTGTGGTAAAAGATCTTGCAAAGGGCGGTTATCTAGAAAGTCGGATCATGATGAACTTGTGAGTCTTCACATCTAAGAGCTTGGATTCCCAACGAGAGGTTAATATCTCCAGTGATATTCACTTTCAAATTTACGGCAAACTTCCCCAATACTTGAGAGAGACAAAATATGTATCGCCCTCAAACGCCTACGCAGGACCTTTTCAGCACGTCTTTAACACAGAGGAACATTATTTCGATTGGATGAAGTCGCATCCGGCCCAGCTCGATGCTTTTAACCGCACAATGCAAGCCGGTGCTATGCGTGACAATGCCGCGCGATGGACGCAAATATTTCCTGTCACGCAAAGATTCCAGAAATTCCAGAGCGAAGCCTCTGCTGATGAACGGATCCAATTTGTGGACGTGGGAGGAGGAATCGGCCACGAAATCAAAGTCTTGCTCGACGCGCTTCCCTCTCTCCGGGGCCATTTTGTCCTTCAAGATGTACCTGGCGTTGTCCAAAGTATGCTCCCAGAGCTGGAGAGAGCCACCACCACACAGTCAGTGCAGGCTATGCCGCATAACTTCTTCGAGCCCCAGCCGGTACCAGGTGCCCATGTTTATTTCATGGGCCGTGTTCTGCACGATTGGCCGGATTCTCAGACACAAATCATCTTGCAGCACATCCGAGACGCGATGAACAAAGACTCAGTGCTACTCATTCACGAGCGCGTCTTACCAGACGGAGCTGCAAAGGTTCATCCGTCGGATGCAATCATGGATCTGAATATGATGATCCTGTGCTCATCGCTTGAACGAACGGAGATGCAATTTCGGGCCTTGCTCGATTCCGTGGGACTGGAATTGGTGAAGGTGTGGCGGTCAGCTACTGCTGGCCTTCATCAACAAGCGGTGCTCGAAGTAATCCGGGCAAATTGACATGATGATCTACAAAGGCTGTGAGAGATGAGCTGCTCTTTCAATGCTTGATCGAATATGATGGCAAATACTGAACTTGTATTCCATCTCAATACACGTAGGTGATGACCATATAGACTTTCGGGCCTACAGTATAGTAGAACATCAACATGGATAATAATCGAAGTGTCAACTCAAATTTGCATGTTTGCGGTAACTCACGAGGTAGGTATTTAGCTTGCGTTCACCCAAATTGGCACCAAGTCATGGACTAGACTATAGTCAGGCCTTTATTAATTTTCAATGAGCCGGATTCATGGAATACAGACTTTAGGCTTCAGAAGAGGCTCTAAGTTGAATATCCATGATATAGGCAAGGCCAAAGCATTCTACTCTTATTCACTGATAGAATTACGAAAATCCGAGTTCCAAATTGCCATACTAAATTAGAGAGAAAACTCAAATCTGCTCGTCATTTTCTTCAAATTTGCCCACCTCTACCATCTCTATATTGTTGGAAGGAATAAACAAGTGTTTTAGAGCTTTAACCGAATTAAAATGTTCAATATCTTAGCCCGCTTTGCATAATTTCTGTATCATTATCACAAGTTAATCCCAGCTCGTTTATAAAGCAGCTTGCATCAGTCCCAGGGCTCCCTGCTGAAGATTGACCGTCATCCCATGTACAACATCAACACTGAATTTGTTCAGATCCGACTTGAGCTCCGCCTTCTTAATGCGATCACAAGTCAGCTCGCCAAGCTCATCTTCACCTAGCTCCTTTCCATTCGAGGTCGGTTTCATAGTGCCGTCCACCTTACGAATCACCCGCATACAAAATTCCACTGAATCGGCCACATCTTCAGCACTCAACTTTTCTCCACCGACTTCCACAGTTCCTTGAATAACTTTTTATTATCGGATTAGTGATATGAACCAATTAATCGCAGGGGAAGACTGGGGGTATAACAGAGACTTACTGGGTCGGAAGAAGCTGAAGGCACGATCGAAGTTTTCCTCGTCATACTCATTCAATATTGGGTTCTCCAGCCCCGTAATTTGCGCGTACGCACTGGTCACCACAAGCAAGAATCGCGTGTAGGCTTCTTTAATTTTCTCCGAGTGCCAATTGGCTGCCGTCTCTTCGGTGCAGTCGCCTTTTATCGCTGCACAGATGGAGGCAGCAGCAGAAAGAGCTCCAGTGAATGCCAAATGCACACCCGATGAAAAGAGAGGATCAATAAAGCACCCAGCATCTCCAACAATGCGTACATAAGGGCTAGCATAGCTTGTGGCGCTGTAAGACCAGTCAGTGGCGGACTTGACTTCTGACACGAGTTTGGCGTTCTCCAGTAGTTCAGAAATCATCGGGGCTTCGTGGACGTGCTGCAGGAAGAAGTCCTTTGTATTCGGCGACTTCATCGCCTTCTTCTTAGCCGTGAAGCTGGTCTGTTGCATGACCAAGCCGATCGAAGTTGTGCCGTTGTGGAGAGGAATAAACCACGCCCAGCCGGTTCCATCTAAGAGTGGGTTTTAGCGCTTCAATTGCAATATCAGAATGATTTGAAATATTACCTTTGAGCCGAGGGAAAAACGGGTCACCTTCTGCGGGAGTACTCGTACCATATATTCCAGCATTTTCGAAATATCCCCAAGTCGCGATATTTTTGAGACCTTCGTTGTATCGCCGATTCTTCATGTACTTGGTACTGACCAGACCGGCTCGGCCACTAGCATCTACCAGGTACTTGAATTTAATTGTACCGCTGGCACTTTTGTCCTTGGTTATCCAGGAAGCTGACACGGGGCGTGCTGGACTTGAATCACCATGGCCGTCCTGGCAGCCACTTGACTTGAATTCAATAGCGTTAACCTTGACTCCGTCAAATGCTTTGGCGCCGCTATTTCCAGCATGCTCGAAAAGAATCTGGTCACACTCAGAACGGATCACGTTCCAGGCATGTCCCCCAAACGCAAGGAAATTCGTGTCTAGTACGAAATCAGTCGCTGGTTTTCAAGTAGCATCACGGTTACCGTTTACATGCTGCCGGCTTGCTATTGTAGCTAAAAGATGCTCCGTTCTATACCCTTGTTAGTTGGCTATCGACTCATTCTCTTGCAGTATCCCCATGCTGACCTTGTGTTTGAATCCGTGGCTTTCGAATTTGTCATACACGTCGATGAATTTCAAAAATTCTCGCGTAGATGGCAAAAGGCTCTCGCCGATGTGATATCTAGGACTTTTATCAATCCCAATGTTCTTAAATTTGAATTGATCATGATTCACCGAGGAAACACATCAGCTTCTAACAAGACAGTGGAAATCCCTTCTCGCGCCAGAACTGAGGCAGCATACGACCCGCCAGGCCCACCGCCCACTACCAGCACAGTACATTCTTGTGGGATAGACATACTGACCTGAATGTAGGGGCACTTTCTGATCAATTGAAAAAGGTTCTGGACAAGATATGGATCGGAGATATATCGATTTCGATGACGATCATTTATATTTATACTCCCAATCACGTGAGTATAGCATGCTTTTCCATGGAATATTATTAAATGTTTTCTATCGTACTCGATCCCAGCGATCTTGTGCATGTAATGGGTATTTTTGAGATACTGTATGTCTCGACAGAAAAAAAAAAGGAACAGAAAAAAGCAAAATAAATTTATCAAAAGCGCCTTGCAGATATGCTACTGCGTTACACTCTCGTTGCAGCTTTCTGGCCATCTATCCTGCACAGAGATAAATTTGCTCTACTGAGATACATATGCAAGATGGGAATGTGATACGAGAAAGAAACTTCGAATCAATATCAGCACGATATTACTACACCGCAATTTCTTCTGTCATGGAGTACTGCAGTGAATGCAATTAGACGATCTATCGCCCACACGCCTGATGTAGATTCCTTAGTTAGACTGAATTCCTCTAATCTTCATCTACACATACTGTATCTTACATAAAAAAGCTGCACAATGGAACAACGGCCATTTAAGTCACCATGCATGCTGGCTTTTTTCTACAATCTTACTTACATCGATCTTCCTAGTTTCAGGGCTCATACTTGGACTTTGTGGTAAGTTAACTATTCTAGTAACTCTAGTTCATTTTGGGTGTTTCTCCTATTCGGGTTTTTTATTTAGGAGATTCTGGACAGAGCCAGACCATTTCAATCCCATTCAAATTCAAACCGAAGAATATCTATTGAAATAAATTGTTTCACGCAAACTAGGCAAGGATATGCTTTCAGTTGGTTAGATTTGATTCGACACCATCTTCGACTAGCAGTACCCGATAAATCAACCAATGACTACTCCATTCTATCTTTCAATCTTCTTCAGTAGAACATTCAATCCTAAGTGCGGCAGGTTATGTCTCTTTATCTTGAAGTTTTCCGGCATGACCCCCTGTATCTTGATTTCGAAGTGAAAGATCAGATATGCTAGAATAAGCCGAAGCTCATCCGCTGCGAAAAAGCGACCCGGGCTAAACATAATATCAAAAGTCAATATTAATACTCATAGCCTCGGGAAGTACCGAGATAAAGAGGATGTAGGAGAAACCTTACCAGACGTGTTTTCCATCCCCGAATTGAAGATAATGAGCATTTGTAGAAGTATATCTGAATGCTTCGGGGGTCTGTGATCCATTGGCAAGGTCATAGAATCGCAAACCGTCAAACTCAAAGGGACTCTTCACAAACTTTTCATCAAATAACATTGCCGCATTTGGCGTCAAGAGAACTGTCCCTTTCGGAATGCGAAGACCATTTTTAAATTGAAAATCTTTCTTGACAACTCGAGGGGTTCCGGCAAGATCGAAGCAGTTGTACCGATGGGATTCCTTGATGAAGCTGTCCAATTTTTTCATTGAGTCGATTCCCTCCTTAGTCCAAGTATTGTTATTGGCTTGAAGAGTCATGATCACCTCTTGTCTGATGAGATTGACGTATTCTGGTCTGGTGGCAAGCTCGTAGAGACACTGGACAAGGACCACAGTTGTGTTGAAGCTGGCTCCGAAAGTGTTTGCAGCAAGCAGCTGGGCGATGTCTAACTCACTCAGACTATTATCTTTGCTCTGCTGGGACCATCGCCAGAACCAGTCTGTTAGGTCCTAGATGTATTATGGAGATTTTGTCAGGTCAATTGTGAGCAGAGAAGAAGAGAATGAGGCACTTGAATTGGAATAAAAGAAAGGTAGATACTAACCTCAGGCTGCCTTCCTTCTTTTGCCATCTCCTCTGACTTGATCTTTCGTCTATTGATCTGACTGAGAAAGAGCTTCTGCATCCTGTTTGAGAGCTTCACAACACGAGATGAGCGTGCTATAATACTTTTCAAAAACGAACATCAATATACGCACACAGAATAGAGATGGAGCAGAGCTTACGGTTTCAGAAATTCGGGAAAGCCCCGGATATATGGTCCCCCAACTATCATTTCAGCTGTATAGTCACAGAAGAGATCGATGCTCTCTGGATTTCGACACACATCGCCTACCAGTAACTTTGCAACAAGCCCCATTACAAGGCGTCGGGCGATTGTATAACAGTCGAATTGATTCCAGCCGTCATCAACATCCATGTGTTTAGTAATCTCTTGTTCGAACGAGTACTTGAGCTCTTCGACGAAGCTTGGAAAGTATTCGTCTGCTGATCTGGTGCGCGTTCGGGACCAGGTCAATGCTTTGCTCATCATTGAGCTGGGTATTTTGTGAAATAAGCCGGGCGCCGTAAATTTGGACTGAAAGAACTACAGTAGACTCGAATATTAGTTCAGTATCGCTGTGGATGATAATAAAAGCACCTACTCCTTGAATTGGAGCTGTGGAAGATAGGTACTCATCAGAAGCATTGAGGTACTCCTTGATCATCGCATCGTCGCAGATACAGACATCCCAACCGGTTGGTGTGGCTACTTGAAATGCAAAATTCCTGTGCTGTTTCAAAATAACCAGCTGGTCAGATATGAATCCGAAATCGGAAAGCGAAGAAGATGGATCGTACGAGTGCGTATCCTTCTTGAAGCAACTGGGGGGCAGAGTTACTCCAACGACGGGCGGCCCCCCAAGACTGAAGTATTCCTTTGCCTCCCACGACAGGAACATTGACCTAATATTGAATCAGCGAAATAAAAAGATTGATAAGAAAATCAGTATCGTAAGGATGAATTGAAAGAAGAGAAATAGGGGAATACGCACCCATGATTGATAATATTGAATCCACCGATGGATAGCCAACACTATCAAAGTTGCAACACCTGTCAAAGCAAATGGGTTATCGAGTAGGATAGCATATATGGCCATGAACATTGACATGATCTGGGGCAGTGAGCTGGTGTGTTTCCTCAGCGGAATGTGACAGTTCAGCTTCCACCCATTTTAAAGAATACCATCAGCTCTCCTCGTGATGTAAGGGCCCCGGGAGTAGCCTTGCATACTCTTGGCGTCGCAAATAGTCACTCGAATTACGGCGCAGATATGTGCATGTGACTTCTCATGATCGGTGTTTTCTTTTCAAGATAATTGACTGACATAAAGAATACTTAAGTCACGGAGTACAGGGTGTAGAAATATTCTTTGCTTAGTTTGACTCTCCGGAAGATAGCAATTACAAGGCAAGACTATGTGTTCGACCACTCTATTGCCGGATTTTGGTCAAACTCTGATCATATTCCCCAGTTAATCCAATATTTGCCCAAACGTCATTTTCATATATGTTGAGCTTAACAAAGACCAAATTAGCAGATCATCCTATACCTCCAGAGCTATTCAATCTTGCACAAACACCTCAACATGTCTTCTGTATAAAGTACTTCCGGCTATATGAAACGGAAAAAGAACTCATAATACGAGGCAAAGAGAAAAAAAAAACATACAACAGTAAGGATTCGCTAGTGGTCACCCACCTAACTACTAACTTACCGGCGTGTGGCTTAAGTACGGCTGAGCGGACGGGAAGCCCTGTTCTCCACACCCTGTGGTCGTATGTACAATATACGGTACAGGAGCAGTATATATAGATCATAAAATAGCCAGAAATTAACGAGTGTGAGTGCGTTCCAGTGGTTATTCACAAGCTCGAGTCGGAAACAGAGTGCGAAAACGGCTCTACGAGCATTACGACTCCCGCTCAGAGGGAACTATCACAGGAACACCATAGGAAATAGATAGTCCAACCAAAGATAGTATGGTCAGAGAGGACAAACAACAACCGGCGCTCACACAAGCGTAGCATAAGACGGGTCGATCTCGACAGGACTAAAGCTAACAACTCCCACGAAAAGATTGTTACGGCAGTCGAGGCGAATCACCATCGGAACCTGCAGTAGACTGCGCCAAAGCCCACGAAAGCCCAACTTTTCATAAAATCTAGGTCTTAGCAGTCATAAACCTGCTGGTTCATCTAAATAAAACAATGTTATTTGGACTTCCGCAAAACCCGTTTTGGGCCTAACTCGACCTATTTATTTGTATAATCGCAGCCATAAAGTTGCTCAGTTATCAAGATAAAATACTGTTTTTTACATCAGTTCCGGCTTATACTCTGAGCCACTATACTTTCCTAGTATTACTAGAGGTTTGAATGTTGCTTTATGCTTATGGTTTTTAACTTACGGTGAAGGCCTTCCTATAATCTCAATTTTGATGTACGTTTAATGGGCTCTTTCAGCTTCGGTACTACTTCTCTAACGGCGGTCAAAACAAACTAGTGCGATAACTCCTTGTCCTAAACACCCTTTTCTGACGGCCTTTAGAAAAGGGCATTAGGGTCCAGGAGCTATCGCACTAGTTCATTTTAACCACCGTTAGAAATTAAGGCGTAGATATATACATATATTGTAATGGGGAAATCACGAGATTTGTGTGATTACTGCCTATGCCTTCCAAGTTGGGTAACAGGTTGAGACAAAAGACTTAATTACTAAGGTACTGGGTAGTCTCTTACCTTGAGGACAGTTCCATGGTTGGTATAGATTTGTTTATGACTCAGGATGTCTTCCATGGTTCTAGGGCCGAGGCTGTTTAAGGCTCTACGAGCCTTGAGATCATTCTATTGTTGTATTGTCATATTGCTGAATTTTCTATTACAGTATTGTTCTGTTGTTCTTATTGTTCTGTCATTCGTAGTGTTCCAAACTTTGCCTATCCTCTCCTCTGACCCACGCCTCCTCCTTCCCTCTCCATGCCTCATTTCACCTTCCTCGCACCAAATCAACTTGTCGCATTATTCTTCTGATTCTCCCTCGTCTCTGTTATCAGGTCTCCATTACTGCGTGCCTCACTGAGCAAAAATGGACCCCCTCTTCCCAGTCCCAGAGCGCATATCTTCTTTGATGTCATCACCTCGACGTCAGGCGTTGACTGAACATCAAAACCGATCAGTCAGTGTGTCTTCAATGATCTCCGACATATCTATGGCTTCCGTGGATTCCACTGCCGCGGAATTCCTTGCTACAAAGATCGAACAACTGGAAAATGAGACCTCCTACATTGCCGCCATCAAAGCAGGGATGGACGAAGCCAACGTTAAAGGCGCCCTCATAGATGAAGAGTACAGAAAAGCCCTTGAACCTTACACAATCCGCATTCGAGCTGCTAATTCCACCTTGCGTGTGATCAAAAGGCAGAAACATCTGCTAGAGGACGATTTGAATGAGACGCTAGCTGTTCACAAGCGACTGAGAACAGACCCACCCTCTGACGAAGGGCTGCTGGAGAGAGCTTACAAGGACACCATTGTGTCTCGAGTTATGAGAGCAGAGGGGAAACAAAGAGCGTTAAGTTTCAATCATGCTCGGTTTAAGAAAGAGGTGAACAAGTACTATTCCACTCTTGACAGCGATGATGGAACCTTGGTCTGGTGTCATGTCCTTGGCGGCTTTTTTGACAAGAAATCTGTGAAGGCGGCCCACATTGTGCCTAAGAGCCTGGATCGGAGAGAATTGGCACATATGTTTGGCGATGAGGATGCAGTTGTATCACTTCCGCAAAATGGTGAGCCTTTCAAACTCTGTTTTTTCTTTTGCACTGCCGGGGAGTTTGACTGACCATTCTATAGGTCTTTCCTTGCACCACAAAGTCGAGTCCCTTCTTGATCGAGGAGATATTGCGATCGTGCCAATGCCAGGGGTATTTGCGGTACCAACCGAATGGAGATGCATCGTGCTTAACGAATCGCTGAACATGGACATCATCTACAAAAGAGAAGGTTTTACCATAGGAGATACGCCCTTCATTCTCAGAGTCAAGGTACGGCCTGGTAACTACCCAGAGAACTATCTGATGGTTTGCTAAAAATTCAAAAGGACCTCGATAACCGTCCTCTCAAGTTCCTGTCCGATAACCGCCCTCGTCGACGTTATCTGTACATGCGATTCCTGATCTCGTACCTGTGGTGTAAGCGAGAACCAGTACACGGATTGGAGCGAAAAGTGGAGTCGAATAGGTTTTGGCCCTCTGCAGGTGCATATATCGAGCATTCCACTCTGCAGACACTAGCCCGTTGCATCTCCGGATGCGAGATCCCCAAGAATCTCACTGCCGAACAGACCTTTGAGCGTTCCAACAGTCCGGAGAGGAATGTTACAGCTGGAATGAGTCTGGCAGCCGACCTCATGAGCATTCGGCGTATTGAATCTGGCAAAACTGCAGGCCCTGATTTGGTGAATGCTGTGACTGAAAGTATGAAGCGGCTGTAATCGCCGGCAATTTTTCCTGTGCTTCTTTTGCTTCTGTTTCAATATTATACTTATCCCAGTGCTGACTATGGCCCCAAAAGAAGATGTCTATCAATTATCAATTATTAGTTATTAAAGATGTTGTCTCTTTTTCTTTCCTTTAAGAAGTAGCTACGAGTATCTGAGTCGTACCACAGACGCAGCCTTCCTTTTCCTCTCCCGAGCTCTATGACTCAGTTACCCCCAGTGTACCCTAGCTTGAAGATAGTACCTCCACCTAGCCTCCACCGAGGGTACAATAGGGGTACATTGAGTATTAGCTAGCATGTAGACTACGGCAGTGTGCAGTCGCCATCAGCTCAAAGGGCCTATGCCCCTATACCGCCTTCCAAGGTTTCTATATTACCTATTACCACTACGTACGAATTAGGAGGTCTATAGATGTTATCCATAGTTATTACCTTTTTTTTCACTTTTTAGAGCGGAAGGATCATTTACATTAATGAGAAAACAGGGAGGATTAAGAGAGAACTGAAAGAGTGCTACATCTTTATTAACTTATATCTTAGAGTCGAAGATATTTCTAGAAATCTTCTATAATTTTACATAGTTCTTCTAGCAAACTTAGTTTGAAGTTCTATATTTAAAAGGTACTTACTATAAGTTACAGGGCTAGTAAACTTAAGATATAGTTGAAAAATACAGCATTAGTAAACAATTGATGGCAGAAATATGGGCCTTTTGAGCTGATGGCGACTGCACACTACCGTAAATGCGATAGAAAATATATCAAGACCGATGCTATCAGAATGTTAATAGAAGCAGACTCCCTTCGGGAGCCTGTTCAACGCTCTTCGACCGGCTATACCGGAAAAAGGATGGACGACCGCATCGGCCCAGGCCGCCAACATTGAGTCCGTCCTAATCCCAATAGTCGGCAACATTTCACACCAAGAGTGCACCAGCTGCATGAAAAACAATAGCCCATGGGCACATCGTGTGCCGTATCACGACATCAACCGAACAGGTTCAGCTCGTGGAAACTGTGTCGGAGGGACCCCCCAACGCCATCCACGAGACCGCTCCTCAACATCATCACTGGGATCGCTGAATACTAGATCTAGTGAGCATGAGTTTGTCGTAGCACGGGTCACGGCAGTTGAGGCGTTAGACCGAGAGCTTCGCACGATGTTGGCAAATCGTACCGTGGAGGACGTGCAGAATGCGGCTATCCACAACGCCATGCGATCGGAGAACACCACAGGTATTATCGTGGCCGCGCGTGCTTTCATCCCGACTACCACACCTGAACAGCACAGGACCCAGTTTGATCGTGTGTTTGGTCTGATCGACACGATCAGACAGACCCTTGCGAGGAGCACAGGTGTTTGAATTCTGCTGAAACTGGTGGCTGCGATTATTATTTATTCTAACGTTATCTTTCTAAATTGAAATAATGATAACAAACAATTACACAAGAATATAAGTGAGCCCAGCGAAAACTGCTGTCAGTAAAGTCACTCCACCCATCGGTAGATGCACTGCACCCGCATTGTCTGCAGTATCCTTTTCACCGGAATTATTCCCATCTCCAGAGTCTTTTTCATCCGAGTCATTTCCACCCGTCGTGATATTCAAAGCAACCGAAATATTGGAGGCAATAGCAGTGTCAAACTTGACCGCACAAGGGTCCACAGTAGCCCATGGCGATTTCTCCGAAACCACCGCGCAGGTGTCATAGCCACCCCAACGAGCGCCTTCCACATCCATTGCCCCCGTCACATTCCACGCTGCAATACCTGTCGCGCAGGTTTCTTCCGCGCTAGCAGCAACGAGGTCCGCCTTCGCGGCGCCACTCTTAGTTGTGAAGATCATACTGTCAATCGTAGAGTTGCTGGGGTAGAACATGATATCTCCGCTAGACCCGGTGCATCGCCCGTATTCCACAAACCAAGTGAGTTCCCACGTACCCTCGGTGCGTGCCGAGTCAGCGGTATTGTATAGGAAGTAAGGATTGCTGTCAGATGAGCTGGTGGAGTTCATGTTGAACTCGCTTGGGGAGCTGGCGTTGATGTAGTCGCGGGGAGGCGTGATTAAGTACATAATTCTCATATTGAGTGGTGCGACCAGATGCGGGTTCTGAATGGCAAACACGACGGGCATCTGTGTCGACGGCGCATATGTCTCATTGCGTGGGAAGACCAAGTCGACTTCGATGACGCCAGATGTAGCAGAGGCTCCCATGGCCTTGCAGGCCTGCAGGGCCAAAAGGGATCCCAGGTACAGGATATTGTTGGACATGTACATATTTTGTTGAAATATCAATGATTCGAAATTGAGAAGGGAAATGAAACCAGCGATACTTCCGTATATGAACAGTTTTCTTTTCAGGGGGCCAGAAATTTCCCGGTCCAATAGTGCCATAAGGGTTCATCCTTGGCACTGTTCTGGGGGCCATAGGGCATCCGAGGATGCGCCCGAGACCTGGGATTGATGTGAAAAGAAGGAAATAAATTAGAAAAGAGGAGAAAACCGGGCATATCCGCGGAATGTCTCACCCACAAACACCACAAGACCCTTTTTTATCCACTGACGCCCCGTAGTTTCTTGGCTTAATTTTACTACTAGCCTCAAATTCCTACTAAGGCGCTCTTACGGTACGAATGCTTCCAACTGGTTCTGAATCTGTGGCCAATTGTGCTTGGATTGTCATTTTATAGATATTGAAATGGGAAAGGCGCGATGGCAGTCTGGTCAAATAGACAGGTCGATACTAGCAATAGAAGGTCGGCTAGGACTATAGGAAAGGAGAGCACATAGGGGTGGTCTGAAAAGAAGAATGTGTCTATCTTGTTCAGTATGCGTAGAGAGGCCTTAAATATAACTTATAGTCGAGCTATCACAAAAATCATAGTCGTCCGTAGACCGTTACTTCATGCAGTGGGCAATTCTGTTGAGATTCATGGTGGCCGGCCATGGTTTATGCCATGAATGAGCCATGACGGCAACCGCAGTGATTCATCACCTGGGAAATCTAATTAGGACTAGCTTAAGGCAGATTTTTCTGGTATATAAGGAGGTTCTCATACAAATGAGAATCTCCAGACTTAAACACCTCGGTAATCTATTGTTAGATTATCTATATTGTACGGTCGTACCGGTCATCATTCCTACTTGCATCGTAACCTTTTAACAAATTCCACCACTACAATACATTTAGACATAAAACGTAAAATCTAGAAAGTATTCATTTTGACAAACAGTAAGAAATAAAAACAAAGCAATTCAAAAGAAGCAGCAAAAAAGACAAACGCAAGGCCTGATGGAAGATTTGCCGAAGGGTGACAGTCCCATTGATATTACACAATATCGCCGTGTCCTATTCACCTAGGTCCAAAGCTGCCCGCCGACATATAATGCCCAAATTTTATCTGGGATGGATAGTCTATTGAGGATCTTGACTCATGTATGTTGAAAGGCTACGATGCAAGTAGGAATGATGACTAGTACGACCGTACAATATAGATAATCTAACAATAGATTACCGAGGTGTTTAAGTCTAGAGATTCTCATTTGTGTGAGAATCTCCTTATATACCAGAAAACTCTGCCTTAAGCTAGTCCTGATTAGATTTCCTAGGTGATAAATCACTGCGGTTGCCGTCATAGCTCATTTATGGCATAAACCATGGCCGGCTACTATAAATCTCAACATACCCCCTTATCATCTGAAGCATTTAAATCTGCTGTATTTGAAGGCGGGGAATCTTGATAGACCAATTAGGAGCTCTCAAGAGCTAATCCTTCACAAAAGGCATCGAATTTTGGCTTAGGAAGTGCCTTTGTAAGGCTATCGGCGACGTTGATAATTCCTAGAATATGCTCTAATAGGATCTTGCCTTCTTTCACTTTCTCGCGGACCTAGTGATAATAAGTCTCGATATATCGAGATTTTAAGAGATATTTGGGAGATCCTGCCATAGTAATAGCGGACTTACTATCACTTAAAATACGTATCGGAGAAGAGGCTTTTATGATTCCGAGATTAACTAGTATCCGATATATCTATAAACCCTAAGATCTAGTATCTAATAATACGTAATACTCCGCTTCTACGGATGATTTTATGACGTATTTTTGCTATTTTGAGACCTAGGAAATAGGTCCGCCTACTAGGAAGAAGACCTATCCCGTATAGCTCTTTAGGGTATCGGGATCTAACGTAAAAGATACGTCGACGTACCCCTATAGTTCCTAATCCTTGCCTAGTATACCGTAAGTGATCGTGAATTTTGTAGTGCGTTTTATATACTAAATTGCACGGTAGGCAGCGGAGAAGTGGATATCGTAGGGTATTAGGTTATACTTTATAAGTATACCTAGAGTTAGAGAGAGATTAGGCCGGGATACCGTTACGGCGTAATTTAGACTACTAGTCAGTGATTAGTAGGCTTTAACGTTATAGGGGTCCTTTAGCGTATTATATTTCTCAAGAATTAGTTCCAGCGTTATAGGGATAACTAGCCGGGGGTTACTTTTAGTAGTTTCTAACGGCTCTAGGAGCTTATCAATATAGGCTTTTTAACCTATCATTATTAAGCTATCCTTACGTAGGATTTTAAGGCTTAGATAATACGAAACTAGGCTAAGATCTAATATAGACTATTTCTTAGCAATTGCCTCTTTTATCTAAAGAAGGGATTTCTCTAAAGAAGCGGCGAGCAATATATTATTAACGTATATAAATACGATAATAATACTACCCCCTTACTTATACTTTATATAAAGGTATAAATTAGATAAAGAAGGGGTAAAATCCTTACTAATTAAGAAGGATTTAAGGGTCTCGTACTAGTTAGTAGCTAATTGACGGAGACCGTAAAGGCTTTTTAAAAGCCTAACTACCTAGCTATTATAGCTCTAAGGCTTAGGTATAGTATCTAGGTAGGTTATAAACGTCTCCTCTTTAAGAGATATATTAAGGTATACGAGGTTGACGTCTAAATAGGTAGTAACTAGGGATTTTATAGTAATAAAAGCTAATAAGATACGTAATATTTTATACCGGCCTATAGCCGCGTAAGTATCTTTATAGTCAATTCCCTCTCTCTGATTGTTACCTCTAGCTACCTATCTTACTTTGAATTTTGCGGGCTTACTATCAGCGTCTATTTTGAGCTTAAATACCTAACGTCTAGAGAGGATTTTGGTATCCGGTAGGGGATTTGCTAGCTACTAGACCCTAAGAATATTATATTGCGTAATCTCGGACTTTATGGCTCGTTCCTACTAGGGCTAGTACGGAGAAGCTTTAGCTTCTCGCAATAAGGTAGGTGAATCGAGCTATTTTGGCAAATTAGACTCGATTTTAGACTATAACGGGAGATCCGAGAGAGATCCCGACGTTAAAAATACTAAGGATTGGGTAAAATTAGTATCTTCGTGATATTAGATACTAGATCTCTTAGCTTTTGTGTAGTATACCTTAACTAAGTCATCTAGGTCTAATTTAGACTTAGATTTATCTAGGATATACGTATCCGCGTCTTCGGATATAGAATCAGAGGGCTTAATATACTTCTCCTATATATATTTATGATTGGAATATATAGGAGGGCCGTCTATGCCGTGATTCTTGCCTAGCGTAGGTAGGTCGGGGTTGTTATAGAGATCCTAGTTAGATCCTTTATCGATAATAGTATCTCTAACAATATATATTATACTACCCGGTATAGTAGGGTTTTGGTAGGGTCGGTAAACTCGGTATTAAGAATCACTATAGCTAGTATAACCGACTAAGAAGCCTAGCTCGGCTCTTTTAGCGAGGTAGCGACCCTAAGGGTCTTAGTAGACGATCTCTCGAGAGAAGACTTTCTAAACTTTGCTACCGAGGACACGTAAAAACGAAAGATTAGGCCTCTTGCCGTAGCGTACCTCGTAAGGCGTGACTAGGGGTTTTCTAGCTATCTTTCGGCCGTTATAGACGGTCATATTGCGAATTATAACCATAGATCTTATAATCTTAGCCTAGAGAAATAGGGGTAATCCTAAATCTGAGAGAATATATCGCGTTCTCTCTCTAAGAATCCTTATTAACCTCTCAATCTTCCTATTTTATTGGTAGGCGTAGGGGGCAATAAAATGCCACCGAATACCTCTATTTTTAGCCTAGTATTAGAGCTTCTAGACCACGAATTCGCCGCTATTATCGGTTTATATAGCTCGAATCTCGGGTAAGTATTAGTTGAGGTTATCGTCTAAGGGATACGTCTAATTAGAGGATACGGGGTAGTTAGGTAACCTTAGCGACATAATTTAACTAACCTCGTAGGATCTATCTTATTCGTAAGATCTCACTATCTCTTTGATTTTGACCTTAGCGTTAGATTTATTCTCGAGAAATCTAATCTCCGCCTAGCCGTTATAGTTATCTATTATAGCTAGCTAATAACGGGCCCCGGATTCGATAGCGGGTACGATTTTACCGCCGCCGCCGATATCGATAAATACGAGATCCCTAACCTTCTCCGATCTATAAAGAATAGGCTTACGCCTAATACGGTAAGGGCCTCTACCGGTCGCGTAGGACGCGTAGGGTTACTTCGAAGCTAATATCCCGGAGATATCTAGGCCTAAGACTATCCTCGCCGTCTTTTAGACGCCCTAGATACCCGTATAGGCTATCCGGCGGTACTAGGTATTGATATTAACCCGGCTTCTATCCAATCTAGGAGGCTAAGCGGTATCACCCCCCCTAACGAGAGATTCCTCGATTGTGATCAGTTAGCCTATTTTTCGGCCGAAATATAAGGTCTTTTAGACCTTAGTTATTAGAGAGACGTTAAATATCTCGATTATAAATACTAAGGATACGAGAATCTCGCGTTTCTATACCGTTGAAGGGTCGATAGAAACCATATCTAGTATCTATTAGTTCCCCTTAAGTGTTACGGACATACCAGGCACCAATCAGTATGGGGCCGCAACTTGTTGATGGGCGGTCATGGACCAGTCGATCAACCGACCTATCAGGATCACGTGACGAACAGTCAGAGAGACGCGATTGGACGAATAAGGCGGGCGCCTTTTTCGGCCCTCGGTTTACCAGCACCCAGAATATACCACAGCGCTAGGTGCCGGTAAAGCCACTTACGGCCCCCTCAGCACAAACACATATTCTCCCCCTAAACAAAAAACATTTGTGCAGAGACGGCCATTTCTGGCCTCAAAGGGGGCTGAAAGTGGCCTCCTCGGCACAGTTCTTCCACACACGCACTTTCGGTCCCAGAGCCACGCGCTCCTCGCCTG